AAATCATCCAGATCTCCTTCATCTTCAGGACCAAATGATATGGTGGGGTATTGACGACTCTTCGGTGTAGAGATCTGGCAGACTTCGCGTTGGTTCTTAAGGCTACCGAGGTGGCGTCTCCTAGCCCGGTGGGTATCTCCTCCCGTAGGGCCCCCTGAAATCATTTGAATGTATCCCCTTTTTGGCATCGGTGGTGGAGGCGGTACGCGCGCTGGGTTCCCGAACTGAGCCTCACGTTTTTGCCCACGAGGTGGGTCTATCTTCACAAATTCTCCGATCTTGTTGTCTCTGATGAGACGTTCCACTTCGTCTTTTAAATGTGCACAATCGTCGGTCGTATGTCCATACTCATTATGGAAACGACAAAAGGTTCCCAATGTGGGATCTCGCCGGGGGGCTCCGCGAGCGGTTCGAGGCCACCGGAGATCAGCTCTCTTCTCGATTGAGTACAGTACCTGGGATAGAGGAGCTGTAAGGGGCTGGTATGATTGAAACCGAGATCCCTTAGCATCCGGGACGATACTCCGACTGGGAATATTAGCATCCCTACGAGGTAACATGGACTCCTTGCCTCTCTTTACTTCGCTGACCCGCACGTTTGTGGTTTGGTGAGATTCTTCCACTTTCTGCTGGCGGGCCTCTTCTAAGTTAATAAACCTAGATGCCCTTTCTAACAGATTGTCGAAATCAGGTGATGGCTCCAGCGCTAGAGCTCGGAAAAACTCGTCATCTCTTAACCCTTGTGAAAGGGCCGCCATGAGCACCTCGTCACTGGTAGTCGGGACTTCTAGGGTGGCTGAGGTAAACCGTTTGATGTAACTCCTGAGGCTTTCCTTCTCCTTCTGGCGAATGCTGAACAATGACAGGGAGGTTTTTTTGCACTTCTTTGAACTAGCGAATTGATTCATGAAGGCCTTAGCAAACTGTCCAAAAGAATGTATACTCCCTGGTAACAACAAACCGAACCAGGCCTGGGCTGGCCCAGCTAAGGTGGTGACGAAGGCGCGACACTTCACCCCCTCCGTGAGCTGGTGGAGCGATGCTGTGTTGTTGAACCGACTCAAGTGCTCGGCTGGATCTGACGTGCCGTTATACTCGAACAGGATTGGTCGGTAATTAGCCGGTATGGGGTCATCATGGAGATGCTTGGCGAAAGGGCCAGATCCCGCGAGATCTCGCGTTGGCCCACTTCGCAGGGCCTTCAGCTCATCTATATCACGCCTTAAGCTGTCGACTTCCGTTCTAACGCCATGACTGTTGCCTCCTCGATTCTCCGAATAGCTATCGCACTCATCCTCAGCTCGCCCTTCATTCTGGGAGCGTCTGAGATCTCTCTTGGGCCGGTTGTCTTGAGGTAAATTTTGCGTGTAGTTCCGGATAGCCGTAGTGATCATGGCCTCTACTTCGTCCCGGGTGTACGTACGCTCATCGGGGGATGGAGCCGGCGCTGTAGCCGGTCTCTTCGAAGCAGCTCCACCGCTTTGAAATTCGAAAGAAGGGCTTCCTGAAAAGAGGGGGATCCGTCTTTCTTTCTCGGGCGTGAGCAAGCTGCATCCTGACTTCTCCCTCAAGTCAGACGGCGGATCGACGCCAGGTGTGTCGTGAACTGCTGCATCCAGCTCCTTTTGTAGGTTTCGGGTGATCGTTCCTTCTTCTTCCATTTTTTCTCTACGTTCTTAGCTCAGATCTGGATTTCCGGGGGCAGATCTGATGTTTTTCCCGGAAATTGTGCTCCAAACTTATAAGGATTTTCCCACAGACGGCGCCACTTGATTTCGTCCGTGGGGCTTCCTTCTTCTTTAAGTCAGCTGGGCCCTTACTCCGGTGAGGATACCTGCAACGCCGGGAGGGGTTCCCGGCGGGAAAGCTCCAACGATCAAGTCAGTGATCGGAACAGAGAAGAAAACGTGTATGCAATGTCACAGTGATTAGTGTATATATCTTGTGTGTGCGTGTGTTGATTCTCTTATTTATAGATGAGGAAAGCTTGGCCTTCAAGGCTTTCCTTTTTTAGGGTTTCTCTTTTCCTCCAAGTCATGTATCTTGGGCCTGTATTGTCCTGGGCTCGCCATGCCCTGTTTTGGTATTGGGCTGGCGAGTTAAGGTACTCCCACGTGATTCCGAGGTTCGCACCATACGGCGACTTCGCTCATAATACCGAGCTAAGTCGTCATGGGTTCTTCGTTGTGGGCCTATCATATTGGGCTTAACCTAACGAGCTTATGCTTATTTGTTACTTGTCGAACTAGCCCGTATCAGATTTATTGAGCTTTGGCACTTCATCTTTAAAATCATGATGCGTTCATACATACATACATACATACATACATACATACATACATACAGGGGATTCTTTTTCTGCAACATGGGAAATGAGATTGCACTGTGTCCATAAATGCTTAAACGTGTTTTTAAAGTTGGCTAAAACGTGTTTATTCACAGTATAAAATGTAGTTCAATCCCAATATAATAATATATCCTTCTGAATTTCAAAATAATGTTTTGTCGGAGGGATGTAATTGATTGTATTTTTGTAACCTATTTCCCCCTTTTGTAGTGAATAATAAAAAAGTGGGACAAGGATGCAAACACGGCAAAATCGACTTGTAAATCATTTCTTAAGCCAGAGATGTCGCTAATCTGCTAGCGACATTTCAGATTAGCGACATTTCGGCTTGAGAAGTGATTCGATACATGTAAGAAATGACGTGACCGGCAATTTTTTTGTCAGCTAAAGTAGAGCAAAAATACAAGGAAATAACTGGAAAATCCACCGCACAGTTCGATAGCCTGAGTTAAACAGTTGAAGTGGAGGTTTATTTTGTTTCTCTCAAATTCACGTTTTTGTATAAATGTATTGAAATGTTATTTTCAGCATCTTTCTTGGGAGTCAACATGCTCGTCCCAGAGTGAGGAAGTAACGCAATCGCCGATGAAGCTTGCTTTTGCAGAACTTTAATTCAAAGTTTAGTTTCTGTTTAGAGCAAGTACCATTACTGCATGTATAACTTTCGTAATATTATTCGAATTAGTTCAACTTCTCTCTCTCTCTCTTTAATATATTCAGGTCTTACAGCTGGCAGCTGCTGCAACTATGTGCGAAGCTGAGCTTCGGCCGAGTACGACGACTGTTGTGGAGGAGCTTCAGCCTCTGTTGAAGTCGATATGATTATTTTTTACTCTTTTTTTTTTTTTTTTTTTTTTGTAAATTTGTCCGTGCATACTACTAATTAATATTACGAAGAAAGGTTTATATTAGGTATTTGATTTTGTGATATAACAACTTTTGGCTGTACGTATTACCAAATGAATTGTGTAGTCGTGTTGCGGTTCAGTATCGAATCATCAAACTAAAACAAGAAAGAATTTTGACAAATAAATATATTTATATATATGCATTGCAACGAAGCCTAAGAGCCCGTTTGATTACATTACATGGACCGAATTGTTACATTAGATTATATGTTACGAATCTTTATATATGGTAAATGCACTTAATAGCGACGGTTTTCGAGCACGTTTTCGAGTCGATATCAATCTACTCTAAAATTCAAAATTTAGTTAGCATGTATTGATTGTAGGATAGTTTGATGACCATTAAATCATCTAGTTTAATTTAAAAGGTAAAATATTTGACGAAATATTTCAAATCAAAAAAATTTGAAGTGTTAGGAAAAATTATAAATATATATTTGAAAATACATGAAGAAGAAGTAATTAAGTAATTAATTAAGAAAGGAAAAAAGAAATTAGGTGCAATTTAAGCAGTCCTCTAAAGTCTAATATTTCCCCTTTTACAGCAAGTGATGATCACATCACTATATCAGCCCTAACCGAGCAGGATTTCCTGATTCCAATCCCCAATTCACTATCCAAAGATTTGTCACTCTCTCTACTTTCTCTCTCTAGGGTTTTCTCTCTGCTGAATATTCGCGAATCGGCGACTGTGTGATGGACTCCGAGGACGACATGCACGACGCCAACGATGTGGCGTCGGCGGAGGAGGAGGATGACTACTACAGCGGCGGCGAGGAGGAGGAGGAGGAGGATATGGACGATGAGGAAGACTACGACTTTGCCGAAGAGGATGACGTTGATACCGGCGATTATGACTTCATCGCCAATAACTCCGACGATGATGCTATTGCCAGTCGTTCGCAGGTATACTTTTGAATTGGCGCTTGCGTTCTCTGTGCAATTGTTTGTTTATCTATCCCAATTGAATTCTGAGGGACTAATTAGGACTCTATTGGATGGTATCTTGATTTTCTTTTTGTCGAGTCTGATTTCTGCTGGATGGAAACCACTGTTGAATCATCTTTTTGGATGTATCAGATGGATTAATAGTTAATATTGCCCATTGTGGATATGCAGGATGTTATCTTGTTTTTGTTTGTTTTTGTGTTAACCGGGCGCAAATTACAGTGGGCGTACGATTTGTGTTTTAGCTTTGGAGGGCTGGTCTCTTAAAATTTGTGATCTGGGAAAGAATTTTTAAGTTTAGTAATGCTTTTATGAGAAAGTAAAGTTTTTTGAAATGTCTTGAAGATTTTTGCTTTCCGATATGACTTTTTTTTTGTATATTTCTAGAACTATACCATTTTAAAGGAAGAAGATATACGGCAACGTCAAGAGGAAGACATTACTACAATTGCTACTGTCCTTTCTATTTCAAGGGAAGCAGCATGCATACTGTTGCGTCGTTACGAATGGTATTCTTCGTGTTTCTTCTTCTAACATCGAGATATATCTGATATGTTATACGAACTTCTATTTTGTTGGATTCGGTTGAGACTATTATATTGGGCGATGTGTGTTGAAAGTGCTCTGAAGCACAATGTAGTCAGTTTGCGTCTTTTTTTTTTCCTGTAATATTTTTCACTTTTGGTTAACTTTCTTTTCGTAATTGATACAGGACTGTGAATAATGTGCATGAAGCATGGTTTGCAGATGAAGAAAGGGTCCGTAAAGCTGTTGGCATATTGGATAAACCGCTTGTTAAGTTTACAAATTCTGGGGAAGTAAGTTATCTATTTGTTTATCATTGCTCCTGTGTGTTTGTATTTTCACATTTGGAGTGCACTTCCTTATCACCATTGCATCATAACGTGTTTTATGTCCTATTAGGTCACCTGCGGGATCTGTTTTGAGAGCTATAATCGTGACAGTCTGCGCTCTGTTGCATGCTCTCATCTTTTCTGTGATACATGTTGGAAAGGTTTGTTTAGCCATGCTTTATTATTTTTCAATTAAGTTGATGGTTGGCAGCTTTATCCATCTATGCTTCTAGTGAAGACCCTTACTATATCTATTCTACAGAATCTACCCCTAGATCAAACTTTTATTGTAAAGAGAATATTTTGTTTAATCTACTGGTTGAGAAGTGGGAATATTGTGGATTATCGCACCATTTCATTCTAAGAACTAAAGTTAGTAGGGTTTATATTGAAGGAGAATGTCCTTTTGTGTCTCTCCAGAAATTTATGTGTGTGCATTTTCCTGGGAAAATATTAATAGTAGGATACAATGAGGAAATACTCAAAAGAAATTTGGGAAGGGCCATCACTTCCAGGTGGAAAGAGAGACTCATTGGTTCCTTGCTTTTATTTTGGTTACATTTTCTTGAGAAATTTACTCTGGTCAATATATGGCTAGTTATGATGTGCTGATTTTTTCTTTTTTAGATTAAGTGACTGCGCAGCTTGTTATGAGGGTCCATTTTAACTCAAAGCACAATGCAATTTTCACATCTGTGCATGATAGACGAAGCTTTAAATTCATTAGAACCTTTTTTTTTGACTAATAAGTGTTTGAAACACTTTAAGGAGTCTGGTTTAACTAAAAACAAAAATGAAACACTTTTTTTTTTTGTCTCATTCTTAGTTGCTGCTCCAATCGGCCCCATGATAACTAATTTACTTATCATGTCTGCTGTTTTTATTAGCTTACATTAGCACAGCCATCAATGATGGGCCTGGATGCTTGACGCTAAGGTGTCCTGACCCGTCCTGTGGGGCTGCTGTTGGCCAAGATATGATTGATGAGTTGGGTTCTGGTGAGGATAAGGAGAAGTATGGCCGTTATCTTCGTAGATCTTATGTTGAGGACAGTCGTCAGGTTAGAAATATCTTTTCCTGAATTACTGCCATTTTAGGTGTCTACGAATATATAAATCATTACTTCTATAAGATAGAGATATTAATTGTGTACTAAAAGATAAGCAGTGAAATAATATACTGTGCATATTGATACCTTCCATTTATAGAATGCACTGTTGATACTTATGCTGGATTGCTATAATTGAGCTTAGATTATCAAGCATTCCTATCATCTTTTAATTAAAAGGACACATGCATATCCTTGCACTTCTGTATCTATTTCTGCGTACCATTAAGAATATTTCAAATTAATTTGTCATGTAATCTGTAGAAAGAGAAAAATCTTCTTGGGTGGAAAGTGGAAAAATCTTGTCCTTGACTCCTTGTTTAGACCCTTTCACGCCGTTGCTGCTGCTTCTAATATTATTATATCTATTACTACCATCAGAAAAGCTGCAGGTGCTATTGTATTTAATCCTGTATTTGATTAAGTTAGAAGGTGCATTCAATCTAGAAATTCCTTTTTTTCCCAGTGTTTTGGGCTAACCTTTTACAGAAACAAGAATAGTTTCTGTTGGCTTTTACATAAAATACAGACTCACAAACGTGAGGTTGAATTATTATCTCTATCTGAGTCGATAGGAGTTTGAGTTTGAGAGAGTGGTGCTAGATTATTATTTGTGCAAAGTCTTCAAGTATCTCTTGAGGCTTTATATTATTTTAGATTATATCAAATCTATATGCGGCACTGCTAATTGAGTTTGGAGTTCATGATAATGGCTTGATCTGGATAATAGGGTTTGGATGATTTGGCCTTTTTTTTCTTCTTTTTTTAGATTATCTGTGTTCCCTAATGTTTGTTTTCATTTATTTTTTGACAGATTAAGTGGTGTCCTGCTCCTGGTTGTGATTCTGCTGTGGAATATAGCCTTGGTGGTGGAAGCTATGATGTCACTTGCAGTTGTTCGTATAGCTTCTGTTGGAATGTAAGTAATTATTGTGCATTCAGTTGTCTTCCTTTCTCTTGATGGTTATTCCATTCTTCAAGTTTTAATTGTGACGGTATGATCAGTGCACAGAGGAAGCTCATCGGCCAGTGGACTGTGAAACCGTAGCAAAGTGGGTTTTGAAAAACAGTGCAGAGTCAGAAAACATGAATTGGTAAACTACTTTCTTGTGGATAATTTCTCTTTTTACATCATTTAGGTATCTGCATGAACTGCTCACCATATTAATGAACAAGATTCAACTCTTGTTGTTCAACAATTAGTTGGTCAAATTGACAATTCAATGATCTGATCTTTTGGCCAAGTAAGAACAGTACTTCTGAAACACAAATCAATTTAGTTTGGGACCTTGTTTGGCAGTTGTACATAAAAAAAGGCTGAAGGAGATTAATAATGAAATACTCGGTTGCAAAAAGTTATGTGTTAATATATTCTACCAAAATCTTGAGCAGTTTCCTTTGACTGGAAATCTTATTTCATCTTCACAAACTCTGTTCAGTGTTTGAACAGAGTTTGAAGACCGGTATGCTTTAGTTTGAACAGAGTTTGAAAACCGGTATGCTTCTTGCTTTAGATGGTGTACATGTTAGGTTCCATGTTTGTGTCTCTAGGTATATAAATTTATTTAAATGCAGAGCTTAATATTTTAGAATGTAGAAGGCTAATGAAAATGCTACTTTTCCAGCAAGAATATGCTGTATATTTATTAGCTTGGTGTCATAACTTGTCGCTTTTAGGATATTGGCCAATTCCAAGCCTTGTCCCAAGTGCAAACGTCCAATTGAAAAGAATCAAGGATGCATGCACATGACTTGCACACCACCGTGCAAGTTTGAATTCTGCTGGTATGGTTTCTAATTTCTTACTTTATGAAATGAAATTCTATCAGTTTACCATTTGCATTCATTACCATGCTAACAACTGGTGCTGATTTTTTTTAATTATATATATATAGGTTGTGTCTTGGTGCATGGTCAGATCATGGTGAGAGAACAGGAGGTTTCTACGCATGCAACCGTTATGAAGCAGCAAAACAAGAGGGAGTGGTACGTAATTAGGGATATGTTTTTTAAGTGCGTTATGTTGCACATGATTATCCGAAGTTCGTCTTTATCTTCTCTTAATTACTTTTTCAATTCTTCCTAATCGATTATGCATCCAGTATGATGAAGCTGAAAGGAGGAGAGAGATGGCCAAAAACTCTTTGGAAAGATACACCCATTATTATGAGCGGTGGGCTTCCAACCAATCGGTAAGCACTATTTGGTCATTTTTTATTCCTTGACCATTGATGTAGCACGTGCTGTTTTTTATTCCCCTACAAAAATTGAGTTTTATTTTTGCTTTTCTTTGCATAAACTCTTTAATCTTTTGCAAATTCAATGCAGTCAAGGCAAAAGGCACTTTCGGATCTGCATCAAATGCAAAGTATCCACGTAAGTATATGTTATATACACATTATATTTTTGTAAGTATATGTTATTATACACATTATATTTTTTGTGCCGATTTATTATCTTTATGTTCATGTTATTCCCCTCCAGCTTGAGAAGCTTAGTGAAGTTCAATCCCAACCCGAGTCTCAACTAAAATTCATTATAGAAGCCTGGCAACAGGTAAGCCCATCAACAAATTCTTCAAGTTCAATGATGTTATTTTTGGATAATTTTGGTCGCATTCTCTATGTTCAGATTTACATAATGGTACAATGAAATGCTGGGTTGCTAGTCTGTTCCTGCTAATGGTTTAGAGTGGCGTGTGAGAAAACTACGCTAAGGGACAAGTATCTCATGATTTAAAAATGAAATGTCTGGAGAATAAGTTGATTCCTGAGATCCAGCTGATGGTTATTTATTGAAAATAGAGGCAACTAGAATACATATATTTTCATGTGCAACCTTTAATCAGCATATGATAGCGAAATTGAGGAATTTATTCTGTCTCATGCCATAAAAGGGAATCAGAAATCGGAAACTTCATAAATTGTGATCATATCTCTTTCATTGTCATTTTCTCTCCATTCGTCATCATTGCCTCTACCTAAATATGTTTAGTTGCCACTTGCCGTACAAAATGCCTTTGGTTTACTGACTTATTATTGTGTCAATGGTGTGTTTGCCGTACTTTCTGTATGGATGAGAAAATTGTAATTATTACCTGGTAAAGCTGTAATTGACTTCGAATTCATTATAGTAATTTTATGTGCCATGGTGCTGTACAAACTCCTATTTGGGGGAATGACACTATGTTAACTGTTCCCAGGTAATTAAAACTTGGGCTGGTCTCTCAACAATTTAGCCAAGACATGGTTAAAACAACTGTTCCCTTTGGTTAAATTGTAAAATAATCATGTATGACTTTTGAACATTCCTGCAGATAGTTGAATGTAGGAGGGTACTGAAATGGACCTATGCGTATGGATTCTATCTACCAGAAGAGGAACAAACTAAAAAACAGTTTTTTGAGTATTTGCAAGGTATCATCTTCTCTCGATGCATCCATTCTCTTGGAAGAAATTACGTTTCATTTTTTGTTTTAACGACTTGCATATATGTTAACATTTAGGTGAGGCGGAAGCTGGTTTGGAGAGGCTTCATCAATGTGCAGAGAAAGAGCTTACGAATTACCTTAATTCTGAGGGCCCATCAATAGAGTTTAATGATTTCCGTACAAAACTTGCTGGTCTGACGAGGTATAATTCCTCGTCGTATGGATAGATATGAGATGATTAATATTTTAAACAGGAGTGACATTAAAAAAGTTTCTCAATTGTTTTTCAACAGTGTCACGAAGAACTACTTTGAGAACTTGGTTAGAGCACTAGAGAATGGTCTTTCGGATGTAGATTCACAGGCACCACCAAATATGACGAGTTCGAAAAACGTGGCAGGGACTAGTAGCAAGGCTAAAGGTGGAAGGGCAAAAGGGTCTTCCAAGACGAGTTCATCAGTTAGAAACACGGATGATTCGTCGGGTAATTGGGCTTGCGATCAGTGTACTTACATGAACGCCCGATCTTCAACTACATGCATTATGTGTCAGCGTCGCCGTTAATTAGAGAACTAATCGCCTAAAAATGAAAATCTTTTCTTTTTTCTCAATTATGAGCTGGCGAAGTAGTGAGTATTATCCTAGCCTTACTCAAAGTGCTGTTGCTCGAAGAAACGTTCTGTGGGTGTGGGTTTTTTCTTCGAAATATTGTTTGTATATAGTTTGTCTGTATCATGTTAGATGAAGTTAACCTTCTTCAAACTTTGATACTTGTGAGTTGTGACTCTGATTCTATAAAGAAAAGGGGGGGAAAAAAAAAGAAAATTCTTAGGTTATGGTTCTTGTCAAACCTGGGTAAGGTGGAATATTCTTACCGGAAGATGTGCTATATTATATATGTTGTAATAATTTCTTCTTTTCTAAATTTGCAAATGTTATTTCTTTCAACAGCAGATGTCCATCTGAAACCCAATGCTTTTGTGGGGTGGATTTTATTTTTATTTTTATATAATAATAATTTGAAAATTGGATAATGAAAAAAATTCAAAATTAGAATTTTTTAAATGAAATTTTGTAACTATAAAATTAGAGGTCAACGTTGACTAGTTTTACCTGAAGGACACGAGCGAATGGCGGGGAAGGAAAAGTAACGCAACCAAACCAAATAACCACCTTTTTTTCCTTTCTTTCTTTTGTTCTTGATCTCTCTCTCTCTCTTCACTTTCCCTCTTATTTTTCTCCCATGGGATTTTAATCTAGAGAGAGAAACACACAAATTGAGGATTGTATATTCTAGAGAGAGAGAGAGAGAGAGATCAGCCAAATCAATCAACTAATCCCATGGGGACATGCATGTCCCTGCAAAGAAGCTCAACCCTCTTCAAGAAAACGAAAAAATCGAATACCGATTCTCAAGAATTTCAAAACGGCAAATTATTCAGCGGGAAATTAGCCCCGTTGAGAATATCCCGTCCAATCCAGGTTCTGAAAGATCCAACGGGCAACGACATATTCAGCAAGTACAGGTTCGGAAAAGAGCTCGGAAGAGGAGAATTCGGCGTAACTTACCAATGCTTCGACGATGCCAATGGGGACTGCTTAGCATGCAAGAAAATATCAAAGAGCAAACTGAGAACGGATATAGATATAGAAGATGTAAGGAGGGAGGTCGAGATAATGAGGCATTTGCCTACGAACCCAAATATCGTGAAGTACAAAGAGGTATACGAAGACAAAGAGGCTATTTATCTTGTGATGGAGCTTTGTGAAGGCGGTGAACTGTTCGATAGGATTGTCGCTAGAGGCCATTATACCGAGAGGGCTGCTGCTCTTGTCACCAAGACCATTCTTGAAGTTGTCAAGGTATGTATCTATCTATATGTATGTATTTGTATCTATAGTTTTTTTTTATTTTATTTTTAACGAAATGTACGTAATTAATCTGTTTTGGATGATTAATGTTTATTTTATGTATGTAGGTATGCCATGAACATGGAGTAATACATAGAGATCTGAAGCCTGAGAACTTTTTATTTGCAAACGAGTGCGAAAATGCGCCTCTTAAGGCAATTGATTTTGGCCTTTCCATTTTCTTTGAACCAGGTATATATATGCCCGATCGAACGATCAAATAATTGTTCGACGAGTGATTTATGATTTTTTACATCAATTTGTTTGGTATGAATGGATATTTAGGTCAAAGATTTAGTGAAATAGTCGGAAGCCCATATTACATGGCACCGGAAGTTCTAAGGCGCAATTATGGACCGGAAATAGATATATGGAGTGCAGGTGTTATTCTTTACATACTCTTGTGTGGAGTTCCTCCTTTTTGGGCAGGTAATTAACTCATTTTTCTTTTATTTAATTTTCTAAGTAACTCTTTTACATATGTAATGTAATTAACTCGAAATAATATATAATTAAAGAAAAATGTGTAAATTGATCTAGTGCAGAAACAGAAGAAGGAATTGCACAGGCAATTGTGTATGGTGAAATAGATTTCCAAAGGGATCCATGGCCAAGAATTAGTGAAGATGCCAAGAATCTTGTTATCGGCATGCTCGAGCCTAATCCTCACGCTCGTCTCACTGTCGAACAAGTCCTAGGTAACCAAAACTATATATTGTCATTATTCAATCAATATATATATATATATATACATATACATACATGCATGATAGATATACTAATTAATTAATTGTAAATTAGGAAGCCAATGGATACAAAATGCAGACAAAGTTCCAAACATACCTTTGGGAGAACGTGTTAGAACAAGAATTAAAAAGAATTAAACAGTTCTCTTTGATGAATAAATTCAAGAAAAAGGTCCTTAGAGTAAGTTCTCATGATCCCAAATAATAATAATAATTATTAATAATTTAATTTAATTGTGTAAATTAAAAGATTATTAATAATGTGTGTTACAATATATATAATTAACAGGTGGTAGCAGATAATTTGCCAGATGATCAAGTAGATGGGATAAAACAAATGTTCCAAATGATGGACACAGATAAAAATGGAAACTTGAATTTTCAAGAATTGAAAGATGGTCTCTATATGATCGGTCAACCGGTTGCCGATCATGACGTACAATTACTACTCGATGCTGTAAGTATATAACGTATATATACACAAGGAATCGTTTTTTTTTTTTCCGGTTGAAAAATTGTGACAATTAATCATAAATAAATAATAATGAAGGCCGACTGCGATGGAAACGGGATGCTAAATTGCGAAGAGTTTGTGACGTTGGCCGTGCACTTGAAGAAAATAAACAACGAAGAACTGTTACACGAAGCGTTTTTGTACTTCGACAAGAACAACAGCGGATACATTGAGTTCGAGGAGTTGCAACAATCTTTGCTAGATGACCATTTTGGCCCTACCAATGACCAAGTTGTGCAAGACATTATTTTCGATGCCGACCTCGATAAGGTATCATTTTTCGTCGTCTCAAATTATTAATTAATATTTTTCGAGAGTAAAATAATTAATTAATAAAAAATGAAATATATAGGATGGGAGAATAAGTTTTGCAGAATTCAAAGCGATGATGAAAACAGGGATGGATTGGAAGATGGGTTCAAGACAATATTCTAGGGCCATGCTTAATGCTCTTAGTGTCAGGCTCTTTCAAGGACACAATTTACAATTTAATATCTAATTTTTCTTTTTCTTTTTTTTCCTTTTTAATTTAATTTATTCTTTTTTTTTTATATTTTCATGTTTTTTTTTTTTTTTGTTTTCTTCTTCTTTTTGTTATTTCTCCATTGGATGAACAAATTAGAGTGGTGGTTATTGGCTTTATAGTTTATTCCCTATTGATTATTATTTTCACTAACCTTATAATTAATTAGATACTTTATTTATTATTATTATTATTATTATTATTATTATTATAATAACAGTAATAATCAATTCATGGCACAAATGAAAAAATGGTAACAAAAGGAACCATTTGATGAATTAGCCATGTTTAAAAGTTAAGACACTACTCTCGCATGGTTAATCAGGGTCATGCATGAGATAATAATCACCCATTGTATCTTACCGAATGCAGCATCGAATACACCGTTCATTAACATGAATATGTTGAAAAACAAATCCTAGAGAGGTCTATAAATTCGTAAAAAATTGAATGTCAAACATTGTCCAAATTAGTTGAATTTGGTTAATTTACTCGTTTTTTGGCACATATTTTTGTTGTCGCTTTATTTTTCGTGTACGCGTATTTATTTTTTCTTCTCCGACTAATTCATTTTGGCATTTATTTTATATTTTAATTTGCGTTTGATGGGCAAAAACCATTTAATCAAACACACACACACATATATATATATATATATATATATATATATATATATATATATATATAATTTACATCCAAATTAGGGAGTGTAGAAAAGGTGGTATAGTAGACAAATGCCATGCTATACTTGGAATATAGGGGAAAGATAAAAAGATAATGAAAAAGAAAATCCAGGCTCACCCAAATTCAACCAATCACAATCCAGCATTCACTTCACTCACCAGTCACCACACATGCATATTTTCTCTTATCTCACCACAAATTCAACTTGCTTCATTTATTTCTCTCAAAATCTCCGCAACAACAAAATATCCCCATTCACTAAATAAATAAATCTTCATTTTTTTTTTATTTGTCTTTTTTAATAATAATAATAATAATAATAATAATAATAATAATTCCCTTCTCCCACCTTATGGCCACCAACGCTTTCAACTCTATATGCCACCACCACCACCACTCTCTCCGGCGACGCCACTCCCTAGACTGCCATCCCACCACCACCACCACCACAAACCCTTTCTTCCTCCGACCAACCACAACCACAACCCTCGCCGCCGTAAATTCCCTCACCAACTCCACCGCCGCCTTCGCCGCCGTGTCCTCCGCCGGAACCGCCACAACAAACCCCAGCACAAACCAGAACGTGTCCTTCGACCTCCTGGAGCAGCATTTATCAACAAAGAACTACCGGGAGGCGGACGACGAGACGCGCCGCCTCCTGATAGTCCTCGCCGGAGAATCCGCGGAGACCCGGGGGTACGTCTTCTTCTCGGAGGTACAGTTCATCTCGGAACAAGACCTGAAAACCATAGACGCGCTCTGGAGAAAGTACAGCAACGAGAAATTCGGGTACAGTGTACAGAAAAAGATATGGAAGAAATCAAACAGAGACTTCACAAAATTCTTCATAAAAGTGGGGTGGATGAAGCTGCTGGAAAGCTCGGAAGTAGTGCAGTATAACTACAGAGCTTTTCCGGGGGAGTTCATGTGGGAGATGGAAGAAGGCACGCCGGAGGGACACCTGCCGTTGACCAATGCTCTCAGAGGAACGCAGCTTCTCACTAAAATTCTGGAGCACCCAGCTTTTGGTGAAGATGGTGATGGAGAAGATGAAGATGACGATGTAGAGAGAGAAAGTAGTATTAATGGCATTAAACCGTTGAGCAAAAACTTTAAAACCACCTACACTTTCTGAGTAAGCTCTAATTTATTTTTTATTATTAAAAAAACATAAATCTTGTCAACATTATTATTAAATATAAGATTTTTTCTTGGTGAATGAATGTTTGATCAATTGATTGTATTTTTCAATTTATTTTGTTGTTATTTCAAGTATGTATATTGTTATTATATACATTAGAACTTCGATAAATTAATAATCTCGCTTAAATATATAATAGTTTTTTCCTGGTCCTGACTTGGTAAAAACCTAGTAAATTATAATTCGATAATTTAATATTTCGCTAAATTAATAGAATTTTGCTTATCTAGCTATATTAATTTATGGAGGTTTAAATGAGAAAGTAAAGTGGAAAGGGTAATTTATTTTGTTTAATAATATAATTATTGATTAGTCCAAAATTAAAAGAATAATTAAGAATAAAAGATGTGTTTTGTAGAAACCAAGGTTTAAGCAGAGTATCTAATGCAATTATTTGGCAGCTTTTAGACCTTTAATCAATGGGTATGTTGACTCGCAGTCATAGCTCATGGTGAATCTAAGGGAAAAATAAACTTTTTACCCCTCGAGTTTTCAACTATTTCACATTTGGTCCCTCATATTTCAAGCATTTAACACTTTTAGTTATTTCCATCAATTTTTCGTGAATCAACTGTGTGCCCGTGACTTCCTTCACAGACGAACTAACAATAAATTGACAAAAATGAAAAAGAATGTAAATTATTGTAACAAGAGGGACCAAATGTGTTTTTAGTGAACATGAGGACCAAATGTGAAATCAATACAAATTTAAGGGGTGAAAACTGTAATTTTCTTGTGAATCTAATATACACGCCCAAATAAAAACAATTAAATATTGTTGTACTTTTTAATTTGCTGGTGCGAATTTTGTCTGTTTATCGATAGAGTTCAATTCGATTGTTCCAATGTAGAAAATCTGAATGCATACAGTTTTTAATTACTACACCCAACAAACAAAAAAATTTAATGCAAAATACAAAAAGTGCATCAAACACATTTATTTTCGGTTCGAATTCGGTACTTCGATTCGATTTTACATAGAGAACCAAACACGAACAAATATGTTCGGACCGTAAAAAATAAAAATAATAACTATATCATAGATTTGAAAATTCGGGGCGGTTAACAATTGTTCGATTTTTCAGTTTTCGGTTTTTTCGGGTATTTTTTTATTTTTCCGAACCATCAATCGTAGACTTCGCAGTATATATCTGGATGCACTTTGTTCTTCAACTTTCCTCGTTGAACACAAAGACATACACCATATATAAGTACAGCCAGAACAGCAGTAATCACTAATCCTCCAACCAAACACATGCCAATTAGCATCGAAATCATTTTAATTTGCTGATTAAATTAATTATTATTCGGAATCAAATACAAAAAATTAATTGCTTACTATCGTATGACGAACAATCAACGTAACTAACTATGGTTCACCTGTTCCATGCACTCCGATTCTCCTTCTTACACAACAACATAAAAAACAGATAACGAAACATATAACTGCGGATAATCCTACTGCAATACCTATAAACAAGAAATTCTTGTTAATTTGAATCATTTTTTGTTCATTATAATTCAAGATAAAATAAAATAATTAGATGTGTAACAGCATAATATTACTGTCACCTTTTTATAAGGAGAGTGAAAGAGTAAAGAATATTCTCTAGCATGCACTTTAAATAATTATTAATAATTATCAGAATGATTATGGCATGATTGTACTATCAAAAACTAGAATTAATTGTTTCTCTAGTATACGATTTTGTTTCGTGATTTTGTTCGACAATTCAAAAATTAGTGAAACAATATTTCGATGAACATATTACAATTCCAAATAAATAAATGTATATCTTCATTTTTCGTTAAATAATATGTCCTTTCTTTTTTCTTAAATAAAACCAATAAATCTAGGGAAAAAAAGAATTCCAGTGCAATGATTAATGTAACAATTAAGGACGAAATACATAATCGTGCTGCATCCACTAATTCAGAACTTAATTTCAAATACTAAATATCACGGGTTCAATGTTTAAGAATATTGAAATTTTTAATCTCGTTGATTGTATCAAAAATGAACATGGCACGGATAGAGAGAGCAATCGCAAGGTACACTACAACTTCTACTCTGTTCATTTCATCTGGTGTTCTTTGAGCTAAACTTTTTGTCCTACGACACATTATATACATAAATTGCAATACTTCAAAAAAAAAAAGGAAGGCTCTTCCGATCCAAATAATGTAAACTGTAAAAGGGAGTGCAATGTTCTGAATCTTACCTGAATTGCAATCTCAGAAGCTCTTGTTGTTCAGGAACTTGTATCCAACAGTTGCTCCACAAATCACTTCATACTTCGTTGTATGCGTTATCCTCAACCAGCATAATATTCATTTCTTCTTTGCCTCGTCAGCACATTCTTAAAAACCGGGCCCCCAATGTTTCTTTCTAATACTTGCTATACAGTGTGGGTTTATGAAGCAATTAGTTTGAGATTTTTCAGCTCAAATGCTTGGATTTATACCAAGCAAGCAAAAACAAAAACAAGCTCGAATTTGCCTTCTCTTCACAGCCTTACTATTGCAACTCCACTGATCGATGATTTTTGGTAACTGCAATCATGAATATGTTTAGGTTTAAGGATTGCATCAATGCATTTTTGTATACTCTTAAATATAACTCAACAATATTAAATAGCATAGAAAGTAACAAGATCAATTCACAAGACACAGATCACGGTACTTACCCTTATAAGCTCGGTTTATTGTGGAGTGAAAGCTCCTGCCTTGTCGCTTCAAGTTCCTTAAGATTATTACGGATGATTTGTACTTTGGATGTTAAATGGTCATTATGACTGTCAACGTCTTTCATGAGAATAAGTAGCTGCTCCCTATACGCAGCACTTAGACGTTTCTTTATTCGGAGTTCTGCAGTTAACTCTTGTATTCTTTTATCTTTCTCGTCCTACAAAAGTTGCAGTTTTATCAAAACATAAGTACTTTACGACATGGCAAAGAAAAGCACTTATTCTGTTTAGTCAATAGGTGGTACACACATGCAGATAGCAAAATACAAGCATTAATATACAAAGACGAACATTAACAAGACACATATGAGAACTACTATAATTCAGGAACTTAAATCATTGCAAAAATAAGCCAATTTATTGAACTTCATTAAGAAATCACAACATTAATAATAATCTCTATAAGACAATTTCTTTCAAAAGACGATTCATGCTTTTGCTATTCCCAATAATTGACACATGCATCTGAAATTGTTTCATACACCATAAACTACTACATCTAAGAATACTAGGGAGAGAGACAAAATCTAAGGAGATCGAGATTGATATCAGGTTCATCTGCTTTTATTTTCAGCTTATTAGTGTATGTATATCCATTTCACGAGCACGAGTTTATGTTTCTTCTAGTACCTCCGTGTATACGTTTTGTTGTCATACATCTAATCTACTTCTTCCCCCAACAACGAGCAATTGATTCATGGTTATAACTGTCACTCAATAAGTGCTTTTGACGACTTTTTACTCGTTTTTTCAAGAAAATCAAGAAAGTAAAAAGGAGCAAAAACCTTAACCAGTTTACAACAAGTACCAAATAGGCAAATAAACTTTAAAGATCCTAAAAGCAACAAGGAACTAGGAAATAGATAACGATTGTTAGTACTTACATAAGTGGGGCGTCTCTTAGGTAATGAAGCTACCAAAGGATGGTTATGGTCTCGAACAAACTTCCGTACAACCCACCTCCCTCCGTTCTCTCTCTTTATCAAGAGCATTGCAGTACAACCATCCCTCCGTTTTTCGCCCACTTCATTGGAGATATTACACGCCTTTTGAGCATTAAGAATGTTCCTGCATCCTAGTCCACGTGATATAATGGATCCATCACGCTCCGATTTACGGGATGATAAAACACGGGTTAAAAACCCCGCACGCCCAGCATAGTTATCGTAGTAAGCTCTAGCAGCAGAATCCGATTCGAACGTCATGCCTTCATATGGTTCTGTGTTTTCTATGTTTATGTCAGCTTGATATGATGTAACTTCACCGACTACAGATGCTTCTATCATCCCATTGCCACGATCTAATGCATCTTCCATATCCACTACAAGAAAATATTGCATTTACAGATGATTATATACACTACAAAACAGATTCCAACTAACATCCAGAAATAATCGGAAACGAAACTTGACAAATCCTGTCATCCTTGCAAGCATGGATTTCATAGGACACCCAAGTTTAGACTTACCTAAACCTAGAGCATTAAAATTTTCGATTGAAATAGAAGAGCACTAGATTAAACAAACATACCCATTATATGAAATGTATATCATCATTTATAAACCCTAAAAAAAATAAAAATAAAAAAATCCTGCAAATAAGGAAATCATATCTGCTACTGAAATCACACGCCCACATTGTAAACATCAGCGAATTGAAGCCCCAATCAGAGAAAATCATACAAGCCTGAAATAGGCGCACAGATATAGTTTAAAATTTCTCCTCTGTATTTGCTAGCAACTGCAAACAATTAAAGTACCTAATTTCATGAAATTCCACAAAATTAACCAAATTAATTACACACCGAATAATCACTGAAAGAGAAGCCATAAAAAAAAAACAGCAAATTTTAGGGCTGAATCAATTTTGTTGACGAGATTCCATATAATTCGACATAAATAAACACAACAGAAATGAGAAGGAGAGGAGGTTTTGTACTACTGATTTTTGACAGGGCTCCCCGATTTTGTTCCCTTTCTCGAAATTTCTATTCGAATTTCGGATTCTTTTGCTTCTGTGTTTCCTGATCAGCTAATAATATTTTGAAAAGGGCAGCGGTTGAATTTCTTCAAATTTAATTATGCTGCTTTTCGATTTTCTTATTATGGAAAGTCAAAAAGTCCAATAAACTTGCTTTTGATAATCCATTATTCTATTATTTATTTTCCCAATTGAATTGAATTGCATTTGCAGCTCTTTATTATTTTATTTTTATAATAATTAATCAGAATATTAAAATAATCAAAATTATAAACTCGTAAATATATCATTAAACATAAGGAAATATGAACATTAATCAAAAAACAAAATTCTATTTTAAGATGTTACATTGTAGTGCTTTTTTTCTTTCTATTGCAGTTCTAACCGCACAAAAAAAAAAACTAACACCTCTCATCTACAACCTTCATAATTTCTACAAACACATGTACAGCAGTACAAACATGGCATCAACTAATAAAAAAAAGAAAGAGAAAAAAAACTAATAATAGTAATCTTCATTGTAGATAATTTATCAAGACCCCTCCCCCAAGAAGCCATTACTGCCACCAGAACTTCCTACACCGCTCGCCACATCACGGACAAGAAACTTCACATTTCGAGTGCCAACAAAATCCAAAATATCGAGACACTCTTGCAAATCGGAGTCACTAACCAACATCACCCATTCCTCTTCATCGTCCAAATACTTGAGCTGGAATTGCCCTACCTGCAGTTTAAACCTCTTCGCCACTTCTTCGTACAGTTGAAAGTACCCGGCAGAAGGCTCGAATTTAAACCGAACCGTATCTTCGTTGTAAGTCGCTTTCACTACAATCTTCGAGCCACTGTCGCCACAGCTCGTCTCGTTTTTACGAATATGCCCTCTTCGGAAGCTTCGAGAACTCGAGGAGCTATCGTTCATCAACGACCCGGATCCTGATCCGGATCCGGATCCAGAACCGTTTGAGGAGTCCGTCATGCCCGAGGAAGTGGGTTGGGTGTGCTCGACAATTCCATCGCCTCTATCCATTCCAGCATCATCTTTTACATCTAATTCATTGCCAGCTTCAATAATGGAGCTCGAGTTCTGATGAATGAAATGGGATTTTGAAGGCACTGCTAGAAAATTCGGAGAAGTTGGCCATATCACATTGTTTTGACACTCACCCACCACTTGGTTTCCATCTAATAGACACTCCTCTTCCATTTTCACGGTGGTGGTTTCGAAGTCCATGTATGATGTGGATTTTGAGTTGTGGATTACTGCCGGATTATTAGGGTTTTCGATTGATTGATCTTTGTTGGAAAATGCGAATCTTTTGCCAGAGTCGAGTTCTTGAATAATGGAGCCTGAGGCCACGAGCCCTCCAGTGGTTGGATCGAACTTGAGTGCTCCTTCCACACCCTGAACAGAGTCCAGGACAATTTGTATTTTCCTCAAAGAACGGTTCACTTTATTTATTTTGCGAGAAGGCCATCTTGAGATTCCGTGTTGCCTGCATATCCTTTTGAGAGTCGTTGGGCACACTGAAAAAAACAAGATATACGAATTTGAGATTCCTAATATTTGTGATGAATTTTGCAAGAAGTTCACTTTTGAACACGAGTATATATAGACTGTATGAATACGATGGACTCACCACCGATGCTTTTGGCAGCATCTTTAAGACTACCAGAGAAGTATTGTTGGAGAACACTTAAGCTCACGTGCTTCTCAGCTGTACTTCGCTTCTTCTCCGTCTGTTTCCTTGATCCAGTCATCGTCTACAACATTTATAAAAAGGGACTAAGAGCTCTATCTATTTATGCCATTAAAGAAATGAACATACTGAATCCAATGGTCACACGAGACATAAGAACAAGAAAAGTAACATCTGTCTAGTAGCACTAGTGCTGGCATTAGTTTTCACTCTTCAATATAAAGCAATTATATGTTTTTAACAGCATGCAGCAAAATTCAGACTTTCATGTTTCATATCCCAACTACACAAGTAAACACACTAGCCAATAAAATATATCATAATGAAAAGTTTCTCAAAGTGAACAGAATATAAAATACACAAGTACCTGTCCGCGAGTCCCATCAGCTTCTATTACTATGGGTACTGATTCAGATATATTTTGAGTCATGGGATCAATGGTGCATATATTCCCACTAATAAGCGACTGCTCAGAACTCCTCCTCGATAACGATATTGCTGGTGACTTTCTAGTTTCCACATCGTATAATTTATCTCTTGAATTGTCTATCCCGTGCAAATCGGCATCTGACACTGTCCTCAAACTCTTACATATCCTCTGCATTGTACTGGAGAGGTTATTGAGCAAGAGTTGTTGCTCTTTACTTCCTTTCATATTAACAGGAAGAAACAGTTCTAGTATATAGTCATCGTCACCGGTATAAATACTTCTTAGCTTGATTGCAACCGCAGCATTTAGGCCAAATTTCCGGGCATGATGAACAAGAGGATACTCGCTTATATGGTATTCCTTCACATCAGGGTAGAAGAAGGGGTGATTTGATTGAAGCGCTTTCCCAACAATACCTTGTCCTTCCTCCAGATAATGTTCAGCACATGCATGTACAAAGCCTTTTATATCTTTGTCGTTCACATAACAGGCAGAATCCTCGATGCACAGTACACATTTCTTGTTCGCACTCCTATTGCATCCTCCATTATCTTTTAAGTAACTACATGGAATCCATGTGAGTGCAAGAGGTAGTCGATGGGCATAGCAAACAGCACGCAGAACATCTGTAATCTCAGCTAAAGCTGCTTTTTGATTCTTAGAAAGACTCTGCATGTTCAAATTTTGATTTAAAGAGAGACCGACCATAACTATGATGGAATTAGAATAATCCGAATGAATAAAAAAGCAATTAAATGATAATAACCTTGGGGCAATGTCTTTGAGGTACAGTGCTTGTCAAATTCACAACCTGAAAACATTCACAGCTCAGAGGTATTACAAACTTGAAGTGATACTAAATATGATTTATAATAGGGTAATCGCGCATTATTAAGTAAACCTGGCTACAACCACGAAATAATGAAATAGTAGAACAATTCTACAAAATCAAGAAAGGTCCCACAATAATTACTCAGTCTTCAACATATCAAGAGAAGATGCAGTAAAACTTTTTGCAATCAAGATGTAGTAGTGATTTTTGTTTGAGCAAGGAATGATAATAAAAGGAATAGAAAGTTACCTGCAGTGCACGACAAACATTTTCCATCTCCAAATCAAAATTGGGCTTCTCCTTCATGGTAACCAGTTCTAGAACAGCACAACACGACTTTTCACGCGAATCATCATCGAAAATAGGTAAAGCAATAGATCCTCGAATTTCATGATCAACAGCGTATTGTACCCGCAGGTACTCAGCTTTATTGTAGTACATCACATTTGAGGTCCACTCTGGAATCTTTGAGGCAAAAACACGACCAGGAAGGCCAAGAAAAGAGCCCGGTTTTGATTCCGTTGCAAAGGTAAATGACCTAGACACTTCACGATATCCAGAAAGTGTTTGATCAAGTAAATAAGGCTGTTCACAGGTGCTTAAGATGTACTGATCCCCATTCTTCATTGGAACCCACAATTGCGCTAAAATACCCCCACCAGACCACTCTTTGAACAGATTCAATGCTTTAAGCATTTTCTCGGCCAGTGTAAGCACAGGAGGCCTTGGAATCACATTGTTCACTACACTTTCTATCAAATCATGTTTACTTGAGCTCTCATCTTTCGCCTCGACCAACAAATACCCATCATCAGCACAATTTGTTGCAGAGGTCATTTGGCTGTCTATTTGACGAAAAATCACTTTATCTTCACCAAACGGACTCCCCATAATGTCATCATCTACTACGGGCATTCCTGAATTATACTGATGTGTGAAGTTGAATCCATCAAAGGATGAGTAATTTGTGGAAGGAGCAGTGAGAGGGGATGAGTATGCAAACATCTGGTCAGACAAATTAGTGGGGCTGTTACACCATCCAGCATATGTATCGAAATTCATTAGTTCTGCAACGTTAAACGAGTCTTCCGTATACAAGCCACGTGTACCATTATCTGTCGACCCTGTAGTCATACCCTCCATACGACCCCTCAGCAAAGCTGAATCGTTATTATCCTTCTCTTTACTCGGAAAATAGTACTCCATTTCTAACCAGAACACCAAAAGTTATACTATCGCGATAAAGCAAATGTCAGAGAATTTTTGAAAAGCGTGAACTGAAATCTACGTCCCTAGATTTACAGCCTCCCCTTTGTGTCATATTCACATAAGGGGACGTTTTGCCCAGTTTTTAACCTAGTTACCCTATCAATCCCGCTGTTTCTTTGAAAGACTGGAGACCTGCAATAAACATAATTTGGAATTACATATCTCCTCATATGAGCGTGTATTCAGAATTCTAAGATTCAACTGATCCAAATGAAGCAGATATGACTTGATATTCGAATACCTTTCTGGAGCTGGTAAAACAGAGAGTGACTTTACTGCCAGTAAAAAAATAAACATTATCTTGTCTACCATTATACACTTGGTTTCTCGAATGAAGCCCTAATTTGTTAAACTGCACCTTATGAAGGTGAAGTGCAATGAGGAAGGGTTTTCCAATATAAGAATCTTGAATGTTAACAAACAAAATTTGGAGAACGAATGATAACTATGAGTTAATGAAATTAGTTCATTAACTTTCCAGATTTAACCCCAAATCCAACAATTTCAGCACATATTAACAAAACTTCAGCTAAGCAGATTAACTTACTAGAGAAAACTTAATCAATTTCATTAACATAAATATCAATTTCACATAAATTTTCAATCAATCTCCTTAATTACATGACTATTCAGTATTTAAATAACCAATAAAAATGGTGAAATATACGAGAAGCGAAGTTTGCAGAAAATTAATAGAGGGTTTAAGCGGAGAAATGCATGAATTCCAGCAAAATGAAGCAAGATCTCTGAAAAGTATGTCTGGAGAACAAAACGGAAGAAGAAAATAGTACCCGGTGGAGCTACGGTGGAGTTACGGCGGAGCTACGGTGCGATGGAGCAGTAGAGAGAAAACGGCTGATAGGCTTGTACTTTTTTTGACTTTTATATCTGATTTTTAGTTCAACAAACAAACAAACAAAAATAACTCGAGATATGCACAAACTCAAAAATAAAAACTGTTTTTCTTAATTATGGAAAGTTTATTTATTAGTATTCAAATAAGAAATTTTGTGAAATATATTGGAAAATTTTTTTATTATTATTTTTTATTTTACATATAATCGCACACATCATATAATATAATTAATCGGGTGAAATTCATTGTATATAACATATAACAAATCATATTTTCAAATTATATAATATATCGAGAATCTAAAGTATCGGAAATTGTTTAATACTCCGTCGATATTTATTTATATATATCCTTATAATAATTAATATTTGAGATATTGATGCGATCTCTTGTGTATCATAAATATTTCCTACGAACGTAAGATCTATTCTTTAATTATTTCTCTGCATAATAAAACCCTAGCACAAAACGACTATTTAAAGATAATAAAACCCTAGAATCCTAATCTAACTAGGAAAGATAATTACCTATACTAATTAAATACCTAATAATCTCCTAACCATTACTAACTCACGGCCATCTATAACCCTAAACAACTATTCTATTTATTTAATAATTAAATAATGACTAACTAATAATTAACGATATATTAAATAATAATATATTGTATCAAACCACCCCTCTTGAAATGAACCTTGTCCTCAAGGTTCCAATACATTCCATGTTATATTCATGATCGTTTATTTACACACAAAAATACGAACTTTTTTCGTTAAATATACCGAATTTGATTTTATAAAAAATATAACAAATGAATACATATCAATAAATTTCGAAAACAAAACAATCTTGAATAATTATTAGTTATATTGCAAAAAGAATTCATCGAGAAAATGTCAAAAAAAAAAAAAAAAAAAAAAAAAGATTAGCTGGCAAGTAGAAGACACGTGTCAGTTCAAAAAGGGGGTTTCCCAATGCACAGGATATGACTTGATGATTTTGGAATCTAATCGGGCGGAGTGGGAGCATTAGATTCCAAAGATTTTTTTTTATTTAATGTTAATTAATTAATTAATAATTAATTAATTAATTAATTAGTCAGACGTGGTATCTCATGCCAACCTAACCACACCTGTCAGGCTGTAATATGTATATATAATTGATTGTAAAGATTTCTTTTATTTCTTTTATTATTTTCACTTTTTATTTTTTTTATAATATGCTTTTTTTATTGGTGATTTGATTTCATGGACCTAATAATTGGTGAAGCTAAAATGCATAAACGGATCCAATTTGGTTTGGGCGTGATGCCAATTGGCCCAATCTGATCGGATCCGGGTACAGACCCGAACCATTTTCAAATATGTAATTATGAATCTAATTTATTAGAGGCTGATGTCATAATATTAGATAAGGTACAAATATTAAAAGTTATGATATAATAGCAAGGGTATGAAAGAGTCATTATCAAATCATAATTAATTAAAATAAAAAAATAGATTAAATTTATCAAAGAGTTTGACTTCATGACAAAGAGAAAAAATTACAGAAGACAAAATAATCGAATAAAGCCAGATTTAATTAGGTAAAACTTACATTATTGCAACTTGGATTAATTTGTAATTATGTTGACGTGGCGTGTTATTAGACACTAAGACAAAATTGGTTGATCATAAGAAAGTGATTAGTACAATGTTGAAGCTTTGCAATCTAAGACCACAGAAAATGTTTAAACGTAGTTTTCATTTTCAGGCTGCAAAGTTGAAGTGTGGAAAGAATAACCAAAAATTGACCCAAGTGCCGTGACGGAGTTGTTTAGCTAAATAACTAAGTTCTGAAATGTTAAATATAGTTTCAATTTTACTAATACTATTTCGACTTTTAACATGTTTTTGACTTTAGCTAACTAATTAAGTTCTGAAATGTTAAATATAGTTTCAATTTTACTAATATTATTTCGACTTTTAACACGTTTTTTACTGATCATTTTTAATGTTGTTTTGGCAATATTGGAAGTATGGAAAGTGTAGTGATTTAAATTATCTTTTTAATTCAATTTATATTCATTTACTTGACATAAAAATAAAGCCAAGTATTATATTGTTGTGTGAGTGTGGTGATAGATGCATGCATTTTGATTGATATTGGAATCTGAGAGATTCAGATTAGACAGATCTATGGTAATTAAATTGTCCCAAACTTCCATGCATATAATATGTTACTACATGTCCAATGAATGATAATCTCATTATATTTTCTGATAAAAAAAAAAAAAAAAAAAAAAAAGATAAAATGATTATATTGATGTAAAGAAAGAAAAAATAAAATGATTATAGTTTTGACTTTAAAGATAATTTTGACCTTTTTCGAGTTTAAATTTGGCAAAACTCTAAATAATGAATTTATAGTTTCTTGAATTAACTTTCTAATCTAACTTGAATTATCAAAATTGGATGTCGAATAAGAAAGATATGCATGAATCATTGAACATTGCCTACAATTTTGATATTTTGAATTATATAAAATTCAAAATGAATTCATTCATTTTTATAAGAATACAAATCCCAACATATATATAATCCTCGTTATATATATATTATTCCAAGGAAGGTGAGTATTGACTTAACCACATTGTGCATCACCAATAACAAGATTCATCATGTGAGGTGAATCTCCACTAATATTCCACAAATAAGATTTGATTCCACAGTTTTAACATTAATTTTATGACATTTATCAGACAAACTATATATATATTTTGTTAGACAAGTAAGGGACATTTCAGATTTGAGAATGAGTCAAATGTTTTGAATCTGTTGATTAAGTGATCTGCTTGTCTTAATTAAAGCAACATATTCACAACTATCTTCAATAATAGAGTTATTGTGACGTCATTCGGGATTGGGCCTTTTAATTTTATTTTAATTTTTTTATTTAATTCGGCCATAGGGCCATTCATAATTTAATTGGGCTAATTTCAGCAAATTTTTTTGATGGGTTTGAGCCCATTTTGGGAATAGGCCCATTTATAATATAAATATTATTTATCAAAAAAAAAAAAACATAGAAATGTTGAATTTTCCTGAATACGATCATATTTCTTTTCGATTTTCGAACATGGTCTTTTATTCTAATTCCGAAATTCTGATTTTTTTCCCAATTTCTGAAGGCTTCTGATTTCTCTCGGGTGTGCGCAGATTACATTTGCAGTTTCAGCTCTGCAGTTTAACATAACGGGATGGCTTTTTCTTGACGCCCTTTACATGTTCGACGATTTGCCTCAACCAAATAAATTATACTTATATTTCTGTGTACCCGCTGCCTGCTCTTCAATTCTACGTTCAACTTTGTAATGCATTGAGGATTCTCTCAGGCATTCCATTACCGTAATGTTACGACGCCTTTCGCTTTCGGATGTTCTATCCAGAACTCGAAGATTCTCAAGAAATGTGTCTTCGCCACCATTCACACAGTACCGTCCACCGCTAACTCATGCTGTTGACTGTTTCAACAAGTGCAGCAAAATGCACGATTGCCTATTTCTTACATCGAATCCAGCTTTACTTGTCGACCCCTGTTTTCGACGTGGTAGCATTTCGAGTCCAGCTTCATCACTTTCAGGCCGTAGATTTTGCACTTCAGAAGCTTTCGTATCGGAGGAAACATCCGATAGTGATTATACGGATAAGGTCTACAAAACAGTGATGGATTACTCCAATCCCGAATACAAAATGGAGGAGGCTCTTGATAAGCTAGCCTTTAAATTGACAACACCTATCGTTGTAGAAATTTTAGAAAGGCTCCGTTTCGAGGAAAAAATAGCTTTCAGGTTCTTCAATTGGGCGGGCCACCACGAACATTACAGTCACGAGCCTGATTCGTACAACAAGATGATCGACATTCTTTCTAGTACCAAGTACAAGGTGAAGCAGTTCCGTATAATATGCGATCTTCTTGATTACATGAAAAGGAGCAAAAAAACTTCAGTCCCGATCGAAGTACTGCTGACCATTTTGAGAAAGTACACAGAGAAGCACTTGACGCATCTCCAAAAGTTTGCGAAGAAGAAGAAGATTAGGGTCAAGACACAACCCGAGATAAACGCGTTTAACCTACTAATGGATGCTATGTGCAAGTGCTGTCTTGTTAAGGATGCTGAAGACATGTTCAAGAGGGTGAAAACAAAGGTGAAGCCAAATGCCGACACGTATAACATATTGTTTTTCGGATGGTGTAGAGTGAGAAACCCTAGTAGGGCTATGAGCGTGCTCGAAGATATGATCAACATGGGCCATACACCCGAAAGTTTTACATACAACACTGCCATTGATACATTTTGCAGAGCTGGAATGTTGAGTGATGCTGCTAAGCTTTTGGAGTTCATGAAAAAAAACGGCACGACTATGTCTTCTCCCACTGCAAAGACTTACGCTATTATGATGACTGCACTTGTTCAAAACGATAGGCTCGAAGAATGCTTTGGAATCTTGAAAGATATGATTGATAGTGGATGCCTTCCGGATGTTTCTACGTACAAAGAACTAATTGAAGGAATGTGTTTGAGCGGAAAAATCGAGGCGGCTTATAAGTTCTTGGAAGAGATGGGAAGAACAGGGTACCCACCGGATATCGTGACTTACAATTGCTTTCTCAAGGTTCTTTGTGATAACAAGAATAGAGACGAAGCGCTTGCGCTTTTCAAGAAAATGGTGGAGGTGAACTGTGTGCCGAGTGTGCAAACGTATAATATCTTGATTGTGATGTTTTTCGCGATTGGTGATAGTGAAGGTGCGTTCGAGACTTGGAGTGAGATGGAGAGAAGGGGTTGTGCTCGCGATACTGAGACGTATTGTGTGATGATTGAGGGGCTGTTTGGATGCGGTGATAGTAGGAAAGATGCTGTTTTGCTTTTGGAGGAAGTTATAAACAGAGGGATGAAGCTGCCGTATAAGAAATTTGATACCTTTTTGATGAGGCTATCTGAAATCGGCGATTTACGAGCTATTCAGAGACTATCGGAGCATATGAGGAAGTTGTACAATCCTGCTATGGCTCGTCGGTATGCTTTGAGTCAGAAGCGTAAAAGTATGAGCTTGAGAGATAAGTGAGTTGGTTAGTTTAACTGCTTTCTTGATGTGGGATATGTGTGTGCAATAACCTAGGAAATCAAACATTTATGTACACTATTATTACTAAACATTTATTTTTGCCAGTTGAATTTAACTTTTGATTTATGGTATCATGTGTCTGGATTTTACAAGAAGGGTAATATAGATACAAGTTATACTGGAATAGTTTCTTCATTGTGTTTTCAAGTTTTGGAGTAATTGTTTTTTTTTTTTTTTTATATTTTTTCGATTTCTTTTTCTCTTCGGAGCCAAAAATGTAATTTCGTAACATATTACATTACCACGAACAATGTAACACAATCGAACTCAATTAATCTAATCAATCCCATCAATACCCAACCGAGGCTAGAATTCACTAATCAATCAGTAGCTGATAATATTATCAACACAATAATCATGCTTAAAAAATAGAAATACACTTTATCCAATAGATACTACATTACATGAAGAAAAACAAATCCTAATACACAGCAACCTTCATTGAGATTATGTCAAAGATTGGATCTTCAACACTTCCGAATAGCCTCCCCGATTGACCTGCAATGCCAAGATTAATAAAACAAACAACAGTAATTGCCAAGTAACGATTTTTATTTCAGTTGCTTACAAGCAGACAAAAATTGCATAATGAAATTAGAAAAATACCCTTTTCAGCCGCTTTTTATTCCATCGACATTCATTGCAGAATGTTCCTTGCCTCTCCATACAGCCAATACCTCATCAGTTCTAAATCGTTGCGTAAAAGTGGAATCCTCGAGTGGAGTTGATATCCCATGAGCATAAGCAAGGAGCCCTGTATAAGCAATCATTGCCCCATTATCGACACAGTACCGATCGTCAGTTGCAAATAAGTTCCCACCCCTCTCAGAACACATTACGCGCATCATCTCCTGTAAGCGTTCGTTGCATCCAACACCACCCACAATTAGCACATCCTTCGTGTCACAATGTGCCATTGCTCGCTCTGTAATTTCCACAAGCATTGCAAACAGAGTTTCCTATAGTTTTCCAACACAGACATTCTGTAAATTATCAGCTTTTTGGCATATAAAATACAAAAAATAACTCCAAAATATTACCTGCAGGGAGTAACACAAATCTGCAGGGGTACATTCGTTATTTTTGAGTTTCTCTTCGGCTGTAGTTTCGATGTAGCTCAATATCCCACTAAAAGAAACATCCATTCCTTTCACAGCGTAGGGAAGGTCTATAAACTTTTCTCCTTTCTTAGCAAGCTGCCAAAAGGTTTAATCAATCATGTCTCATTCACAAGACTAATATACCAAAAAAAAAAACATAAAATGCAAAAAGGACCTCTGATCTCAATTTTAATACGAATCTACTATGCATCTTCCGGTTATCCATAATCCGTATGAAGAAAAATATTAGTTGGCTTTACGAAATTACCTGCTCGATATTATATCCAGGGCTGGGATTATTAGAGAGCATGAGAACCCGAGCAAATCTGTCCAAGCAATTTCCAACTGCAATATCTATTGTCTCACCGAAAATACGGTACCTGCCCTCGCTGTATGCAATAACTTGAGTATTCCCACCACTAACATACAACACAACTGGATCATCAGCCCCAGTTACTATTCTCCCCATTTCAATATGTGCTACACAGTGATTAACAGCAACAATTGGCTTCTTCCAAAGTTGCGATAGGATTCGAATCACTATAGCCGATACCTGTCATATAACACCTGAGTATACACTTCCATTCTTAAAAAAATGTTGTTTTAAAGAAACAATCTAATCCCTTGGGGAACATTTTAAAAGAAGAATGTGCAACATATCCATGTCTGACGAGATTGTGTACCACAAGTTACACCTCAACGATGGAAATTTCTAATAACTATCAAGATGTTTGACCCAATTTATTGGTGCATCGTAACGTACCGTAAGAATAAAAAGTTCTGAAACTCGCAAGATCCAAACAAAAAAAAAAAGAAGGATCCACGACTTTGAAGTTTGTATTTAATCATTTAATGCCCTGGTTCTTGTAAACATTAAATTCAACAAAAATAGTATGCAGAAAATGTGTTAATTAGTTTAATCTCCTACTTAAGTCTTCAAAAGGCGCCACTTTAACTTCAAATTTTATTTGAGCATTGCTGGAAGGAACATATGTTCTCAAAAGAAACCACATAAATCACAACCTACTGAATTTGTTAGCAGCGCAAAGTACAACCCCAAAAATTACAGTAAAAAAATCCAACAAAAATAGCTAATTGAAAGAAACGAACTCCAATTAAAGTGAACATAAGTTAATTAGCAGCGGAAAAGCACAATTAGGGTACCTGGAGTGGGGCGCCCATGCCTGGGCCCTTGGTGTAGCAGAGGCAGTCGACCTCGTCGGGCGTAATCTTCGCCTCCTCCAGCGCCGATTTGACGAGCGGCAGCACATGCTCAAGGTGGTGTTGGGCGGTTTCTCTAGGGAGAAACCCTTGCCCCGGCGGAGTGATGTAGGTGTGACGTGGATTTGACAGAATGCTGCCGTCTAATGTCACGACTCCGACGCCGATTTTGTTGGCGGAACCCTCGAACCCTAACGCTATCATTCTTTTCTTCTCCGCCATTATCGTCTGAGTGTGTGTAAGTGTGTGTGTGCAGGCGGGGTTTTAGGGCTTTTGAGAAAATTTGGTTTATTTGGTAACATTTGACTTAAATATTACTTAAAAGTCTTTATATATTATAAATATAAAAAATAATTTATTTTTTTAGCATCACATTATAATAATTACATAATGGCGAAAGTAGTGAATTAAAGCCCAATACGTGTGGGCTATTTTACAAATGTAGCCTTGGACCAATTTTATTAAGTCCAACTGTAAAATTTAATTTGATTGGCCAATTAAAAAGAAAAAAACAATTTATCCATTATTACGTGTATCTCAAAATTCATGTTATTTGGATAACAAATTACGAAATTAATATTATCCACATTATAATTTGATTTTAGCAATCAAATGTTTACCTTTTAAGTAGGAACAAAAATCCAAACAAACAAATCCTCATATGGATGATTATCTTCAACTTAATACCTAAATATTTAAAATTAATTTAAAAGAATATATATTTTTAAAAAAAATAAAAAATCTTAAATTTGAGGTGATTATCACCCTGTAATTTAAATGCATTAAATAAATAAATTATCTTTTATGGATAAGCTCTAATAATCACCATAATCAATAATTTGTTACTAATAGTAATTCTTTTCCCACTATAATACTACGTGTTAATCACCTCCCCGTGAATTAATTAAATCCATTAAACGAATCAACTAAATAAATTATCCTTTTTGGGTAAGCTCTAATAATTAATGACCATAATCAATAATTTACTACTAATAATAATTCTTTTCCCACTAGGATTATACGTATTAATCACCTCACAGTAAATAATAATAATAATAATGCGTTAAAATAATTAATTAAATAAATTATCCTTGCTGGATAAGCTATTCTAATAATACTTCTTCTCCGACTATAAGTCTACGTAGCTCCCAACTCTGCACCTATATAAACCCCCTTCTGCCTTCTTCTATCCTCCATCTTTCAACACACGCATATACACACACATATACGTATATACTTTCGAATTACGATAGCAATGGCGGCTACCAATAACAGCGGTTCCAGTAACGGTCTGATCGTCAGCTTCGGCGAGATGCTGATCGATTTCGTGCCCACGGTTTCCGGCGTGTCTCTGGCGGAGGCGCCTGGATTTATCAAGGCTCCAGGCGGCGCGCCGGCCAATGTTGCCATAGCGGTGACGAGGTTGGGCGGAAACGCCGCGTTCGTCGGCAAGCTAGGCGACGACGAGTTCGGCCAGATGCTCGCGGGAATCCTGAGGGAGAACGGCGTTTCAGCCGACGGCGTGAATTTCGACAAGGACGCGAGGACGGCGCTGGCGTTCGTCACCCTACGCGCCGACGGAGAGCGTGAGTTCATGTTCTACAGGAATCCGAGTGCTGATATGCTGCTCACCCCCGACGAGTTGAATCTCGATCTCATCAGATCTGTAAGTATTCACTTCATCAGATCTACACACACACACACTTTTTATTTCTCCTACGCTAATTTTTAAGTGTCAGACTCAATATTTGATTGTTTCGATGGTGTTTGATTTTTATTTATTTATTTTTAAATTTTTGTTTCGGTTAAATGTTTTCGGCAAATCTTTTGAATTACAGCGTAAATCACGCGCATTGACGATTGACGTTTTGGATTGCGTTTTGACTGAAATTATTCTGGTCAATATTTTATTAATTTCGGGATTAATTAGTTAGTTACAAATTAAGCAATAATTGTTGGTGAGATTAAGCTAATCATTTATTTAAAAAAAAAACATTTCTTTGTGTTTATAGTGCATTAGTTTCCTTTTACCGGGATATGAATTTTTAATTTATTTAATTTCCATTAATAAGATAAATAGCTTAATAATTTCCGATTCTCTCTAATTTTTGGATTGATTTATGATGTGAATATAGGCAAAAGTGTTCCATTATGGATCAATAAGCTTGATAGTGGAGCCATGTAGATCAGCCCATCTGAAAGCAATGGAGGTGGCAAAAGCCGCCGGAGCACTCCTCTCGTATGACCCAAACCTCCGCCTGCCGCTCTGGTCCTCCGCCGAGGAAGCTCGTAAACAGATTTTGAGCATATGGAATCAGGCTGAGGTCATCAAAGTCAGCGACGAAGAACTCCAATTCCTCACCCAAAACGACAATATCGACGATGAATCCGCAATGTCTCTGTGGCACGACAATCTGAAGCTCCTCCTAGTTACCCTTGGGGACAAGGGTTGCAGATACTACACCAAGGTATGCTTTTAACCATGGTTAATCATTTTTTAATTTTATTTATTTATTAATATTTGCATATATTTATTCAATTTATTTTTGATACATAAATAGAACTTCCGTGGAGCTGTGGATGCGTACCGTGTGAAGACAGTGGATACAACTGGAGCTGGAGATTCTTTCGTTGGAGCACTCCTGTATAAGATTGTCGATGACCAAGCGATAATCGAGGATGAATCGAGATTGAAGGAAGTGCTTAAATATGCATGTGCCTGTGGAGCTATCACCACTACTAAGAAGGGTGCAATCCCAGCTCTTCCTACTCCGTCTCAAGTCCTCACCGTTCTCAATGGGACTGCGACCGAGTAAACGCGCGCGCCGTTCTTAGTATAGCTTTCCTTAGTTTCTTTAGGTTAAATTTACACTGTTTTTTCAATTTTCTTTAGGTTTTTAGAATTTTACTTTTTTTGCAGAGTTAATGAAAATTTCTTTGGAGTTCTAATCATAAAATAGCATTACAGCATTGCTTGTTTCTTAAATACACGGAAACATTTTCTATTTACAAATTACAAATTACAATGCATGTTCTTGTTGCCATCAATCATCAAAGATTATTTCAACCAAGATTAGGAACTGTGAAATGCTCTTCATCATTATCTAGGGTTTCATCAATTCTAGGCCTTTTGTGGGCAGTGTACAATTTGGTAGCCTTGTTTAAGTCTAAGTTGCTTGGCTGAAGAGACACTGATAGTTGAGGTACTTCCGTTGACTCGTGACCGATGAGATTAGCGTCTGTCAAACACTCGAGCTCACTAAATTCAAGATGCTCCTTCTGCACAAGTGAAACACAGCTCAAAATTAATAGACGAGACTAACAATCGGGAGAAACTATGAGTATTTCTCGGTTACCAAATTACAGATCTTTTATGCAATTTACATTGAATTGTGGACATCAAAAGGGATGGTTCTCTAATCTCCTACATTTCTAAGCAATTTACTTGTTACTTGCAAGCACTGAGAGAGAGAGAGAAAAAAAAAAAAAAAAAAAAAAAGAAAGAAAGAAACTAGTACTATGTTTTATAATTCAGTGAAGAAAAACCAAAACTTTCTTACCTTGTCAGGGGATTCGTTATCTGAAAACTGTAGAAACTCGTCGACAGCCCATGAAGGTGAAGAAGCACCCGAAGCAATCTGTGGCTCGATTTTCAAATAAGTAAGTGTTGAATTTGATTTCGGAGGCTTTGGCTCAATTTGGACTCTCGAACTTTCGTCATTACAACTAGAGCTCAAAGCAACTCGTATTCCAGTAGCTAAGTAACGCTGGTGTTTTGCGGTAAGGCTATTGGCTGAATGAATGAGCTTATCACAGTCCTTGCAAAACAGTGCTCTGTCCTCCACGCAGAAAACAAAAGCCACTTTCTTCTACACACAGATGAACGAACAACAACAAGAAACACTTACATAAACTACAAAACCATAAACGAAACAATATCAGAAATGTAAGCGCGGTTCTTTTATCGAACGATTTAATTCTAATGCCGCTTCCTAATCATCAACAAAGTCAATAATCCTCAAAATAGAACAACGGAAGTACAGATCTTTACTTTGACATAAGAAACAATTCATACAAAATCAACACAAATAAATAAAAAACAATCCTCGCAAATTCGAATACAATTCAACATGAAAATCAACTTAAAAGCTATTATATTTCACACATACTTGGCATATATCACAAGGAGGAAGCTTATCGGAAAGACATTCTAGAAGCAGCCTTTGGTGTTTGCGAGCAAGCTTGTTCGCTCCGTGCACTTGTACATCGCACTCGGCGCACAATGCGGCCTCGCCGGCGCAGCAAACCACGGTTGCGGCGGCGTTCTCACACACATCACAGAGTATCTGCATCTTACGGTGAGAAAGATCAAAACTTTTCACTGCTCCTCTTTCAATTTCTCACACATACCCTAGAAAATTAGGTATTCCCATTTTCCTTTTTTTTTCCTTTTTCTTTTTATCGAATAAATATCTGATCGAAGATCCTTCGACGAGAATTTGGAGTTGAAAGCGACAAAAACATGTTCTTTGTTGAAAAATTAGGTCAAGACGATAAGGATTCGTATTTGCACACATCAATTTTGGGGGCAAAAATCGCCATGTTCTTTACTGGTGCCCGTCAATTTTATTTATTTTTAAATGTTCCCAAAAATAATTATTTTTTTGGAAGTGGTCCCCACAATTCTATTTATTTTTAAATGAGGGACAAGTTCATTAAGCTGTGCCGATTGCCGACACTGTTTTTCCGAAATAGATCATAATATCCAAATCCAAACCTACGATTACATCCGGCCGGCGGGCGAAACCGTACTCCTCCACTACCCTTACCGTTAATTCTGTCAGCGCCACCGTCAAAGTGGAGTGGACAGCTTTTCCTTTTGAATCAGTAAGTTCTTCTCTAGAATCGAACTCTTAAATTACGGAAATCGGACGGTTAATTCTTTGTTTTCTGAGGAAACAAATCCGAGTTTTATGTTAAGCGATCATGGTTCTTTACTAGATTTGACATCAGATATAGCGATGGCAGATTGTTGCGATTTCTAGAAGTAGGTTTCTTCACAATCAATTCATCAAACAGTTGGTCGGCAGACGGCACTAGTAGCAATTTTGAGTTATATATCCATCAAAAGCTGTAAAGCTTTCATCTTTGGAAAGTTTCCGTGTCCAATTCAATCGGGGCGCAATGGGGAAACCGTTATTTTACGAGATTTGGGAAAAGCCAGCCACGAGCTGTATAATCGGAATATGCAGTTTAATTTGGTTCTATATTCAGAAGAATGGCATTGGGTATTCCCACGTGGGATTGAGCTACGATACCGCAAAGGAGGGCCATCATTGGAGGATAATCACATCCGCTTTCTCGCACATTAGCATCCTTCATCTCGTTTTTAATATGAGTGCACTTTGGAGCTTAGGGGTTATCGAGCAGTTAGGGCACATAGGTCTCGGAGTGGAATATTATCTTCAATACACGCTGTTGTTGGTCGTTTTGTCGGGTTTGCTAGTTCTTGGAATGTACCATTTATTGATCCAAAAGTTCAAAATCGAGTACTTCCAGAGAGTGACAGCTGTCGGTTACTCTTGCGTTGTGTTCGGGTGGATGACTATATTGTCCACGAAGCAACCCTCTTCTAAATTGGAGCTGTTTGGGTTTCTCTCACTTCCAATCAGTTTTGCCCCGTTTGAATCTCTCATATTTACGTCTATAATTGTGCCGCAAGCGAGTTTTCTTGGCCATTTATCGGGGATAATTGTTGGTTATTCTATTGCGTGGGGGTTGATACACGGGATGACTAATTACTGGGCTGTGTCTATGTTTGGATGGATTGTGCTTGTGTTTGTTTTCAGTTTGAAGAAATCTGGTGCGTATGATTTCGACTTTCTCGAGATTGAATCTGTGGCGGATCTTTCTTTGCCGTCTGTCCGTTTTGTTGGTTCGGGAAATGGGAGAACCCTGCAGATGAGTGCATCTCCTGATCTTCTTGTGTAGGCTAAGTGGATTTTTTTAGGAAATATGTTGACCCATTTTATGTATTTTGTGTTGATGATAATCATTGGATAAATGGCTAACACTTGGTTCTGATAGTGATCTTTTTTTACTTTTGATACATGAAGCAGTTTGTTGATGAACACTTTCTAAATGAAAATTGATTAGATTACACCTACATGATTGAGCTTCTGTTATCTCTTATTAAGTTATATTCTTGCTCTGATTTATTTTTTGAACCATACTAGAGCTCTCCTTTTGTATTTCGACATTTTTCTTTTCTACATCATCGTGTTGTCGAAGAAAGATTCAAAAATAGTGTGAGATTTGTTTGATAAGCAATCTAGTGAAGTTCGAACGAATATTAATCGAGCTCGAGTGTGTTAAACATCAATAGATATATATTTTTTTAATACAAATAATTATTCACATTTGAGGTTTAATTGACACAAAGATTTCGAAGCTTATGTGATTAATCTGAAATAAAAAAATCCATAGACTACAGACAGAAAGAAAAAAAGAACAAAAAGAGAAGGGTGAACAACCAAATTTGATGGTAACGACCATAATCGAGATCCGGATATAACAAGATACAGACTGATTTCGAGCACTGACATTTCAGGACACTCGAGAACAGCAAATAATGGAGAAGATTTACAAATGTAATAAATAACCCAACACAGATCAAGAACTGTGCAGATTTTGTTGAATGTTTAAAGAGTAATTAAATACCTATGGCTTGTTAGCTCCATTGGCACTTGATGCACTTGAGTTGGGATCACTTTCTTGAGGCCCTGTATGAATAAGTTGTGAAATCCCCTGCCCAATCGATTTCCAGAATCTATTCGGCAAAGACGACTGTAAATTTCCTGCGCTCCCTTCAGAGCGCAATTCAACTTGCCTGGCTGAAGCAGCATCAAGCTCAGAGAATCTCACAGCTCCCAAGATTCTTTCCGGCAGCTCTGACTCAGTTTGACCCTCGATAACAAAAGCCAAGTCAACAGTAAGCGTTGTTAAGTACCCAAACGCCAGATGGACAATCGCATTTGCAACGACCGAAGACCCAATATCTATATCAACTTCCATAAAGTTCTCTCCTGTACAGTACTTGCAGTTGAGTGCACGCCCTATAATGCAGATAGCTTGTTCGCCGACTGCTTTTCTTACAATCCAAGGGCCTTTCACAATGTTAGCAATCAGTTTCAATCTTGAATTCTTGAAGGCATCGTCTCCCTTTAAGAATTGGCTCATCAAAGAATCTTCCTTGATAGGTTCGGTGGCAACGAAATATGCAACGGCACTGTAGTTGTCTTTACTCGGGACTTGTAAATTGAAAGCCCAAACAAAAGGCTTATGACCACCGTCTGCGGATTCATTTTCGAGTGCTCGCCTAACACGGTTTTTAGGGTTATTTAAGAGTTCTGAGACCTTCGTTGGTCCTTTAATCCAGTCAAAACCTAGTGGCTTCAGAAGATAATTGCCACCTGGGATCTTTGCTTTTGTCTTTAGATACTCTGGTCCTCTTACCAAGAAACCATCTCCAGGTGGAGAAGCCCAACCCTTTTGGCAATGATTTGGCTCAAGAAACGGAACGACTCCTTCTGATTTTACTCTCTCAATCCATTCATACTCCTGGTTTTGCTCGAGATTTGCCATACTAAAAATCAAATCACCTGTCTGAATATATATATATATGGAGCCATCATGAATGCAGATAACTATGAAAACAATTGAGCAAATGTGCGATTTAAGCAAATAGAAAGAAAACATTAACCGAAATCCATGAAGATCCGAAACGATAGGAAGAACGAAAACTAGAAAGAACACATGTCAACTGAAATGCATGGAAACAACCAGAAAAAGTTCCCAGTAGCTTTTGTAATGTATATTTGAGCTGAGCATGGAAACTACCTACGTCCCATCTTTCGATTCCAATTGAGGGATGCATCTACAAGATTTTCTATCAGTTACACAGAATCTTCATATGGTCTAATGCATGTGTGTGATGTATACGTTGATATACTCTTCTCGAACAACACTTCACTCCTCGAAAAAGGAAAAATCAACAATGAAGCAACTTCGGCGTAGACAGAATCAACTTTCAAAAACTGTTTCAAAAATTTGTCAACGCAAGAAACATTAAAGGGGAAGAGAAGTACATGCCACGTCGAACGTCAAAATCTACAACCTCAGCTTGCACTTTAACCACACGGGAATATAATAAAAGTCCCATACAGCAAGAAGATAAACAAGAGTCTTCAATCACAAAAAATGTAGAATTTTCCCTAAAATCCTTTCGAACTTTTGGAACAATGTGTCCAAAGATCATCACATTTAGCTTCTAATGAAGAAAATTAAACAATAGTTACAGTCATGCTCTTACCCAAATATTTAGAAAAAGACAAGCCCAACAATCACTCAAACACTAAATAAAAGGAATTGGGTTAATTACTAAGGACTCTCGATCATGTTTATAACATTCCCCACAAAATCAAACACAAGCAAATTTCACAGTCAGGTCAAAAATTGCATCCCTTCATCAATTTTTTCTTACCTAATGAACACAGCAGCGGCTAACTCTAGATATTGCACAACAAGCAAAGGTGTGATCGAGAGAAACTCTGCAATTAAAAAAAATAAAAATAAAAAATTACTCCACAAAAAGATCAAGCAAAAAAATTGAAAATTACAACAATCAAGGAACAGTTCGATATTAACGAAGAATAACAAAATAAGAAAACGAACCAGGTGTTAAGGAACGAACAGAGAAAGAACGTCGAGGAAGCTGGGTTTGGGGATTAGGGCTTTAATTAATGAATTATTTTACTGAATAGCCTATAATTATATACAGAAAAATCGATCGAAAAGGGGGAAAATTCTTGAGGAAGCTGATGAAAATTAATTTGAGGGAAATTCTTTGCTTTTCTTTTTTCCTTTGTAATCTGCAACAGTGCAGCTGTTGCCTGTTGTTTTTGTCACGCAAAGGAGGAGGACACCACACAAAGTCAAAAGTCAAACCTTGGAGCCCATTTGTGTTCCCGGATTTAATTTTACAAAAAGTGTTTTAATAAGTTGATTATAATATCACAGGGTAAATTATTAAGGCTACCCCTCAAGTAACGTCAAATAGCAAAAAAATCCCTCATGTTTGGATAATTACAATCACCACTCAATTATGAATTTTACACATTGATAAATTTAGAGGAATTTTTCTAGATTATGTGAAATATTCTCCTGCTTGTACCCATTTTATATCATTCGATAAAATGATACTAAGATGTGTCTATTGCCTTGTAAATATCAGATTGTGGTGAATGATAAACTATATATTTGCAGAAAACGAGTACAAAATAGAGAACATTACACGAAATCTAGAAAGTTATGTTAGATTTGACACCATAAGGGTAAAAAGTGTAAGAAGATTTATAGTTGAGGGCGATAGTTGTAATTACCCAAACATGAGGGGCTTTTTCATTATTTGACTTTATCTCAGGGGTGTGGCAGTAATTTACCTTAATATCACAAGAATAATAATTTAACTTTGGGTAAATTACAAACACCCCCCTGAGGTATGGTGAAATTACAAAAAAAACCCTCTTGTTTGGAAAATTACATCTACCCCCTCAACTATGATTTTTTCTTACCTTTATGGTGCCAAATTCAACATAGTCATCTAGATTCCGTGAAATGTGCTCTAGTTTGTACTCTTTGCGTAAAAATACAGTTTCCGATGCACCACAAACTGATATATACAAGCTAAAAATCACATATTATGGTCATCTTGCTTCATAATGTAGAGTTTGAATGGGATAAAACGGGTACAAAAGTGATAATATTCCATATAATCTCGAAGATTTCACTAAATTTGATGAGTTGAGGGGGGTGGTTGTAATTATCCAAACAAGAGGGGTGTTTTTGTAATTTGGTCATACCTCAGGGGGGTGTTTGTAATTTACCCTTTAACTTTTTAGTGACAAATGCTAATCTCATCCAAAGCTCTGTATGGAAATTACAATTAGAAAAATCAAATTTTAATAAATATTTAGAATTTACATATCAGGCCTGCATTAAAAAAAAAAAAGAAAAAAAAAAAGAAGTTCAATCCATATTATTACACAATTAAACATGATTTATCTTAACCTAGAGAGATAAAATTCCAGAGAATTGAAGAAATACATTTGTTCTAGTGCAAATCATAATACTAAAGAACAAAAAAAGGTGGCAAATAATTTCCCAGATTCTGTTCTTGCTGCATCGAGGATTTTGACTGCCGGCCGGTGATGCTGCAACTGCATAAAATGCCGTCTTCATTTCTGAATATCTTCTTCCTTCAATGCATATCATTCAAAGCTCTGATCCAGATAAAGAAACCTCAGTTAGCGAGTGACTCGGTAAATCAGCCACAACATGTCAATATAATGATCCACAAAAGAAGCGTAACACTCAGCATTTGAGAGAGAGAATTAACTTAACTGCATTCTTGCTGCCTAAAACTTAATATCTATTTGCATAAATGAAAAGGAGGAAGCTTATTATGTCGCTACTTCTATTGGCTCCTTATTTGACATATTGAATAATGCCTCTATACTAAAATCGAGGAAGTAAAACTTTGTTTCATTTAAGAGTAACAGGGCATCGAATCCCATTCAAAATCAAAAGCACAAAAAGGAAAGGTCGAACAAGATACATGCAAGTTCACACAGAAAATAAATAAGGGAATATTGACAGACAGATATATTCTGCCTTTATGACCGTCAGCTACGAATTAAATTACGAATTCCAACGTAACAACACTCTTTATGCATGTGAAAGAAATATGCATGATAATGTATATAAAATTTGGAACTGGTGTAAAAGACTTCTTCTCGCAATGAACAGAAAACCATCTCTATTTCGAGTACACAATAGCAACATACTTTGAGCATCCTATCATATGGTGATACACATCTATGACTATATCCATGTTACTTTGTATATTACAGCCCAAAACGATTTGAATACTCCAACACAACACCCCCCCCCCCCCCCCCCCCCCCAATCCACATGTCTACATTTGCAAAAACTGCAAGGTCATCACAAATTTACAAATGTAAAATAAAAAGATGCCAAAGAAAAAGGTGATTCTTAATCTTAAGACAGTTGGACACGACAGCGGAAGCTAAGATATCAATTAATGAGAATAAATGCATGTTTGTTGAACGCGGATGCAAATATTATTTAATTGCAAATTAAGTATAACTGGGAGGTTTAGTGAAATCGCTTAAAGACATAAAAAGTATTTAATGCTCTAGTCAATGAATTAAAAGTCAAGAACTAAAAGGAAAAGTAACCACGTGTTCACATTAAGATTTTACCTTTTAGCATACCTTACTGCTTTAGCTATGGCGCCAAGGACTTATTGCAACTGTACCTTCTTTTTTACCCGCTAAAAGTGTTTCTTTCCATGTTCGCAGAATGTGTCCTTGCCCCAAATTTTCTCTATGTTGAAACCCCCAAGAAATGTAGCTCTTGGTCCAAACACTGATGTTAAACACCGGAAACATGAACATACTCAAGTAGAACCTTAGACCAATCCCATTCGCATAATCTTCTTCTTGTAACAAGGCTGTATATCGTATTTGAGGGAGTCTGCTTGAGTAGATAATCACCGCAAACTGCAAGAAAAGATTTTGTCATTAGATTGAAATTTACATGCGTAAGACATTAAAAATTTCTAGAGGAAGTTTCTTCAACCTCCTACAGTTCTTTAAAAAGTGTTATAAAGAACATCGCAATTGCTATAATTTTCTTATAATATTCTTTTGAACATGTCGAAAGTGTTGTTAATATGAATGATTGTCTCGAACACTTAATTGACATTTATACATTTACAAGAAGATGTTCATCATTGTGCTTAGTTTCAATGGATGACGAATATATTTTAACGTTTCTAGGCATAGCAACACAGCTACAAGGCACAACTATATTGAAATCTCAAAAAGGACCAACAAAGAGAGAAACCTTATGTGGACACAATGACTGCGGTAAACACCTTCATAAAGTCTAACTTGCTAATACATAAAAGACCAATTAATAAGGATGTCCTGTGGCGTGAAAGTTTCTAATTTCTCTTACTTTAGCTACGTTATAGATCATCTCCCCAATAATGTAACATCGTACAAAAGAGCATTGATAGAATTAAGTACAAGGTTGAGATTATCGAGCATTATACCTACGATTCAACCATATAAATGACAAATTACCAAAAAGAGGCAAATTTTGTGTAAATCTATAATTTTGTAATTGGTCTAAGACCTCTTGAGAAAATGTGCTTTTCAAACCTTCTTCGACTAAGTGGACATTGTTTTGCAAAAGTTGATGTATTTCATCATTCGGAAGAACATTATCGCGGAAGAGTTTTTTTATTTTCTTTTACTCCGTTCTGACTAAACTTCCTAGTAATTTCACATGATGAAAAATAGCATTGATAGAATTACAAGGTAGCGATTACCATGCATAATTATCAATCAATCACCCATATAAATGATAAATTACCAAAAATATGTTAATTCTTACGTGTATCTAAGTGTGCTAAAAAATGCATCATACGGGGGGTTTTGCTTATAGTTATAATGCCAGGGTCTTTTAGCAATTCGATATGTATGAGAACACTCTCAAGAAAATATGTTTTTTTGACAAATTTCACGACTACGTGTAATGCGGACCACTATTAAGACTTGATTAGTACTATTAAGCATAAGCTTTAGAATGCGGATAAAGACATTTTATCCAAGAAATGCTCATTTTATGAATAATTTTTCATTCGTTTTATGAATGGTGTTCCAGAAAAGATTTTCATATTCGAAGTAATGTTTGTTTATGTTTTAAGGAAGACGTGTTTTCCTGTAGCAGTCAAGTTTGCCAAGCTTGCTTAGAAGTAACGGGATAAAGGTATTATTACGAGGGAAGAATTTAAAACGGAGTAATAAATATGTCTAAAAGTGGTGCGGGGATTTTGATTTCGTATTGAGAAATGAAAAAAAAAATCATTTCCAAGACATTTCGTCTCTACAATCACGTTATGACTCCCTCCAATTACGCATTTTTGCCATTTTGGGAAAATTTAAGAGTTGGCGATAGCGATTTCCATGCGACAAATATTTGTAACCGAAACTTGAGCTTGAACTATTACGAACTAGCATGAAAACATACACTTAGAGACATTTTTTCCATATTATGTAGCTTTCATAATTCTTGTATGTTACATGAGGTAATACAAGTCACTATTCCCACCAAAGAGGGGAGGGGAGGGGAAGAGAAAAGTATACACCAATGTATACTTTCCAAAGCTTCTTGTTATCTCAAATCAAAAGAAGTTGTCTTTACTTCCTTCCTATTTTCCTCCCACATTTTATATCAAGCAAGAGTAGATTCTTTTGCAATCAAGTCAACTTAAAACTTTTGCTCTTTTTAAATGTTCCATTGTAAATTATTTAACTCTTAGTGAAAATTATAGATAAATGAATTTGAAGATAGCAAGAGAATTGCAATACTAATGAATAATTGTGTTCTTCAATCAAATTACGCTTCTAACATGATATGTGCAAATAATTGGATAATTATTGGTCTATTAAAATGATTTGTGCTTCCTGAGCACTTATCACTCTACACGAATTTCCATCAAGATTTGCTCGACTAAATGAGGAATTTTCAAAACATTCTTCCAACTAATCATTTAATCCTTATACCGCAATTGGTGATTCGGTTATATTGCTAAAACAAATAAGATACCAACCCAATGAAAAAAATGAAAAAATGATAATTGTCTATTATGTTAATCATAAATTATTAAGCTAAAAAATAGCTCTTCTTAGATAAAATGTCAATCTCAATACTCATTAACCACGATCTCCACAACATTCACTTCATTGATTGTCGCTCTTTCACTCCATCGCCTTCCTTTCACTTCATTGAAAGGTTCTTCTCCAGCTGCATATATAAAGGACATGACGAATTCGAGAGCTTCACTGTCATAATACCATTGAAACGTTTCTCTATATAACTCCATAAATAATAAGAAACCTAATGTAGAATCTATAAAGCTCATGGATTTAGTTTCCTTTGTTAGATACGAACATTTAGGAAATTTTATGTGTTCCCCTTTGTTTTTCAAGAAGAGTCCTTTTAAGTTAATATTTGGAAAAGTTTATATTTGGAAGAGTTGTTAATAAAAGGAAAAAAGGAAAAACGAAAAAGAATCACATATTCTTCATAGTATTTACCCTTCTCTGTGACCTAAGCTCTCCTAGACAATACGGCATGGTATTGTTAGTAGTTTGTCGCGCATCGCCAATTTGTCGAAGTCTTACACTATTGACTTACGTTGAACGACATCATCCCCTTTTTGAGTTGGCTTTTGAAGATTAGGTGCACACGACGAACCCATATAACATAGTTTTAGAGTAGAGAATTGTACGTGATGGGTTTGGAGCTCGACATTTGTATGACACGCTACGCATGATGCATTTGTCCCACATCGCCAGTTCGTTGGGCTATCGGAATGTTAACACGCGGAACGGACACCCTTGAGTTAACTTAGTAGAGGAGCAACTCAATCCAAGGGGTGATAGACTTTGGTGTGTTACCGCAAAGATTTTTTTCATGAGAGTTTGTTTTGCCAACATCATTGATGATTTTTTAGCAAGTCGGAGCCCGGAGGAATTTTTCACCAAAGTTCTTGTTTTGATGACCTAACAATTTAGAGGTGGTTGGAAGAAAGAATAGAAATTTCTCAAAAGTTGCAATTTCTCTTATATTTACTATACATGTTCCCGAACATGTTAGGGTGAGGCTAGTTGAGGCTGGTGTTGAAAGCTACCTATCTAAGCAATAGAATGCACGAGTGTTATCATATCCTAGCACGGGAACCCTATCCAACATTAAGTTCAAAATGTTTGGCTATACTGCATTTATGAATGTACACTCTTAAATGCATGTATACTCTAAACGAGGAAACAAAGTTGATCCTAAGAATCTGAAAGTGCATCATTCTTGGGTATTTTTTCACATGGAAAGATGTATAAATGTTATTCTCCAATATTAGAGAAATTCTATAACTCCATGGATGTTTCCTTCCTTGGAGAACATTCAACACTGTACATTCTGCAGATCCTAGTGAGTTACGTGTCTATACTAGGAGAGACAAGACTCGAGAAAGAAAAGATCAACAGTTTGTTTCCAAACTCAGATGACATTTCACGAGGTAACACTAGCTTTGAATCTACATCTACCGACGTGTTAAATGAGACATTGAGAATCATCATAACACAAGAGATGAAGTACACCCATCCTCGTGAACGGAATCATACCTTCAGACTTTATAGATCTCAGAAATATTACACCCTCTCTCTCTTCCAAGCAATATAACCGCACAATTAGGTGCATTGACTACACGCACTAAAGTATTTCAGACAGTTTTCAAGACATATAAAATTTGAAACATAAATTACCTTACATCCACTTCCTATTGTACCATTCAATTTTAGCAAGAAAAAAGCATCATAAAAAGAGGAAGCAATACCAAACATCAACTCATGTGCATCATGCATTCATAACTTAAAGGAGGTAAAAAAAAAAGAAAAAAAGAAGCCATAACTCAGAATGTGTAGTTACCTGATGAGAATATACTTTCATTTGCCCGACGTACCCTGCCCAGGTTGATGATTATCAGGTAGCTGGTTTCTTTGACCGAGGATATAAGCTGCCAATGACAAAGTTGCAAAGTACCGCTTTCGGTTTTCATCATCAATTTCGGTGCCATTCTGAATCTCCCCATTTGGATCAGTATGGAGCTGCTGACTCCGATTTTCCGATTCCAGTCTAGGTAGCTGCATATATGGCATTGGCTTGGGTACAGAACTACCACAAACCTGACCCCACAAATTGCCCTGAGAACTCCCATGTTCATACTTAATCTCTGGTGCTACATTTCGCGATCCACTTGGTTCAGAGTTGCCAAATTGTTGCACTATATGACGATTATGGTCTAGAGTATGTTCATGTTTCCAATGTGTGATGTCTATGTTTGGACCAGGAAACACATTTCTTGGGGGGGCCCACTTAGAGGAAATCAGCGGCAAGGACGCCTTCTGCAAACAAGAAACATATTAGCAAGTAGAAAAGAAGTTAAAGAGTTGCAGAAAGTTGAGGCGTCAAAGCAAAATAAGGTTTGGATGAACTAATGTGGGTCGAACAGATTGCACTTGTTGTCCACAGCTGTTCACTGTACTAGGAGGTACTTTTGAAACCTCGGGCTGAACCTTTTCCTTTGTGCATGGCTCTCGATTCTGAGTTGGTGGGGGATTCATGGATGTGCTAGTAGATGCAACTACAGAAAACTTTAGGAGTACTCCATAAAGGCATTCTGGTCCAGAAACTTTAAGAACTTTACTCAGAAACTTAGGAGGCACCAAAAATATGGGGGTGTATTCATCAATTCTGATGATTCCAGCGCGGTCTTTGCAAACCAGATAGCTCATGAACTCCATGTACGCAGCAAAATCACTTTCACTATCAGGCAAGAAGCAAACTGTGCTAAACCCAATAGCTTTTTCATAAAGTGTGCTTAGCAAGTCCAATTCAATTCGCTCAGAGCAATCGATCACCTCAGGCCTGCAAAAAAATAAGATGTGCTATTAAATTGAGAGCAACCAATTCTCATCAACCAAAAATGTTTCCTCTTTGAAAGAATTATGCATATAAAATCAAGACTGATGCAGCAAAAATCATCCTTTAGGTCCAAATAACACTAACTTTAGAAGAAGAAAATATTAGGAAAAAAAAAGGCTTTACATATGAACATCAATTCCTTCTCCTATAGGAACACATCGAGCGAGACAAATAGGTATTCCACCCTTCGCAATGGTGCCCCTCCACATGGAACTACTCCCGGATTGGAGCTTTCCAAGTCCACTAGTTGGGACACTTGTTAGAGAAACAGTTGCTCCACCACTACTTCCCAAATTAAGGACATCCTTTTCACCCAATCCACCTTTATTTTCTGCTCTTTCAAGAGACGGATCAGTATCAATTTTTGATCTTTTAGAGTCTCTTTGAAGTTGGCTATTGTCCAAGCCAGGAGGTGCAGGTTTAAAGGTAGTATGAGGACATAAAAATGATGGTCTTATATAGGCACCAGAACCACTAAGTCCTAGGAATGGTGGGCAGCCTCGTAAAGCTGGTGGGTTGAGACCTTGAAAGTCCATCTGAACTGCAGCTCGTTTCGGCGGCACTGTATCAAGGAATTGCTGCAACAGAAAACAAGGAGGCGTTAAAAATGATTATGCTGGCAATTAAAGGAATAAGAAGACATTTACTGTATACTACAGCCAAATAACACGGACAATTCGTTCATATTAACTGGCTACTCGAAATATTTTAAATGAAATAATCAAAAGAACCATAATGATCTGCTATATACAACTGCTGGAAAGAAATGGGAACTAATTATAATTAGTCAAATTCATTATCAATATTCAGACTATTTTTTGTGAAATTCTCATAGTTAAGGTATACAAATTAAAATCGGTAATTACATTTTGTCTCTTGGTTCCTGCTAGAGTAGGCTGAGGATAACTTTTCGAGGAATCTTTTGCCATCCATCTATACTCAGAAGTCGCGGTGATCGTACTAGAAAACTGGACTTGGTTTGCATCTGGACCCTGCTCCTGTAAGACAACAAAATGTTCAACAACATGCAGATAGGCAGGGACCAAATAAAACAACATCCTATGCCTTCAGAAGCGTAGTCAACTGAAATAACAAGTCACCAAAAGTTACAGGTATCAATCACTAAGGTATCACTAAGATAGTCACCAAAAGTGAACTGAGATAGTTACGAGAATTAATCATCGACACCCTTCAGAATCACTAAGATAGTCTCCGGAAATATCAACTTACTCCTCTCCAGAAATCGACACGAATTTGATCACCGCCAATCCGTTTGCCATTCATACATGTCAGTGCCTGAGTAGCATCCTCCAATCTAACGAAATCAATGTATGCAGTGTTGCTGTCTCTGAGGAAACTAACTTTTTTGATTGAACCGAATTTGAGGAACTCTCTCTGCAAGTCTTCCTTGGTAACAGAACGGCTGATTAAAGCCACCAGCAAACTACTACATGGTTTAGCCTGCGGGAAAGTTTGCTACAATAGCAAAAGGAGTATATTAGTACTGAAAAGGAACAAAAAATGATGATATTAAAATGATACATATGGGAAAGAAACGCTGACAACCCTAAAAAACTCTAATGGTATTTGTTTAATTATTTATTTTTAATAATTTTTCTCTACTAATTTTTAATAATTATCAGTCTCCTATTTTTCATCAATATATCTCAAATCTTAAAAGATAAAGATAGAAATTTCTAAATCTATATATTTGGATTATAAATCTTAATATGTAATGTTATATAAAATATGAATAATACTACATTATTAAATTTAACTATGTTCGTGTACTTCCTCAAAAAAAAAATGTTCGTGTACTATATTTTCTTATTATGTATTAAATTGATATTTATTTTTTACTCTTGAAATAATTTTCCGTGCATCGCACGGGAAAAAATATGCTAGTTATAATAAATAAACGAAACCCGATCTAGCTTGAGCTCGGGCTCAGTTTTTGTATTTTTCTATTATTATTTTTTTATTGTTAAATATTATTTATATTATAATAAAAATTTCAAAAAAAATGAACCGATTTTTTTTCTATTATTACTGTAATTTATATTATTATACATGTTATTTAATTTTTTTAATAAAAATTAAAAAATTAAAAAAATTAAAAATAAACGATTAAAAATTTGCTCGAGCTCGAGATTTTATAAGGCCAATTTTATTTTATTTATAAATTATTTAAAAAAAAATCACATATCCAGATAGTGATAAACAATCTACTTCACATACAAATATACAATCACAACAAGTTGACAACAAAATGCAATTAGACATGCAGACACTCAAGCATCGTATTCGAATGGGCCACAGAGTAAATCTCAATTATTTTATATCTATAAACAGTCAAAGTTCTCAAAATACTTCTGATTCTGAATGTTCTACAAAATTCTATATAAACACACCAAATCTAATCGAAACTCTGCATGCTTTAATTTAGTAATCACACAGAGAAACCATAATGAAAACCAATAAATCAAACATACGAATCTGAAAACGGAATCAATGAAGAAAATCGAATATACGAAATCAAGCTAAAGGCACCAACCGGTTTCGCGAACTCGATTTTGAGACGGTTTCCGCGGAGGAGGTGCCCTTGAAGTCCCTGCATCGCAGATCTCGCGCTCTCTATTTCTCTGAAATACACGTACGCGAAGTTGCGGGAGGGGTACAATCTAACCCCGGCGACTTCTCCATGGCTCTCGAACAACGCTTTCAACTCGGAATCTGTGACGTCCGGCATCACGCTGCCGATCCACAGGTTTTTCGACGGATGATTCTCCGACGAATTAGCAACGGAGATGACGCCGTGGCTCTGAGTCGGCTTCGCCGGCGCCGGTTTAGCGTGATGCGCCATATAAAAAAATCTAGAAGGAAGAGAAAGGGACGGAGAGCCCTAGATGGAGGAAAATGGAGAGATAGAGAGAGAGAGAGAACTCTGTATACACGTGTGTACACGTCTAGAGAGAGAAGAAAAGGAGCGGAGAATCCTATATAGAAGACGCCGGAGAGAAAACGAGAATTGTGTGTGTGACTGAGAGTGAGAGTGGACTGAAAGAGAACTGGGTTTTATGTGTGTGGTGAGGGGGTGGGGGTAGGGGGTAGGAGGTAGGGGATGGGGGGTGGTGGGGGTGGGGTAATTATGCAATCTGCTTTTTTGGATTTGTTCAAATCCAATTGGAGCGTGGTGATTAATGTAAAGCTGTAACTGGATTTATCTGAATTAATTGGGGTTTGGTGGGACTTAATTGTATCTGTTGTATATTTTGAAAATTCAATTTTGACCCCAAATTATACGAAAAGTTTAATTTTGACCTCCAAATTATAACTGGATTTATGTATGTTTAATGTTTGTTGCCATTTAAATTTTATTACCAGTAAGTGAGATAATGTAAATTTGAAATCTTGTACATTTTTAAACTTTGGAGGTCAACGTCTATATCTTATCATCCCAATCCGATTGTCTTACCAACTTTTTTAGAAAAAACATAATTTGTTGAATATAATTTGCAATTTTGCAAAAAATGGTAATTTTATTATTTTGATATGAGCAATATTAGGAAAACGTATTATGGATATTAAAATTGAAGATATTACAAAAAAAATCCAATCGATTGTTCGAAAATAATATGCATTGTATTCATTACAAAGAAAAAAACAAAGAATCTATTTTAATTTGACGAACGAATGATGCTAAGATACTATTGTTCAATCTTAGTAGGGGTTGTCTAGGGTCCGAGAGGGTTTGTACTACTCGGACCCAAACGAATAAATCTGGTGCGTTGAAAATATTAAATAAATAATTATAACCGCTGATTTGAAGTACGATCCAAGTATGACTCAGTACGAACCTAGGTATTTATTAATTAAAGTACGAACCCAGTAAAATTAGATCGTACACATATCGTACTTCATCGTACTCCATCGTACTTCATATGAAATTACTATATTAACCTTACATAATTAAACTAGAGAATTAAAAAAATCAATAATATATTAAAACGTAAAAGAATAAAAAGCTGTTAATTTTTTTTCCTCAACAGTCAAAATCTCAGCCCTAATTACCAATTCATATGCATTTCTTATCCAACACAATTCTTCGAGAAAATTAATGGTGGCCAAGAGACTGGTTCATCGTTTGCCCCGACTCTCAATCTTCATCGTTTCGAGAAAATTCTTCGATAAAATTACTGTAAGTGTTCATCGTTTCTCCCTGACTCTCAGTCTTCTTCGATGGCCAAGAAACTGGTTGGATTGGTGGATGATAGATGGAATTATTGGGTTATTGAATGCGGCTCGGGATTCATAGCCGATTAAAAAGCGATATACATTTAGATTTCGTACTTTTTATTCTGAATCGTCTCTTCGAATCACTACCGGAGAAATCGAAGACTTCCGCAAAGGTATCACTGAAATCGAAGACTTCCGCATAGGTCCATATTTCTCTTGTTTCGGCCCGCCGTTTTTTTTGTTTTATATTTCTAGATTTTGCTGCTCAGCGTTATAAGTGCAAATGTTTAGAGACTGACAATCAGGACATTACCGGTCCACTTTTGCCTCTGGCCTTGTTTCAATAAGCTCATAGAAACTGTGTTGCTGTAACATGAAGAGGAATTTTAACACGTTTTTGCCATTTATAAATTGGGACAAGAGGAGAAAAGTGTATGAACGAGGTCTTACATGTGGAATGATGATAAAGGATATTTTAACATATTGTATTCATATTTGTTTGTAGGGGTGGTGATAAAGGATCTGCAGAACTAAAGCGTACACTGAGCTGGGAATTGGAATATGAAATGGAAACTCTTCAAAAGTTACAGAAGGTTGAGTTGCCATCGACATCAACACAGTCCAACAAGGTATCATGCTGTTTGATTTTGGATTCTTTTTTAAGTTATTCAGTAAGTAATTGATATTATTTTTATTTACACCAAATGCATGTCTCCAAACTTACGAATGTCAAGAAAGCAAAAAGATTGAGTAACGTTGACAAGATTGTTAATCAATACGAGGATCGGCATCGCAAAGAATGTCACGATTTTGTTAATAAGGAGAAGGCATGTATCTTTTTTCTATGGCCATGTTAATCATAAATGAATTTATATGGTAATTCTTTTTACAAATGAATTTTGATATATAATTAAATATTAATTTGTGAACCTGTTTTTTTTAGGTTACAATGTTCGAACACCGAACTTCTCTCCGGAAGTTGATAGATGTCAATAAGAATCTTCACAGCTCTCAGATAAAAGTGATTGAACTAATGGGATTTGGTTCACTTACCAAAGTTCAGCTTGATCAGATAGATAAAGTTACATTGAAATGGTTTATAGAGAGATATGACCCAGAAAGTAGTTGCTTTAGTATTGAATCTCAGCGCTATGTTATCAGTGATGTAGATGTTAGAAATGCATTAGGGGTACCTGCAACAGGTCAAGATATTACACTAGACACTACAAGCACAGAGGGGCTGGAAAAGTATAGACATATTTTTAAAATCGTTGATGGACGAATAGACATAGTAGCTTTGTTGGAGAAACTTCAAAGTTGCACGAGTACTGATACAAAGTTTAAGTTAATGTATTTGGTGTTACTGTTTGGCACGGTTTTATTTCCGAGTTACAGTCAAAAATTCCCGGTACACTATTTGAATCTTTTGGTGGCCGTAGATAATATTGTAGACCTTAATTGGGCGGGTCTCATCCGAAATACTCTAAATGATGGAATCAGGAAGTGGAAGAATAAAGAAGGCACTTACATATCTGGATGTTTATTATTTTTCCAGGTATAAATTTTATCAATCATTTAAATTCAATATCTAATTTTGATAAAGCATTTTCACTGAATTTTTTTTTTTGTCATTTATAGGTGTTCTATCTTGCAATTGTACGCCCACAAAATTCACCGTTTGTGCTCAATTTAACCACTGAAAGGCCTTTCTTGGCCTTTCTAACGAAGCAAAGGATCAATTTCTTAACTGCTAATGTGCAAAAAGATAGTAGATATTTGAGGGAGCAGGTACCTTATTCATTATATTTGGTTTACCATTAATTATATGTTAGGAACTTTTATGCTTGATATAGACTCTTGATAATGGTAAGTATGATTTTAATGCATTTGTTATCTATGTATTGCATTTTGTATTGCAGTGTAGTGGTTCTTTCGAGGTATATTTGTGGGGCTAATTCATTGTTTTTTTGTGCTTTGATAGGTGTTATGGAGTTTTAGCTTTTCATCTTCGTGCGTAGTTAATCTTGGAGCTCGTTTGTCTTGGGAGCAGTTACTCTTGTTAGCTTTTAGCATATTTTGTGGTCCTCCGTATTTTTCTTTCTCTTTCGTTTAATGATTAATTGCAGATGATTTTAGAGACAGATTTTTTTCTTTTTTTTTATTGTATTTGGGTTTTGGTTTAGGATAAATTTGAATCCGACGGACTTTGGGGATATTGTATGTTTTGATTTTATTGATTAAATGATTTTTATAGTGATGGATTGTGGGTCTTAATGAGTTCTTACGGCCTGGAGAGTTATATTTTTATCTTTTGATTTTTGTAGTGATAGATTTTTTTCTGTTTCTGATAGCAATGTCATCAAGAACATTAAATAGGTGAGCTAAAAATTTGTTAGAAGCAGGTTCAATGATAGCAAAAAAAATTGCCCCTTGCCCAAATCCATAAACTTTAATACTTGAAAGGCTGGAGTGTAATTAAATTTTTTTAGTCAAATTAATTTTCGAACGTAGAAAATCTTGATTAATTGGTAAATGTGTAATTTCTGAAATTGTATATTTAGTTCAAAAATAAACTTGAAAGCTGGGACTAAATTTTAAAATTCCAAACTTTGAGAAACCTCAAATCAGATTTTAGCTTTATTCCAACTGGGCCCTCGACCAATTCAACAATAATAAAAAGTAGGAGATTAACTGTAGTTTCAAAGACATTAATTTGGGGTAAGTTGCAATTTATTAAAACTTTCAGAAGTTGGTGGTGATGGGGCTTGAAACAAGTGGCCTTGAAAGGGCGGCGCAGCCGAGATAACCGCCCGTAATTTAATATTTCACCCATGTTTCAACTACATAATCCTTAGTTAGATTAATTCTCAGCCAAATTATTTTGCGAATTTTTTTTACCACAAAATAGATACATATAATATTTAGCAAAATAAATCATAATTCAAGGATAAATGCCAAAACCGCCAGTAAATTTAACCACAAAATCTTTAACAAAATATATGCAAAACCGCCAGCAAATTTAACCACAAAATCTTTAACAAAATATATGCCAAAACCGCCGGTAAAAACAAAAATCCAAGGATAATCATAGTCAAAATTATTCCATGGTCACCATAACCATCCATCTATAGACACGATCCTATTGAATTCTGACTACAGTCATATTGAGTACTACTAGTTTCCACTATATTTCTTGATTTCTTGGCACAAGCATTTGTACGTCGATCAATGTTGACGGGATTTCTAATACACGTGGTAGTTTTATGGCCAGGCTCCCTTGCAAAAAACACCATAAAAGAAATCATAAGTACTAATTGAAATATTTAATTAAATTTAAGTCAGAAATTTGTCTTTACAAAATAGAATGAGCACGTACCGACAAAAACCACATTCATCAAAACAATTGAAAATTCAAGTGACCCCATAATGTTTACTGGTATAGTGCAATGAATTTTAATTTTAATTCTAATTTTAGTTTTTTTGGCTAGATTAAAAATTAAAAGAAATGAAATAATTATGGCAACAAGATGCAGGGGAGGTTCATTTATTATGCAATGAAGCAGCCAACAGCTTGAAAATAACTGCATATAAAAAAATTGAGGTGAAAACAAATGAGTGTATCACATCAAATTATACTGTTACATACATCTCCATGGCCACACATCTTACAATCAAGATTTAGTTTTTATGTTGTACCCTTCGGACAAAAAAACAAAAACCAAATTAACTGAATTTGTAATATTTCATTACACAGAACTAATAGAAAATTAACGAACAGCTAGGGCTTCTCTCTTTTTTTATTTATTTATTTATTTTTTATTTTTTTTTTGGTTGCAAGAGAAATTAAAAGAAGAATAATTTAAATCTGTCTAAAAAATACCAAATAAATCATTCTTTCAACCAAACACCATGAAATTTCGTTGAGAATCAGATTTATAAGTCTATAATCATATCCAATTAGAATCTCATGAATCAAAATAAGATAAAATCTAATTTAACACATAATTCATAGATGACTCAGAAATTGTGCAGTTTCGGAAAATGGTTCATAACTTGACCAATATAATTCTTATTTACGCATACCATATATCAAAACGAAGTTAACAGAAACATCTGCATGCACATTTAATTTCATAATTTTCATAAAATAAATCATTGATGAAACATGCACTGGAAGATGGGGCTACGAATCTGAATTTCGAACTAGGGTTCATTGAAATCTATATTTCTTGACCTAGATCCCTAAATTCGATTCCTAAACATATAAATCAATTCAACACATAAACATATCTTATTATTTATCATTGATTCAGTAAAGACTAGAGTCCTTACCCCTTTGAAGAAAATCGAAGACAAGGGAAAGAGTAAACCGAAGGATTCTCGGAGCTTTGGCTTGAAGGCTTTTTTTTGCGGCTGAACTTGAAGACTAATGTCTGGTTTTCTGTAAAATTCATGGAATGGAATCTCAATTGTCGACCTCTCATACTGACAAAAACCGACAAACTAGAACACCAAGTATGGTGTGAACTGTAATTAATCATTTACACGCAAATCCTTCAATAAGCCCAACTCCAAATAGATTGTTAAGAAAAATCAATCAAACACGTAGTTGAATAAATTAATTGAAGAAATCAATTGATAAACCGATAAAAACAAGCGTCTAAATCTTTGCTAACCCCAGATGTCAATTTTGTTTTCCTGTACACAATAACTACACGAAACACAGTTATATATGGATTTGTCCAATTCATGAATTAGAAAACACACAAAAATCAAAACCCTACACCTTAACTTTCTTGTTTTCCTTTATTCGTAGAGAAGAGAAGAAAGATTATACCTCGACTATATCCCTGCCCGAAATGAACGATTGATGAAGATGATTTTTATTTTTATTGATGATGATGGGCGACGATTTTTATTGATGATGATGGCAGGGCCGTTCCTGAGAACTCGGGGGCCCTAGGCGAGATTTAAAGAATCACTCAAAATGGGCCCCCTATTTGAATTTTTTTTTTGTGTTATAAGGGTGTGTCGAAATTGAATATACTAAAAGAATATAAATACCATTTCATAAAAGTGATGGACTAACAGATTACGGGGGTTCGGGGGCAGCGCCCCCGATTTTTTTTTTTAAATGTTTGAATATAAAATAACTAAAGATATGGAAAATTTTCAAAACCGAATGATTTGCTGGTTCACTTCCTACTGTGACATATAATTTTTATAGCAAATAGACTTCATAAATATTTTATAAAAAGAAACTTGAATAAACTAATGAATATTAATTCAAATTTTAGGAATAAAAATAAGTAATCAAGACATTATAAATTCAATATTTAGGGGCCCCAAGGTTAAAAAAATTATAAAAATATCTACTTGATCATTAATTTTAAATTTATTTTAGAACTGATGTTCCAAAATATTATATATAATACATTTTAAAATTAAGTACTTATATATAAAGTGTATAAAAAAATATTTGGGGGCCCTAAATTTTCATAAAAAATCGGGGGCCCTAGGCGACCGCCTACTTCGCCTCCCCTCAGAACCGGCCCTGGATGATGGCGACGATTTGTTTTTTCACCCTTTTTCAGACGATGAATAGACAAAGAAAAAAAAGGAATGAAGAGATTAGGGACGATTTGTTTTTTCTCTTTTTTTCAGACGATGAATAGAAAAGAAAAAAAAGAATTGACGAGATTAGGGTTTAATGAGAATAATTAGATCGTAATAATTAGATTGTAATAAGCTTGTAAATTATTGATTTTTCTAATTATATTTTTTATTTTAATTAAAAAGGGTTTTTATGTAATTTCAACCGTAATCCAGGGTTCGTACTTTTTTTACTGGGTACGTATTAATCCTGCGTGGCACGTTTCTATTGGTTGATCTTCAATCGTTTGGGTCCGAGAAGTACATACCCTCTCGGACCCTAGACAGCCCCATCTTAGTATAGTCAATAGTGCACAATAACTAACAAAATTTTATTCCACTCTTGTAGCTCAATTATAATTATCAAAATTCAAAATATATTGAAATCAATTGATACAATAATTATTTATTTTTTCTATTATTAGTATATACAAAATTAAAAGTTATAATTGGTTAATTTAGTTGGGCTTGGTTACTTTTAGGCATTGGGCTTTCTTACTTCTAGGCATGGGTGTACTTATTTGATTTTGGCCCATCATAGCCTGAGAATTTGGGCCATTGGTCCGATCCATGATAAGCTATACTTGGCCCATTGGTCCGATCCATGACCCTTGTGAGAGACGAACGGGGTTGGTTAATATGAAAAATGCGACGTCGTTGAATTACACGAGTTTGATTCTCTTACTCTTAGGTATTTTTTGCTTTTCATGAAAAATGTGGATTGATTGATTAGTCTCGTCTGCCCACTATTGATAAAGGGCATGGTCTACTACCCTTGAATGCACAACCACTTTACGGAAGATTGTACACCATCAACTATGAAACAATCATTCCAATTCACAACTATTTTTCCCTTATTTGTTGATTCTTCGTGTCCGCTTCATGTTTGTTGATTTTAGGAAACAAACCGGAGATGATCTGACGGGATCATCCAAGCAAAATAGTTACAACCTCCAACTTGCTAAGAAACATAAAAGAAAATTAGAAGGCAGAATAAGAAAAATCATAAGTAATCTACGAAACTCAACAAAATCGAAACATTTCCAGGTATTTCTCACATGTGAAGTATCTCATTTTTTAATTTAGTTCAATCCATGAAGTTTTCATAGTTCGTTGTTCTTGTACAGTGGCATGTGAAATCCATAATTTGAGCACACCATAATTAGAATGCCATGAGAAAGGAGACGGGGTCAACTAGAATTAGAACAACATAGATTAATTGAGGGGAAATAATTAAAATAGAGGTAGCATATGGAAAAAATGGGAGAAACTGAGATAGGAGAAAAAAACTAATTTGCCCCAACTCTTTTCATGTGGAATGCACGTATTGTGAAAGCCGCTCAATTTTGGCGCCATGTCAACATTTGGTAGTTTTTTTCGATTCAGGGACTAAAATGTGAACACACGCAAAGTTGAGTGGTTGCGTTGAGTGGGAAAATGCACTTTACTTTTACACACAAATATTGTACAGTCTTACGTGGACTTAGCATATCATTATTATTGCTTACTGGCTAAGGATCTAATTCAATTGCTAGTGGTGATGTGTCGTACAAATTCTTGTATAAATATCCCTTATTGCAACAAGAATAACACAACAATTTTCTCGCAGCTCTCCTTAGCAATTCGTCATTTCCTTTTACAATTTCTCTCTCAATTTACAATTTCTTAAGCTTTTAGTCATAAGCTATTTAGCATATATATATTATAAATAATATTCTATAACATGATTTATATTATAAACGAGGAAAGAGGGGAATGATCGTTATCGGAAAATATCTCAAATTAAAATTCAAATCTAGAATATATTAATCATTACGGAGAAGTGGGGCAAACTGGAATTATTATAATTAAATCAAATTGGGGAGAAGGGGTGAAATTGGAATTGGGGTTTGAAATCCCAAATTTGTTTATATTTAGTTTCGAATTGAAATTTCCCACCCTGAAAGCAGCGGCGAACCAATAAAACCTTTTCCACTCCGACAACCATTTTTCTGTGATCGGAGAGGAGACGGCAGCAGCGAAGGAGAAAGATACGGCTTGGCGGTGGGATTGTAGCAGATTGACAGTCTTGTGGCGGACTTTGGTGGTAATTGGATACTTATATTCTCTTGCTGTTTTTTTTATAACATATTTAGGGTTATACCTCTTTTAACTGTTAATGGCTAAAATTGGGAGTGCTTGTTGCTGGAAATTGTTGGAAATTACATCTATAAAGAACTACAGTCGTTAAAGAATGGTGAATTGCTGATTGTTTTCTTCCCGCCTTTGTCTTAAAATATGATATTGATCTCGAGAGATGGGTCTTGTAATTCACTAAATATATTGTTTGTCTTCTAACATCTGTTATCAAGCCAGATAAAACATGTTTAGTTTCTGCCTTATCGTTTTCACTTTGTTTCGATACTCGTAAGTACAAAATTCACTGCGACACTTGCCCTCTAGGTTATGATCATACTCGACGGAAAATGAATTTTGGAGGGCAACAATTGTTAACATGGAATCTGTACTCTGACAATTCTAGCAAATAGAAATGGTACTATGCTTAGGGCTGCAGCTAGTTGGATTCATAGAATGTGATGTTTATGTCGAACTTTTAGGTCTTGTTCTTTGAACTGATGGCTTGATCATGATACAGGTTAGGACCCGTGTCGAGTGCTCTGATTTGGGAGTCGGAATTGGAAATTAGTCATTTACAAATTGTAGCTTTTGATCCGTGTGGAAGCTGGATAACCTTCCACCATTTCGAAGTTCAGATTTGCTAGTAAACCTCACGAGCTGAAAGGTTGGACTTCAACTACAAAAATGGATGATTGGGACTTAAGCGCAGAGGAATTGGATTACCTGGAAAGAGATGCCATAAAGCAATTGGCTGAGCGCAATTACTCATCTACTGCTTCCACCGCGCAAAACAGTTGCATCAGTAGGCCTGATGTATCTTCCCGACCAGCTGTGGTGCCATCTTCTCGTTCCCCAGCCAAGCCTGCTTTTCTATCTCGTCCATCTCTGGACAATGATAAGGTTATTTTTCTTTTTCGTTGCAATCTCTTATTCTATCACTTCTCGTTTAGTAGTTTTGCTATTCCAATCAATAAGTGGATGAAACTTCTCCGGTGCTTCAGTTAAAGACTCTGTCGAGATTTTTCAAGTAAAATTAGTTAAATACCCCTTAATGTGTTCAATACAATCATCTAAGTTCAGGAAATTCTCTTTCCATTTTATACTCTTTTGCATTTCCTTTAACCTCTATCTTCGTGAAATTCAAATTGTATTTCTCAAGGCAGTTTATCTTTGTAACCCGTGCTGTTAGCTCATTCATTCTTGATCATGATTTATGAAGCAGACCGGCACAGCACCGCAGGCAAGAATATTACCTTCATCCGTGGTGCCAAAAATGAAGGGTGAGTTCATTCCTTCCGTTGTTACTTGTAATCTGTGTCTATATTTCTGATTGACTGTGCTCTTATGTTTGCTTTTACCTGCACACTTGGCGGGGTATATTTCTTTCCAAATTCAGAAGATCCTCCAAACCAGCAACATCCGAAGGTTGCAGTTAAATTTTTTTTACATGCCAGTGGAAACATTGCCGCGAAATTTCCTTACGACAAGGTATGCCCTGAACTATCGACTTGTATGGTTTAATTGACATAACTTCTCATATTTCTCTTACCATCATTCTTTTATCTTCTAATAGGTACTTGTAGGAGCTTTCCACAAAATTCCAAAATCCAACTGGAATTCAAAAGAAAGGTCTTCTTCACTTCCCATGGACTTCCCTACCCCATTTGCTTGAAATGTTGAGAAATTTTCAATCTCCATTGAAGGGAGATAAACTAGTATATATAAGCTGTCTGTTCTTTGTGAAATTTCTTATCCTTGTCTGGTTTACACTCAGACTTTGTTGTAAACTATAGATTTTGATTTTGTTGCTTCATCTATTGTAGATTGTGGATGTTTCCTATGTCATCACTATCAACTGCAGAAAGTGTTCTCAATGACGTCACTGGTTCTAATGTTGAGGTGATACTTGTAGATCAGGATCTTTGAATGTTGTATGTTCATGTGTACATGATGGTCTAAATAGGTCCTTTATACATATCCTTCTCTAATGAAAATTATGCTGTCAAGATAGAAGAAGCCTGTAAAGTGTAAACCATTTTATATGATTGTGTATGTGACTGACAGCCGAGATGTTTAGCTTGATAACATCTTGTCGCTATTCATTTTCCAGATAGAGAACTTAGATCCTATGGTAAGGCGTGCTATTACTGCTGCCACTTCACTTCCGGATCTTCAAGGTAAATATGATTCTTCTTTATATTAACCTTAAGATGGAGCCCGTCAAAATTAGATTCAGAAGAACTATATATTTATCATGGACAGCTGAGTGGAATTTTTAGAAAATTCTATTAGGACACTTTAACATTTTCCTTCTATTTTTCCATTTTTTTATTTCCTTCTGTGTTTACTTATATGCGGACTTCCCTATCAATCTGGACAATGACTTGGGTTTTTACAAATCTCCTAAAGAAAGCAAATGTTTCTCATAATATCAAATTCTTCACCAATATGTGTACAATTTGGATTCAATATAATCTTAATCCTCTTATATTAACTTCTACATTTCATGTGGCTAGCCTGTGTACTATAGTGCCCAAAAAATAAGTTTCCTCATGCAATGTTCTCAACAGACCAATATGATAAGATTCCCAGCTCCATTGAAGCAAAGCTACTGCCTTTCCAACGTGACGGTGTCAGGTTTGTATTATGAAGAGTAGTTCCCTCAAATAGCCTTATTCTTCTGTTCATACATGATTGATATTAGGCGTGTAAAAGTTTACATGACCTCAATATATATATATATATATATATATATATATATATATATATATATATATATATATATATATTGATGCTTTTTATCAGATTGTCTTTTGAGTATTCGGTCCTTTTCAGATTTATATTGAAGCATGGAGGGCGGGTCCTGCTTGCTGATGAAATGGGGCTGGGAAAGACTATTCAGGTACTATCAGGTTGTCTTAAACATGTAAAATTATTCGTTTCAAACACGATATATGACACATAGTTTTATTATGAAATCACTAAGATTCATTGATGAAATGAATCTGATCTGACACATCTACAGGCCATTGCAGTAGTCTCTTGCATTCGTGAAGCATGGCCTGTTCTCGTTATCACCCCATCTTCCTTGAGACTTCAATGGGCTTCTGTAAGTGATGTGGTATATGTCAGTTCTTAGAATTATTGCTCATTTGCACTGATTTTTGGCTGTTTTACTGCAGATGATTAATCAGTGGCTGGATATTCCATCATCAGATATATTGGTATGTTTTTCCTGCTTATTGTGTTGTTTGGGTATTTATCTGCTGGAAAATTCTGTTAGATTCGTGGTCTTTATAGAAAATGTAATTTGGATGTATGAGTTATATCATGAAACATTTGGAGTAACCACTATGAACCACATATCATATTCCTTTATTTATCAAGTATCTAAACACGAGCAAAATATAAAATTTTATCCTGATAAAGAGTTATGAACAGGTGGTTATGTCTCAGTTGAGTGGTTCAAACAGAGGTGGGTTTAATATAGTGCCCTCAAACACCAAGAGGCCAATTACTCTTGATGGCGTCTTCAACATCATATCATATGACGTCGTACCTAAGTTACAGCCCTTACTTTTGGCTTCCGATTTCAAGGTAATAGTTTGAAACTCTATTTTGTATAGTAGTACCCTGGTACAGTTTAATTATTCAGTTTGAAATCGTGAATTCCTTGTTTGTACTTTCATGTAATAAAAAAAGTGTTGGTTTTATTGCTACCTACACGGCAGTTGTTTTCCTTTTTACCCTCCAAAATCCTGTATCAATGTGCCTCCTTGAAATGAACACATTGTGCTACATGTTTTAGAACTTATAGTTTTACATTTTATTAGTTCCTTTGCGCCTTTAAATCCACGAGGAAGATGGAGTTTTTTCCTTTTGGCTTCTCTAAAAGAGTTTCATTTACTTACATACATATGTGTATATATAGATCATATCCATTAAGACAGCCTTTTACATTACATGTGATACAATTGTATGAAATCTTTTAAGAGTTACTGCATACGGGTCTGTTATAGCTAATTAAATTTGATCAACCCCGTTATGTTTATTCAGGTTGTGATTGCGGATGAATCACATTTCCTGAAGAATGCCCAAGCAAAACGAACAACTGCATCACTTCCCATATTGCAGGTTCAACTTTTTCTGTTTGACATGAATTTTGGCATCCTTGGCAGTTTAGAAGTATGAGTCATACCAATCAGGAGCAGCTCTAAATACTACACATGGATTTTGGTCCACCCCTTAGCTGTCATCAAAATGCTCAGTTTATACCTAAGGATTGTATGCAATCTCTTTGAAAATTGAAATAACAGCAGAAATAAAGAAGGAAGTTGGATAGAGATGAGTGTAAATTTGTTGCCTTATCTTGTTGTTATGGTCTTCATTTCTCTTGTAACCTTGTAGTCCTGGCTCACTAAGATCCATTTTCATTGTAATTAAGTAATATATCTCTCGCTTTATTCTCGTTTCACTTTTAGTTAATTTTCATTCATTGCTGATGATCTGTAGAGAGCTGACTATAAAATCTTGCTCAGTGGAACTCCAGCATTGTCACGACCAATTGAACTATTCAAACAGGTATAATTCTAAACATCAGTTGTCAGGGTTGAATCCTTGTTTTATACCCAAATTTAATAATTGGTCTCTGCATTGCAGTTGGAAGCCTTATATCCTGATGTGTATAAGAATGTCCATGATTATGGTAACCGTTATTGCAAGGGTGTAAGTCAAATTTCTGAAATATCAATTATATCCTTTTTCCATTTATTTTCTGATAAACCTATTAAACTCAAGATTCCGTATTTTTCAGGGTGTGTTTGGACTCTATCAAGGTGCAAGTAATCATGAAGAGCTGCATAATTTGATGAAAGCAACATTAATGATCCGAAGACTCAAGAAAGATGTTCTTTTAGAGCTTCCGGTTAAACGCAGGCAACAGGTATGTAACTTATTTGATTTTTATCAATGATTGATGGTGATTTTTTTTAATCATCTGTATTTTGAAGTACTGCAATTTAAGTGTTTTAGGGGATATGAAGGATAGGAACAAAAAAAGGAAAAAAAATCTGAATTCTGGGTTCTCAATTCCATTGTTTTCATCTGGATAGTTTGTGCCACATTGTCTCCATACACTTTTAGTAGATTTTAAACAAAGATTTAGACAACATTACTCAAATACCTTTATCTCAACTGTAGTGCCACTAATTCATTGGTTTGCCTAAATCATTTTTTTTGTTCAATAGTGGTCTTATACCTTTTTAATTATGAACTCTTTGCAGTTGGTTTGAATCCCCTTCTTGAATTTTTATTTTGGTTCACTTGAATAAATGTTTGGTCTTTTTGTTCAAAATGTACAATAGTAATATGTGTGGTTGTTTACTTCATTTGAATCAGATCTATCACTTCAAAGCAAAGTATAGAGCTTCTACTTGAGAGTTAGCTGTGAAATGTTTCCTGTATCCTGTAGTACTTGTTATTGTTGTATCAAACTTGCTTCAATCATTCCGCCCGGTTCTAGTTTTTTAATCATATTGTAAGTTCCTGGCATCCAGATAGTTGGTTTGATTATTGAGAAAATAACTCATGTGCTTAATTTTATGTCTTGTAGATTTTCCTGGAGCTGGGAAATGAGGAAATGAGAAAAATCAACGCTTTGTTCCGTGAGGTGATATATGAATATCTGGTGTTTTTGTAGTTTTTTTTTTCCTGTTCAATGCAAAGGAGAATATCTTGAACCATCAGCACAACTTTTCAGTTTGCCCACTCTCTCCTTGTCAAGAAAAGGAAAAGCGCTTGGTTTTAAATAACAGTTTTGAGATGCTTATTCTGTATGGTATTCTTAACCGTATATAGATAAGATAATAATCCTACAACGATTCTTGTCCTACAGTTAGAGGTTTTGAAAATAAAAACCAAGTCATGCCAGTCCAAAGAAGAAGCTGAATCACTCAAGTTTTCAGAGAAAAATCTTATTAATAAGGTACGCCTGCTAAAGAACCATATATAAGTTCCTCTTTTGGGTACTGTTTCTTGATGCCCCTCAATTTGACATGCTCATTTCTTTGGTTGATTCCGTATAACTTCCTTTTAATTTTCCCTTATGGTTCTCAATCCATCTTTTATATAGTTCTTTAGGTGCTCAAACTTAATTATTTCCTCGTCTCAAAATGCATGCTTTCCTATATTCATTTTTTCGTCCTATTTTCTTATCAGTTAAAGGAAAATTGTTAATTACCTGCTGCAACCCATATTCTGTTATATAGTATTTTTTTTAAAATATGAATCGTGCTATTGATTCATTTTCTTGGTTGCATTAGTGGAATAAATGGTTCCATTCTTATAAGTCTGTTTATGCATTTGATTCCATTTACTCCAGATTTATACTGATTCTGCTGAAGCGAAGATTCCAGCTGTTTTAGACTACCTTGGAACCATAATTGAGGTATGTTATTATCAACATTGGCTTCCCTTATATTTTTCCTATCTTTTAGAGAATGCATAGATTTCAAGCTGGAATGAAGAAGTTCATACATGAAATTAGGTTTACTCCATATTCTTGCATCAACAGTTATCAACATGGGTTGAACCGGCCATCATAGATTTTGATGGAAATTTCTTATGATTTTTTTTCATAATATGAGTGGTAGAGATAATTTTCCTAATACTAAAAATTTTAGCAGTTATTCGGGAAACTGAGTTCTAGGCTTATCAAAGGGCTATACGCGTGGCGTGGATTTCTTTGTTAATACTATAGCATTTGTAGAAGCTTACTTTAGGCTTATGACAGGGTAATGCAGCTGGCAAGTTATCATCTGAAATAATAAGTTTTAAACTGGATATTTGCAGTGCATATTCTAGGTGTAGATATGAGAATCTATTTGTTGCTTGTTCACTTTTCATGCATAATTGTATTCCAGGTCTCTTGACAGTCTCATGTTGCCTTCATGTATTTATTCTCATTGTCCTTGATAAGGTGTGCAGGCAGGTTGCAAATTTCTAATATTTGCGCACCATCAACCGATGATTGACTCAATACACAAATTTCTCCTGGTAAGACCCTGGTTCTTATGTTTGAGATGTTATTGTACACACCCTCATGTCATATTCTTGATCATATTTTCAGAAGAAAAAAGTCGGATGCATAAGGATTGATGGCACCACACCGTCAGCATCAAGACAAGCTTTAGTGACTGAATTTCAGGAAAAGGATTCGGTGAAGGCTGCAGTGGTATTGCGTTTGTCTTATGTAGAATTTGTTCTACTGTTGGTTTTTTCCTCTGTTCTTCAATGCAGTGCACTTTTTGATGTGGTTGTCTAGTTATCCATCAAAGCCGGAGGCGTCGGCTTAACATTGACAGCAGCAAGCACAGTGATATTCGCAGAATTATCTTGGACTCCAGGTGATATGATTCAAGCAGAAGATCGTGCCCATAGGATTGGTCAGGTAACTTCATGGACTCGTAATGAAACTAGATCTGATGCATGTATCTTGAGCAGTAACTAACTTAAAAGAATGTTGGTTGAGAGGTGGAAGTCAGTTATGTAACATCAGTCACTTTTGAGATTCTTTGGATTTTACTATCAGGAATCTGGGTTTTTAAATTTTTTTAGCATTACAGGATAGTTTTTGAAGTTCCAGTGTTATAACTTATAATCCTTGGTTCCATTGTTGCCTAAAAGCTCTTTCATGCATTTCGAGTTTTATGCTATGATTAACTTAGTCGTCTGATCTGCTAGAACTTATAAGCTGATGATGCTTGAGAGTTTGCATTGTCATAGGTCCTCCCTTATTTTTGGCTGTCATCATATATATTCAACAAATTTGCTCACTGTTACTCGTGTTCAGAATTTCTGACATTTGAATTCTTTATTTGTACTATTGAGATTAACTCATGCTTCTGTTGAAAACTGCTTCTTTCTTAGGTATCATCAGTTAATGTATACTATTTGCTGGCAAATGACACGGTCGATGACATAATATGGTACTTCTTTATGCTCTTCCCATCTTACAGATGCTATATTCGTTGTATGACCTTTCTTTAATGCCGTACTGTATTTATGAAAGACTCGTATATTTACTAGGCATAGAATTATCTGACTTGGCTGACTTATTTCAGGGATGTCATCCAGAACAAGCTGGAAAATCTTGGACAGGTACTTGTCCTCCAAAATCCTATTCGTATTGCCAATACACTATGTTTACACAAACATAAAAAAACGAAACACTTCCAGAAATCTATTTATTTCATAGATATCTGACTATATTCATAACTGCATTAACAATTCGTACTCAATTCATATGAGAAATGGGATTAAAGTTTCACATACATGCCTTTTCCTTTCTTCCATTAAATCCATTCTACCCCAGAACTGTCACTTTGTTTTTTTTTTTTTTTGGGTAGCTATTACCATGGCGGTTTATTTTAACTTATGTTTTGCATTGATTGTCAGATGCTTGATGGCCATGAGAATTCTCTACAAGTAGTTGGTCAACCAGGAAGGAGCCCTTTGAAACATAAGACTACAGGAAGCAGCCCTTTGAAACATAAGACTATAGGAAGCAGCCCTTCGAAACACAAGAATTTAGAAAGCAGCCCTCTGAAACAGAAGACACTCCACTCGTTCATGAAGCGTTGTGATAATTCTCAGTCAGATGATGAACCTAAGCACAAATACCCCAGGCAGTGAAATCACAGCTACATATATATGTGAGTCTCCACTTGTGCTGAGATTCATATTGTTTTGTTCGGTTATTAATATTATTGTTCGAATAGATTTACAAATTTGTCTGTGAAAGGTAGTTCAATATAGTTGCAACATCCTACGACGATGGTCTTTAATACCGAGCTTGACTTTTTGTTTGCAGAAGGTTAAAACAAAACAAAATGCACAAAAACAGAGTCCGAGGAGCATTAGTTTTCTTGTCCGTTAATCAAATTTTCGGTTTAGTCTCATAGGATTAGCCTAAAACAAGTATTGTTCTTCAGTACCATATTAATATATTGCTTGAAGTTCTGTAAGAGATGATGAATACGTTGCTGTATTTACACTCCGATAAATGCAGGTTTTTTTTTTTTTTTTTTTTTTTTTTGTAAAAAGCTAGACATTTAACTGATACTAATCATCGATTCGCATTTATTGTTTTGAGTGTGCCAAATAATTTTAGGCCTCGTTGAACGTCATTTAATGTTTGGTTAGTCTGATAATTTATCTAACCTGTCACAATTATAGAAGAAAATAGCTCTTATTTTAATTTATTTAAGGAATGTGTGTATTGGATCTCAGTTCAATTGTACTATTGAGTTATTAAAAGATTTGAATAATTTTATTTTGAAAATAATTGAATCTTTATATGTAAAAGAAATGTTTGCTATTTTCATTAATCGTAGATTTGAATAATTTTATTTTGAAAATAATTGAATCTTTATATGTAATAGAAATGTTTGCTATTTTCATTAAATCGTAAATCAATCATGGGTGGAAGGAAAAAAAAACCAAAAAAAGAAATAAAAAAATTGCCAATATTGAAATGACAAAATTGCCCTTAGGAAAAGAAAACCACACATGAATAAGCTTGAGAACTGCAAATTATTTGAAGATACGAACAAAGAACTTGCAGGACTGAGCACCGTCGTACCATCACCGTCGATAGAGACTCCCATCGGAACCACCGCCCCGTCGTACCATCACCGTCGATAGAGACTCCCATCGGAACCACCGCCGCTTACAAATGAACAATTAGTTTCTGCGGCATCATAAGCATTAAGTTTGTAATTAAGGTAAAAAGTTCCGCCTTCGTTTTTTTACTTAGGTTTTCTAATTGTCCAGTTACTTTAATCGACGCATTTAATTGTTTTGATATCTTATATTTGGAACGTATGTTTTTTTGTGCAAGCATTATATTTTCGTTGTTCTAAATTTGTTAATCGGAATCACAAATGTTTAGAATTACTGAATTTATTTTATTATTGATGAGGGGAAAAAACATGACGATTGCTTATTCTAAGAGTGGATGCTTTGCCCATTGTCTTAGTTCCTGTTCTGCTATTGATTTGATTTGTCCTTTTTGTTATTTAGAGCTCTTTTAAGAACATCGAACCCAAGTTAACAATGGAAAGATCGAATGAAGCCAATGATTTTTTATTCATACCTTTACATCTTCCCGTCGGTTGTATTTATTGTACCGGATAAATAAGCCCAGTTTTCTCGCCTATTCACTAGTTTTTCACTCCATATTAAGACATCTCGCCTATTCACTAGTTTTTCACTCCATATTAAGACATTGTTGAAGGGCACTAGTTTTTCACTCCATACTAAGACATTGTTGAAAGGCGGTTTTGACAAAATGGTAATATCTCTCATGTTATTTATTTGTCTGTTTTGTTCTTTTCTAAACTATAGCGACATGTTTGATAGTTATTTGTTTAACTTTTTCCGGATTGTAGGCAAGTTGGAATAACCCATTATGGAAAACGAATGGAGTACGGTAAGCAAAATTTGTTACCCCTTATATGAGGCAGATTATGTTTCTATGACACTCTATTCTGTTTTGAAGGCTCAACAACTAGAAGGAGTTCCACCATTTATGCATATCAGACAAAATGAATTTTTGGGCCGAAAGTAAGTTTTCATTCTCACGGTGCGGGTTTGGCTCATTTTCGCCCCTCGCGATAGCTAAGTCAAAATCTCCTACTCTTATTTATAGTAGACCACCTCCTTAATGGATGGTGGAGATCTATTTGATCTAAAGGCTAGAAGTTGTTCACTAGAACATTCAAAAAAATTCTACAAAATATCTATAAAGCGAAAATTCTAGAAACTATTCTAGAATCCTCTAAGAACCTCTAATAGGCCTATTTTTCTCAAGTGACAACCTATGCGACGAACTCTTTTTGCATACTTTTAGTTCTTCATATATTTTGACTGTCTCAGACACATAAAACTAAAAGAAGAGGATATTGCTGTCTGTGAATGCAAGTATGATGCCTCTAATCCTGAAAGTGCATGTGGCGAAAGATGTCTGAATGTGCTAACCAGCACAGAGTGCACACCAGGATACTGCCCTTGTGGTGAGCATTGCATGAATCAGGTGAGGATTGAGCTACTTTATTATAATTGTGGGATATGGATTTGCTTCTATTACCGTCTTTCTCAATTTCACATTATTTAACTCTCTATCTATCAATACAATTAGCACTTTTGAAATATTTTCTTGAACTATGTAAAATTTTTATATTATATAGGATAGGTTGATTTGGAGGATGTCTTTCAAATTTCACTATCTTTGTTTTACAGAAATTTCAAAAATGTGAATATGCAAAAACAATGTTGTTTCAAACTCAAGGGCGTGGTTGGGGTCTTCTAGCAGATCAGAACATGAAGGTAATATATTTGACTTATGAGAATATATGATAACAATTAAATTTGTTATCAGCCACACTAAGTGTGAGATGTTCGTTTAATGAAACACTGACTTAAAGTAACATTGACAACTAACCCTCGTTAGGAGAGTTGGTACCTAGCCTTATCAATAGGGTAAAGGTCTAGGGTTTGAATTTACTAAAAAAAAATGGCATCGATTTTGTATTGCTTCATATAATCAGGCTGGACGATTCATTATTGAGTATTGCGGAGAAGTAATATCATCAGAAAAGGCAAGGCAAAGATCCCAAACTTATGAGACTCAAGGTCAATAACTGTTCGATAACAGATTGTCAGCTTCTCTTTGTTGAATATGATATTACCTCCATCCATTGGGTGATGCAGGTCTTAAGGATGCATATATAATCTGTCTGGATGCGAATTACTTCATTGATGCCACAAAGAAAGGAAGCGTTGCAAGATTTATAAATCATTCTTGGTAAGTTCAATCAGAACACAAAAATGGTTTAAGTCTAGTTAAAGAAAGCCCTGATGACTCACTGAGTCTGAATAATAAAGTCTTTATACTTTGCTGAATGTGCAGTCAACCAAATTGCGAAACAAGAAAATGGACAGTGTTAGGGGAGACAAGAGTTGGAATATTTGCAAAGAATGATATAGCTGTTGGAACTGAACTGGCTTACGATTATAATTTTGAATGGTATGGCGGGGCCACTGTTCGGTGTCTGTGTGGGTCAACTAACTGTTCTTTATTTCTTGGTGCAAAGTCTCATGGTTTTCAGGTATTTATCTTATTAGACAATCTTTTTGAATACATTATCTCCTGTATGTGACTATGTGAGTTGCATTTATGAAATTCAACTCTTTAGAGCCCGTATAATAGCTCCTTACAAACGATTAGGCGCATTGCTGTTGAGGACTAGTTACATTGTATTTTCATGGTTATTGAATACCAAAATCTAAGTTTATTCTTTATTTTTCTCCGATAATGTGCTTTGCTGTGCTACAGGAGTATAACCATGTTTGGGAGGACGGAGATGCCAGGTAAATTTTCTTGTGTAAACTGTTGTCTTTAGGAAGGATCAAGATTTTTGAGATATTCAGTTGATGCCTTTTCAGTTATTTGAGGATTTCAAGATGGTGATGTTGAAAAGTAGAAAGTTTTTTTTTTTTCTTCTGATTAGGATGTGGAATATTTTTCTTTTAAAAATGCATCGTCGTCTGTTCTCAGCTTTATCTGCGAGTTCGCCAATCTAATATATAGTAGTTAAAGTGATTAAACAACTATAAACTTGCACTTTTACATTACTGCAATGCCAATGGCAATAGGCCACCAATATACCGAAACCTGTAAAGTATAAATTATCGTGGCTGTATTATTTGTGAGATTTTTATGTTCGTACTTAATTTAAATATATTGTTATTTTTTTTTTTCTAAATTATGAAGCTTATGTACCCTTTTCCAGTATGCCGTACTTATTGTAGCATGTTTTCATCTGACTTTCATACTGCAGGTACACCGTTGAAAATGTTCCACTCTACGACTCCGCCGAGGATGATTCCTTTCCAGCACCTGCTTGCTCAACAATCCCTGTGAAACACGAACCTGTATCGAATTACTCAGCTCTAATGGAAAATAATTCGGGATCTGAAATTAAGTTAGAAACCGCGTCCGTTATGGAATCATCCAACTATTCAGTTGTTAGCTTGCAAGATTTGGCCGGGAAACCAGTGGCAACTGAAAGGAACAAAGAAGCTGAACATGGTCCGGAAAACAGCAGACAAGTGTTTCCTCAGACAAATCCTATGATACCTCGTATCCGAAGTAATACTGCATGTCGTAATTACGGCACTGGACCGAGTCCTTCCTCCTCAAAGAAAAGACCACAGCACACTACGAATCAAAAGAAGAAACCCCCTGCCAAGAAATACGTCAGTTCCAAACCCGTTGCTGAACTATTTGCTTCAAAGAGAGTACAAGAGGAAATAAAAAAATACGAGGTACATTTTCTTCACGGAACCTTCTAGAATAGTATGTTTATGTCGAGAATTCAATATGCTTTATTATGATGTTGCAGGAAGTTAAGAATCAGGTCACGTCGGAGCTGAATTCATTGTACGATGAAATTCGTCCGGCGATAGAAGAGCACGAGAGGGATAGCCAGGATAACGTGTCGACCGCTGTAGCAGAGAAGTGGATCGAAGCTACATGTTCTAAGTGGAAAGCTGAGTTTGACTTCCATTTTTCGATTATCAAGAATGTCATGTGCCCTACTCCCGGTACAGCCGGAGACGAAGCAAAGCCGCCTTCTGGAGATGGAGAAGAGAACAAAATCAAGTATTTAACAAATTAATTACTTTTTTCTATCCTTACCTTCAACTGTTATTTTATTTATGTTTTAATTTTTTTTAATACCCATTTTACTCTTATGACTAATTTCAATTATGGATTAATTGTATTTTTTTTCTTTCTTGTTTTTGGGGAATATTAATTGTCGTTAATTAGGTAAAATATGATTGATGTTAATATTAGTGCATCTAATACATTATTGATTATACTCTCCATTTTTATAAAAAAAAATTCTAGAGTTTTTTTAATCAATTATATTATTAAACAATATACATAAATAATATACTGCAATTATATGAACAGTAAACTGAAATTAAAATTTAAAAAAAAAAAAAAAAAAAAAACCCGATTCCAATCTATCATAAAAAAGAAAACTGTTCCGAAAAAAAAATGAGATGAACAAATCTTGAACTTCACATCAATGCCAGAGCTCCAGTTCAAATGTGCCCTACTCAAATCTATACCTTACTGCTCTAAAAAAATTATATACAGCAAATATAGTATGTATCAGCTCCTTCAATAACTGCTTGGCAGTATAAAAAATACATACACAATACATATATATTTTGCCCCGGGCATATGCAAAAGTAAAAAATCACACTTTCAGTATAATCACCTCCTCGCTTTCGGATCGATTGTGGGAGACAGCTGTGTGCTGCTCCCAAGTGCAGCAGCAGCAGATTCCACGTGCGTGAGAAGATACTCGTAAATCTTCTTCCTTATCCGATCAATAGTCTCCGTAGATATATGCTGCGTCGTTTCCTCTTCATCCTTGCAAGAAGATCCAATCTCGTCCAACCAATCATTCACGCTCTTGAGCTGACTCAGCATGCCAGCTATTTGGCCGTTATCCGACAATGAAGTAGTGTCCACGTCAGCATCCAAGAATCTCTCGACAAACCCCAGAAACCAATCTTGTGACTCCATACGGAGCATTTCGGAGAGCTCAACTGCCTCCTCGAGCCCGTCTCCTTTAGCCCATTCTATCGGGGGCGAATTTCTCACACTCGGGCCCTCGTTCGGCCTCTTAAGGGAATTTTTGGAATTTACCGTTTGACGGGGTTTTGTTAGGGTTTTTGGAGCTGTGCCGTTCTTGGTTGAGTTGTTATCGAGGACTATTACGGGTTGATTGGGTGTGATTGTCTTCGGGCCTGGTTTGGTGTACGCTGTGAAGGAGGATAAATTGGTGGCTAATGCAGCACTAACCCAAGAAGCGGCCTGTTTACGGCTTTCTGATGTGACCTTTAATGCTTCTTCTGATGGATTTTCTTCGTTGTCTGAAGAATCGGTGGAGAGAATCTTCGATAAGGAATCTGCCACTAAATGGGCTTTATTCAAGCTTGCGTGTAGAGACAAGAACTGCTCGACGGTAGGGTGCGGGTTGTCTTCTCTTGCTGATGAACTCAACTCGGAATACGTACTGCAAATTAAGGCACGGGCAATACGACAATATAAGAAGATGACCTCAGCTTATTAACAAGAGGGTGAAAGAACTATTTACACCAAGAAAGTAGTTTAAAGTATCGATTATCAATCATGACTATATACACCAAGAACACTTGACAAAATTCGTTTCAGCATTATTGAACATTTCGGAACGAACAAAACCATCCTTGAAAAAATGTGTTTAGCGTCGCATTTAATGCTCTGAATAACACACCCGAATCAACCAACTCAAATAAGTAGTCTTATCAACCAACACGACGTGACTTAAACTGCAGATACAGAGCTCACAAGCAAATTTAATTAAGCTAATATAGATACAGAACAAATCCAAATTTCATACTCGAAGAAAGATAAGTGTTTGCCTTTGTGGAGATAATTTCTCGAACATAATCCAGAATTAGAACTCGCACATAAGTCCATTCTATAAATACCTAATTCATAAATTTATCGTGTTTCCGTAACTCATAAATACCTTAAACATCGAAGCAGAGTTTCTGCAGTGGAAGCTTCTTGCATTGCTTCTACAGCAGCCGTCTGTGCAGCATCTCTGTGCTTCAACACTTCCTGCTTATTCACATAACAGAGTTTCAAAAGATTTTTATTTATTTTTTAATTTTTTTTTAATTATAGCAACCTTTGTCACAGATAATACTCGATGCACAAAAAGTTGTACCTTCCCGAGCTTTGCGAGCGAAGATGGAAGGGACCCCCACGAAACACTAGCATCCGATAATCTCCGATTATTGAAAGAAACCTTGACCAAATTTCCTGGAAGTCCATTAGCAACCTCTCCAGGCGACTTCTTTCCAAGAAAACTTCGTGCGGCTGATTTATTAGCAATATCGGGCGCATCTCCATTTACAGAAGAAGCTTTCTTCACCGATGGATTCACCTTACTACTTTCTTCTCTTGCAGACTTTGAAGACATCTTATTATCTTCCTTCGGGGGCAACCTTTCGCTTATCGATTTCCTCGGTGCCTGTACGATAGAGACAAGAATATGAAAACAAAAGAATATTCTTCGAGATACCACAAATCATTAGGCATGCGTGTAGAAATCGCAACCAAAAAAAAAAACACTACTCTTTCATTATTCATAAAGTTTCCTCAAGAAAAATCTGATCACAAGCTGTCATATATAATGCAATAAATTACATGCTCATACATTGTAAAGAAAAGATGGCGAAAAAAAAATACTTACAGAATTGCTTCGTTCGTCGGGCTTCAAATCCGGCTTATTAAACTTCAATCTCGGACTTTCCCTACTCTTGGCATCCATATTCCCTTCCCAGCTCTTTCTCAATGCTTTAGGGCCTAATTCAAGTCCATGACCAATAATATTCTTCATCAAATTCCCATTCGGAACCTTCTTTCCAATCGGGCTGGACCCACGAACAGGGCTCGGTTTTTCTTTACCGGTTGCCTTCTCCAATCTCTCCAAACCCTTAATCTTCGCCTGCTGCTTAACACCATTCGCAAACTTATCAAAAGAAATCGGCAACGAATAGCAACTAGTCGGAGAAGAAGGTATCGACCTAGACCCCGAAGACTTCAACTTTCCGGAAGATTCCCTCTTCACATCCACAGACAAAGCCAGCTTCGAAAGCTGCGACTTGGATCTAGTCAATCCAGGAGCAGCCTTCTTATTATCCACCACTACTCTATCATCTTTCGAATTCGAACCACCACCACTATTATTCAATCTCGAAGAAGCCTTCACCGATGCTAAATTGCTCGATTTCGAAGCCGATTTCGATTTGGAATTCGAAGACGGATTAGCATTGTTGTTGAGGAAATTTAAAGAATGGGTGGCAACTATATCCTCAGGGGTACCCATACAAGGGTGGCGGCCCGGGATTGGCCTAACCCCTCGAAGATAAGGCACCGGGGAGGCGGCTTCGAGTTTTTCGACATGTATGAATTGACCCAATTGAATCTTGTCACTAAGGATTAGGTCATCGTGCTCATCGGGTAATGAAACATAGGTGGCGTGTGAAGAATCGGATACCTTGAGGTAAAACCCTTGGTTTGGGAAGAGTTCACCGCCAGCTAGTGCAGGGACAATGCTTACTACTTGAAGTAGAGATGAGCGGTGCTCCCCTGCAACTTTCACATCTGTGTTCATGTGCTGCAGTAGCTTTAGCAAAACTCCTGGGGTTAAAGTTGCCATTTTTATGAGGGTTTTTCTCCTTATGCATCACTTTCTGGGAGAAAGAAAAAACACCCAGATGCAAAAATCTTTCAAGATTCTTGCTGTAAATATGAATTCTTGGAAAAAAAAAAAAAAAAAGCAAGAAAACACACACACACACACACAGGGGTTTGGAACAAGCAGATCAGAAGCGCTTATTGACTGTTGCAAAGACTAAGAAATCAGAGCTAGCTACAGCTACAAGATGAATCTTTGTCTTGTCACTAAAAGGGCATTGCAAAAATATAATTAATTAAATTAAAAAAAATCAAGAAAATAAAAAATAGAAGGAAGGAAGGAAGGAAGGAAGAAAGGTTGAATCTTGGGGAACAAACAGGCACCACAGTGGGGAAAAGCTCAGCCCACAAATCCAGAAGGAAGGTTTGGGACTAAAAATGAAGGTGGGGTGGTATTATTTTTAGTGAATTTCCAGGCAAATGGAACAGCCACCAATGAATTATTTTCCGAGGAAACCCAGATTGGGAAAATTAATTAAAAAATACTTTTAATTAAATAAATAATTGATGGTTACAGGTGAACAAGACCCAAAGAAAAAAAGAAAAAAGTAGTACTACATGCAAGTATTAAATACAGGGCAAAATCCAGATGGGTAAAATAAAAAGGCAACCTTTTTAATATCGAAATTATTACTGGTAATTGGGAGATGGATAATGGAGACAGAAAACTTGGCATGTGTCCAAAGATTGGGTTTTTTTCTCACAAAAGTCTATATATATATATATATATATATATATAATTGATGAGAGATGAAGTAAAAAAAGAAAGCAGCCCACCTCCATCATTGATGCAGACATGGAGTTTGCTTCTATTACTGACACACAACACACACACACACACACACACATGTATATATATATACATACATTATGTATAGATGTAATTTGGTGGCAAAAGCCCCACATCTGAATTATACTAGTGTGTATGCCTTAAAGATATCATTTTTTGGACAGGGTTTCGGTTGTTTTTTTCACTCACAAGTTATTCATATTCAGAATGGGGAATAGTTAGGCTTCTCTCTCCTTTTATTTTCTTTCTTTTAAATAAATAATAAAAAAATCAAATTGAGGTTGTGTTTATTATCCCTTTATTCTTTTATACAAGATTGGTTTTTTGATATTTTGCAAATTGGGGTTTAATCATTGTAACTAAGATTGAAGAGAAACATGACTATATTCACCGGCTTTCTTGTTTTTGTGACCGGGCTACTCTATCGCAGACTCTATTCGTTTCCCGTTTTAATTTTACTCCTTTTAATTCATGGAAAAAAAAAACTTTAAATGCAATTCCAATTTGTTATGTACAACAATGTAATGTAGGTCCTATATATATAGACAAACACCTAACATGAATAATAACAATTAACAACACTTGTAGTTTGGTGCCTGCATTTTAGTTACACATATTTCTCAATGTCAAATCTATTTAATTTATTCACAAAATATACTATTTTCTTGTTACATTTACAATTAAATGGGATAATTTTTAATAAACCCTTAGTTAAGGGGCCAAAAGATAATAAATTAATTTGTATTACCATAAATAATATGGCTTGCTCATGTGTGGTTTGAGTGACAGATAATTAAATGTGTGCATGTGCATGAGATGGCATTGTCGGTTATACTTAACGTGCCGATAAGATATCTTGTATTTTATTAATCATAAAATTCAATATTATTAACTAAGAATTGCAATTGTTATAAGTAAACTTTTTTTTTTAAATCCGGGTTAATGGATATGAATCAGATGAAAATCAGACGCGACTCAATATATATATATATATATATATATATATATATATATATATATATATATATACCCAATTTTTTAATAATTCTTTATTATTGAAAAAACAAGATTAATTACTTCTTCAAACTCACTATTTTAATTTAGAAAAAATAAGAATCAAGAAGTCAATTGGAGCAAGTATTATTGAGTTATTGAGAAAAATAAGTCTAAGTTTTAGGATTTGCAGCATCTGGGTAGTTGTACAACAGCTGACTTAGTGAAAAAAATTATTAATCATATCACCTAATTGATGCTTAAACACATTAATTAAGTATTCTTTAAAAGGAAAAAATAAACACTTATTAATGTAACTAGTTGATGTATGCAGTAAGTAATTTGACCCACCAGATTTAATTATAATTATTATGTGGATTAAAATCAATAATTAATATATCGAGTTGATTTAACCTATAAGACCTAATTTCAATTATCACATGGATTATTTACTAAAATAATCCGTATGTATAATTAATTTAGTTCGTTAAGCTTAAATTTAGTTGTTCATGAACTATTGGAGTCAATAGTTCAAATAAAGTCCATCAAGTGAGAAATCCATACGAGACTACTATAAATACTAGAGTTCACTATTTACGAGAGGTGTGTTCTATTTTCCTTTGACAATTCAGAGAGTTTTCTACTTTACGTAGAACATCCCGGCTGACTTGATCGTCAGAGGTTAATCAACGGGCCAATCCCGAAAATTCACCTAGTATTTGCCTCGGTTTTGTAGATTGAGCGAATAATTAAACTCTCTGCACGGGGACAATCGCCGGACTGTAACCCCATATTCACCTTGAACATGTGGCTAAGTACCCCACTGTCCCTACTCGAGTTTGAAGATTCGTGAGTGTACTTGAAACACCAGTAATCTTGAAATTATAAGGGCGTAAAAAAACACTTAACAGTTAACAAAATAACATCAACATAAATAAAACAATATAACACAATAATCACCAAGTAGGTGAGATGAAAATTTTGCTACCCTACTAAAATAATTGTCACAATCACCAATATATTCAATTAATATAGACAAATTGTGACAAGGGCCAAACACATTTTCTACTAAAAAAATGTGGAATGTATAAATATATCTTCTACATTTATCAATATATTGCTGTTTTTTTTTTTATAGAAAAAGACAGTTAATATAATATATAGCAAATTTCTTATTTTTTTTTAATATGGGTGGTGTAAAATGAATTGCAAATTATAGTGGGGGTGTAAATATCAATACGAAAACTTTTTGGGCCTTCAATAATTAAGAAGATACTTTATTTCAATTTTCAAGACGATGAGAACTGAAAACTTCAAACAGGGTTGTACTCTTCGCTGCACATGTTGTACCTTTTATGCGCTTGAGAACTTCAAGACAGGATTGTACTCCTCGCCTCATATGTTGTACTTTTACTGCGCTGAACACTGAGACTGCGGCGCAATAGAGCTTCTAAACAGCATCTGCCTGTATCGTACTTTGTCTCTCGTGATCCAAATGCTGGAAGCTAATCCACTGTTGTTCGTTCCAAAATGCCACCCAATTGTTTCACTCCAACCATCCTCCACCCTTTTCTTAAGCAAAATCAAGAACCCATTCCCCACTTCCGTTTCTTGCTCACTACCCATCAAGAATTTCACGATCACGGCGGCGAAACGGCGGCAGGATCCTGAATTGGAGCCTCCGGAGAACAATAATCCAGGTTCATCACCTTTTTACTGTTATTTCTGATGTGGGTTTTTGCTTATGATCTTGTTTCTTCTTTCTTTTTGTAATTTAAAAAAAAATTAATATTTTTTTTCAGATGATGAAAATACACTCTTAACTGAAAAAGGTGACGAAAAAGAGATTGATTTGGGATGGTTACCTACATTTCCCCATGTATTGACAGCTTCCATGTCGAATTTTCTCTTTGGTTATCATATTGGGTAAGCTCTGTGTTCTCTGTTTATGTGTGTGCGTGTGTGTGTGTGTGTGTCATCTCAATGAAGTTAGGTAAACAGCATTACTAGATGTTTCAATGCTTTTGTTTGTCATGATGCAGTGTAATGAACGGTCCTATTGTGTCGATCGCGAAAGAGCTCGGTTTCGAAGGAAATTCGTTTCTCGAGGGACTTGTGGTTAGCATATTCATAGGTGGTGCGTTTATTGGAAGCATAAGCTGTGGTTCTATCGTCGACAAACTTGGCTGCCGTCGCACTTTTCAACTCGATACTATACCTCTCATACTCGGCGCTATCGTAAGGTACAATTATTTTGAATCTCTTGTAAATTGCCGTGGTGAAAATATTGCGGTTATCAAGTTCCGTATTATGCTCTCGTTTCTTATAATGTTTAAAATAAATTCGGCAGTGCTCAAGCGCACTCGTTGGATGAAATACTCTTTGGAAGATTTCTGGTTGGCCTTGGTATCGGAGTCAACACAGTTTTGGTTCCTATTTATATTTCAGAGGTAAAAGTAACGATGACGGAGTCTCTAATATTATCTATTTGAGGAATATATATAAGTTACATTTTAACCTATATATTATTAACTCCGACGTTGCTTTACAGGTTGCCCCGACGAAATATAGGGGTTTATTGGGGACCTTTTCTCAGATCGGCACATGCATCGGAATTATATCGTCACTTTTTTTAGCCATTCCTTCAGAAAATGATCCCCACTGGTAAACACTTAGAAGACTACATTCAAAAGATTTTTGAAACTTTCTCTCACCGAAGAAAATCCAAGATATTATTTATTTAATGCAGTGTTTACAATTTATACGGTGATTATCAGGTGGAGGACTTTGTTGTACATAGCTAGTGTACCTGGAATTGTTCTCGCCCTCGGCATGCAGTTTTCTGTTGACAGCCCCCGTTGGCTATGTAAAGTATGACATCATTTTTTTTTTTAATTTGGAGTCAATTTAGGGTTCTCTTTCTTCCCATGTTCATAATTTATTTATTTATTTCTCCGAAGGCAGGGAGAATCGATGATGCTAAAGAGGTTATAAGTAACCTGTGGGGCCCATCTAAAGTCAATAAAGCTATCGAAGAATTCCAGTCTGTCATTAGAAACGACGGTGCGGATTTAGATAGCAGTTGGCTTGAGCTCTTGGAGGAGCCTCACTCTAGAGGTTGAATCAAGGTGTATTTTACATTTATTTATTTTTCGACTAATGATTTTGCTTTTGGAGCTTGAATGATTACTGTGATCCCGATTTCGGTTCCGCCCTTATTATATTATTCTTTATTATCTCGATTATAGCCTTTGTTTATTTGGCTGTGTTTGCAGTTGCATTCATTGGAGGTTCCCTTTTTATACTACAGCAGCTAGCTGGTATAAACGGAGTTCTCTACTTTTCATCCTTGACTTTTCGAGATGTGGGAATCACGAGCGGCGCTTTAGCCAGCTTATTTGTCGGACTTACCAACTTTGCAGGTCTTCAAAAACTATCTTATTTCGTAAAAAAAAAAAAAGTTTATTGTATTACATTTTCATATATACTTACTTATACAGGCCTCGTTTTCTGACATGAGCTATTTTCAGGTGCACTTTGCGCGTCATACTTGATGGATAAGCAAGGGAGACAAGTGCTCCTGATCGGAAGTTACCTTGGAATGGTGAGTACACATCTACACGAGATTTGATAATTAGTGAAAAATAATATACTTACGAAAATTATATACATTTTATCTGGTAGTGGTGTATTGGGGTTAGTTTTTCACATTCTTGACAGTGTTCTAATATTTCCCGCCCGTGTTTTTTTTTTTTTGGCAGGCTGTATCCATGTTTGTCATAGCCAGTGCCATCAGCTTTCCTGTTGACACAGAAATAAGCAGCAACTTATCGATATTGGGTACTATCATGTACGTTTAGCAACACCGTGTGACGAGGAAAAGATGTATTTTTGCGAACGCGTTTTTAATTTGATTTTGGTGAATATTTATAGGTACATATTTAGCTTTGCTATAGGAGCTGGACCAGTTACTGGGCTTATTATACCGGAGCTTAGCAGCAGCAGAACACGCGGCAAAATCTTGGCCTTTAGCTTCTCCGTTCACTGGGTATGTACTAAAACACTTGCAAATTCTATTTACGAAAACTGAAATATGGTAATTTTGTGGTGATTTTAGGTTTTCAATTTCTTGGTGGGTCTGTTTTTCCTGGAATTGGTTCGAAAAATTGGTATAGCACCAGTTTATGCAGGCTTCGGTGGCGTTTCGTTGTTAGCAGCTGCATTTGCGTACTATTTTATAGTCGAAACCAAAGGGCGGTCTCTTGAAGAAATCGAGATATCACTTGAAGCCAATTACCAGGACAGGAAAAATCTGTAACTTTTGAGTCTTCGATTCATTACTGTGTATTGCTGCTACATTATAGATTGGTTTAGTTCTGTCGTAAAATTAATACCAATAAACAAGGTATTTTGTTGAACTTTACATTCAGTCATTATCATAATAAACATCAGTTGAGTGAAGTATGTATTCAAGAAATCGGTTTTACTAAAAATCAGGAACAAAATTTAATCGAATCCAGAACAGAACAATCTTTCACCAAAATTCAGGAAAAAAAAAATACAGCCGAATATCTTTAGAATTCCACACTCCGATGATGTCGAATTCCAAGCTCACAGGTCTTGCACACTCAAACCTGGCAACACAATTGAGAATAAATCAGTTAATACAGTTTTTCCACAGCTCAATTGCAGACAAAACAATGAAGCAATGATGAGAATCGGATAACGGCCAATAGTATTATCAAGAAAGTTTGATAAGTAATTTGTAATATTTCAGACAACCAATGAACAAATTAAATATAAACACGAATTTCTCGGGATGATGGCACAAACCTGGTGGAAGGGACTGCTTCAACTTGTCGGCTTTCTCGGGATCAAAGACGCAAAGGGTGTAAAGGTACTTAGAGCACCTAACCTTAAACTTAACCACATCTTTGCTTCTCTTGATCTTCACTGATCGTGCATCCTTCCTTCTAGCTGTAAGAAGGAAGTCCTTTATCTCGTGAATCTGCTTCGGCTGCAATTTACACCGGACAACACAAAACGAATTCGATCAAAAAAAGTTGCTCAAGAAACTGAAAGACAGGAAAACCAAATAACAATAGCTACAATCCTTTTAACCGAAAACCAACCACATTTCATCGTAAAGACAAAGAGCTTCACAACACACGAAGAAAGCTCAAATTAAGGGCAGAACTGAAAGTTTCTAACACTATAATTACTCTTTTATGTTGAAAAGGTGCAACTCGCAGCATTATGGTTAAATCGCACTATCAAATCCAAAATTAAGAGGAAGAAAAAAAAAATTAATCATAGTTATCTTACCTAATACATTGCATTTTTCAACAACACACTTAAAAAATACACATACAAATTCCACCATAGTATTGCAGCCTAAACCACAGGAAAAAAAAATCGGAGCACAGATTCTTATTCGAACAACCTAGAAAAAATCATTCATTTTTTCGAAGACGAAATCCGGTAATCAAAAGGCATACAGAAGCGATTTACCAGAAATCAATCATGTAGAATTAGAAGAAAAATATTTTAGTTTTTGTAGATAAACGATAAAAAAAAACGCAGCAGAAACCAGAGGTTAATTGCGAGCAACATAAACGGATTAAACAACAGAAATATACAGAGTTGCAGAAGGAGGAGATTACCATTTCAGTAAATGGCGTCTGGTAACTGGTTGAGGACGAAGGAGATTGATTACGCACTCATTTCTTGAGGCTCTAATTATACCTATGAAACCCTAATGGGCCTGCACTATTAATTCTCAAGACCCGCAGAGCTTTTCTTGGGTTGGGTCTTTTAATTAATTCGGCCGGCTTTTATTTATTTAGTTATTTATCTTTTATCATTTTTTAATTTCATGGGATTTTGTAAATTTATTAGTCAATGTGCAAGACTATTTCTTTTAACCCAGTTTCGAATCCCCTTGCAATGGTCGTTGGGTCGAGTTTGTCACACATAGTTAGTCTAATATAGTTTACGTCTCTTGTATAGTTTTTAAGATATTATCCCAAAATGTAAGTTTATCTATACACCTATATAGCTAGCTGGCTGCGGATAAATAAACTCAATTGCCTTGATTACATCCTTAAACAGAACAAAATAGAAAATAATAAATAAATAAATAAATTGAGAATGCTTCCTAGTACTATGTTCCTCTTGTTGTTATTGGTGTTGGGGCCAACATCAACCCCCGTTTAGATGTACATAAGTAGGGGTCCTGCCGTTTTTACGCACTACATAGCCACATGTTCTCTTCTCTCTCCTCCCTTCTTTTTTATTGAAAATAACGGTGAATAACACTTCAGCTTTGTTCATATAAATCTTTTATATTTTCAATTTAACACGCGATTCACCTATATTTGAACTTTGTGCATCCTTGTACTTCATCCTTGTACTTCTTGTAAAAGCACATGAAATAATCATTATGACGATATTTGTTTTGTTAGTATAAGGGGGTTATGTGCTTATATTGAAAGTACAATTGATTGATGCGCACGGAGTTCAAACTGCAGGGGAGGTAAGTGGTATTTACTGTTGATAGTTGCACACATTGACATTTATGTAACTTGTTGCATGATAAATATAATGAAACGTCATTAATTAGTTGTTAGAATCTAAATAGAAAATGACAAAATAAAGAAAGTAGAAAAAAAGTGTTGAAAGATTATTAATAATTAATTAGCAATAAAGTGAAATATATATTATATAGGCCGGCACTGTGCATGGTACTCTTATCCAATCAAAAAATCTGGAAAAAGCAATTCCCACTATATAATGTTGGTGAAAGCTAGCTTGCTATAATTTAAAAGGAGATATATACCAAATCCAAATTATATGCTAATCATATCATATCATATCATATACACATATATATGTGACTAGACAAAAAGGCAACACTGGGATTCATTTGGTGTACTTATGCTTGCCACCCAGTCATATGATCATGCATCTCTCTCTCTCTCTCTCTCTCTCTCTCTCTCTCTCTCTCTCTCTCTCTCTCTCTCTCTCTCTCTCTCTCTCTCTCTCTCAATAAAACTTGTTCCCTGCCGGCAAGGTAGCTTATGATAATGATCTAATGATCATGATCAGGGAACTGCCCAAGATTATATTTAATTATTGAAAGGGTTTGCATTAATTAATCATCTTTAATAAATACCAACTGATGAACACATATAATATATATATATATATATATATATATATATATATATAAAGTTAATTGAAACCATTAATGGAGGTAAGTATACAATAAAAAAAAACTCAGTATGTAACTGACTTGATGAATAAGGGAAAGGGAAAAGGAGCATATATATATATATTATATTTCTTCTTGCAAATTAAATTGATTTGCAATATTTCAAACAAATCGGACTCCCACGTACAAATCAAGAATTAAGTTCCTATGCAACTAATAATAATTATTTATAAAAAAAAAAAAAAAAAACAACGCAACGTGACTAATGCCTAATGGGATTCAAATATATATTAATTAAGAAATCTCATCATGCTAGGTATATTCTGATTGAATGATTCCTATATATATATATATATGTAGTAGTATATTATGATAACCATTTATATATATTATAATATAAAATAATATGTTGTTATTATGATCAGGGTTTCCAAATGGAAGCCCATACTACAGGTTCATCTTTCCAGGCTAAGTAAACCCCTAATTGATCATCTTCTCCTGCAGCTGGTAAAACCACTGACCATCCAGCTTTATACCTCTTCAGCAACGCCCTTACATCATCGATGACGTCATCGCTATACCCGACACTCTTAAAACCCGACCCGGCGCCACTACTCAGCCTCTCCGCCCACTGCCGCCCCGTTTCCCTCCTGTCCACGTCGTCCATTTCACGATCATCCTCATCGCAAGCCAAAACCCTAACGATGCTTCTAGAACATTCCCTCTCCAGCATCAACTTCTCGTTGCTAGTGGGGCCGAAGCTCTCCTCCAGCATGTCGAAATACATCGTGTAGAACCGTAAGCACTCCTCGAAGCATTTTACGAAATCGCCCCTCGAGCTCGTGAAATCCGCCTCCTCTTCCACGATCGTGAATACTTTAGGGTTTAGAGATTTGATCGTTTGGATGAAACTTGTTCGTTCTTCGATGTCGACCCTTCGTAGTGCTCCGATGCAGTTCACGGCTACGGCTTCGTCTTCTAGAACACCTAACCCTTCCTTAGTGAGTTCACTCAGCCGGTTCAGACCGGTTATCACGTTGAACTCGAACGGCACACCCATTAACCGGGCGAATTTCTCCATTCTTGGCGATATTTCCTTCATGACGGATTTAGCGACGGTTGTGGTGACGACGACCGTGAGTTTGAGCCTCGGGGTTTCGTCGTTGTTCCTCGTCGCTAAAGCTTCTAGAAGGGTCGGCCACTGTGTGCAGGCGGTGTTGCTGATGTCGATGACGTGGATCCTGGTCTCTCCTTCCAGGGCTTCCAGCATGGCGCCGTTGGACGCCACGTGTCCGAAGGTTGTCCACGGGGTGGCCTCCTGGAACTTGAGGGTCAGTTTCCTGACGGAGTCGAACGAGTGGGTCTTCTCCGCCACGGAGATTAGGGTTTTGTAGCAGCGGCGGCCGGAGTCGGTCGCCTTGCAGAAGAGGGCCTGGAGGAAGTAGGAGGCCAGCTTCTGGTCGGAGTCGCCGTAGGGGGAGGAGAGCTCGTTCAGCATCCAGAGGAGGTGGTGGATCTTGGCGGAGTCCTTCTCCGACATGGCGGCGGCGCAGTCGCGGAGGAGCTTCGACGCCCACCTGCCGTCGCCGTCTCCGGCGGCGTCGGCGGAATCCGACGACCGGCTGGCGGAGGAGTTGTTGTTGTCGTAGTTGTTTTTAGGGTTGGTAATAATAGGGTGGAGGAAGATGGGTTCTTTGGGACAAATGGAAGTTCTGTCCATGTTTGTGTGAAAGCTTCTCTCTGTGTTAGGACAATAAAGCTATATGGTGCTACTCATATAGGATAAAGAAGACACAACAAAAAGGTGTTAAGAGGAATTAATTACAAATATTAATTAGTATATTATTAATTAATTAATTAATTATAAGATAATTTAGGTGGTGTCTTCAAAATCTTTTAAAAATAGATTATGAGTTTTTTTTCTCACATAATCTGTTTTTAGGTGTTTTCAAAATTGACTTCTGTTTTTGCTTCTCTTAAAATAAGCTGTTTTAAGCTATAATTTTAAAAGTACCCATGTACCTGCTTTTTCTATTTTAGTTAATTTTCCAGATTTTTTGCAAAGATCCCCAACTTTTAGAATTAAACACTTATGCTTTTTGAAAGTGATTATGCGGTTTTTTTGCTCATAATCTGTTTTTAGGTGTTTGCAAAATCAACTTTTGCTTTTGCTTCTCTTAAAATAATCTGCTTTAAGCTAATTTTTTAAAAGCACCTCTAACCCTGCTTTTTCAATTTTAGTTCATTTTCCGAAATATTTGCAAACACCCCCAACTTTTAGAAATAAGCACTTAAAACTAACTTAAATCACAATCACTAACTTCTACTTTTAAATAATCATTTGCAAACACCACCTTAATATCAACTTAACTCACAATCACTAACTTATGCTTTTAAATAAGTTTTTGCAAACCCCACCTTAATTACTTTAAAATTTTGAATTATTAGTAGTTAAATATACGTATATATTTTTTAAACTAATTTAGTATATGTCGCTATAGTTCAAAAGCAACTTTGAGAATGAACTATTATTATATTTTCTTGATTATAATTAATTAATATATATAAATAAATAAAAATATAGTTAAATTAAATTTGGTGATATTTAATAGAATTAAATTATAATTTGGAGTTGTGTGAAAGTCCAAATTGGAACCATAGCCTAGGAACAAACGGGGAGACAAATTCTACAAACCGCCAATCATACTATGTTGTTATCAAAGTAATAATTAATGATTTTCATGATGTTAGCCTCTCAACAAAACTCATAGTATATCATTTATTAGGAGATAATTAAATATATATATTTGTAGAGCGCAATGGAATCTTGATTAATTAATTAATGCAGCTTGGTCTTGCTCAACTAGTAATATATAAATAAATAAAATAAATAAAAATTGATCTTGCTAGGCTAATGAGTACAAGTAGACGATGATAAACACGATATTGAGAAGACAATAATTAAATGTACAACCTCGTTTCCTTATTACTATTCCAAAAAATAATAAAATAATTTAATGAACCCTTTAAAAGTAATTTGATGTGGAAATAGAATTATAAAATTTCTTGTATGATGAAATGAACATATATAAAGGACAATTTCATATGAATATCTAATTAATTAAAGTGGTAATCCAATCAGCTTTAACATTTTTATTACAAAGAAACTCGCAACCAACTATATAAGTTTTTACACAAATATGCTTTCGAACACGAAATATATGAAAACCAAAATAGTACGAATTGAAGAAGAAGTTATTCGACACTTGGAAAATCAGAAAACGAGACAGCCACTAAATAGTAAATACTATGGTTTCTCTTCCCAATCATTAGATATTTGTTATTCATATCTACATTCTACATCTATATATACTTTTTCATGGAATTCAGTATATTTCACAGTAGAATTTCGAGAAATTATTAATTTTATTTAAATAATAATTCATTCCATTATTAGTTCAATAATTTAATATTTCACAAAATTTATAGAATTTTATAATTCCAACTATATTAATTTATAAGTTAAACTGTAAATTTAATTAATTATTATGCATATACTGATTTTAAGGTGTAGAATTAATACCTTATTATTTCTACCGTTTACCTCCTTATTTTAACACCGGTTAGTGGGCGTTTACTGACGTGGCACATAAAAGCGTGTTTTAAAATAATAATAAAAGCGTGTTGGCATATGCTAATTTCCATTCACTTGGGCCAACCCTCTGTAATGGGCCTTGTCTCCATGTTTAACCCTTTACATCATCTTGCATCATATTATAACACTAATTTATGCAAAACCCCTAATTAATTCATTAATTTATGCAAAACCCCTAATTTAATGGTAATTATCAAATATCTTTTCACGATAATGGTGACAAAGAGATAAAATTTGATGAAAACCTAAAGAGCCACATGCCATGCTGAATATTGCTACACCTTTTTTAAAAAGCAAAGCTGTAAAGTATAAATCAACCCTTTAATTCAACTTTTTATTTATCTTTTAATATTATAATTATGATTTGATCATTCAATTTAAATAGTCTTTCACTCTTTTTTCATTAACCGGATCAACTATATTATGGGCTACACATGCAGTACTCACTACACAATATTTCTTCACCAAGATTTCCCAAAATAAATAAATAAATAAATAAATAAATTTTTTTTTTTTTTTTAATTTGCTTTAAAGAAAAGTTCATTACATGCCATTGAAGATGTTTTTCTCCACTAGCAATCTTCACTTCCTAGTTCTAGCTAGGAGGAAATAATAATAATATATACAAAAAAAATAAAAAAATGTTTAATTTGATGTATATGTGTGTGTGTGTGTACTAAACATAATTCTCAATTAATACTGTCTGAAACTATGCTTATGTTTTCTGTCTAATTCACTTATCAAGACTCTGTTCTGACATCTGAGTCATCCTTAGCTATTTTAACTGTCCCCGATTCTAACGCATGATCGGCCGTCACCGAAGTAGAACAATGTGGTTTCACGGACGAACCGCCTAAAGACCGACTATTCTTTTCATCGGGGGCCCCGCTAATTGTCCACACGACCACCAATGCCGCCATTACAACCGAGAGAAACACCATCGACCGCCACACCATGCGCACGTTTCCCTTCAACGGTCCGCAGTGTTTTTGAATTATTTCATCGAATGCATTGCTAACGGTTCCGCACTCGACTAGGCTCTCCATTCCCGGATAAACATCCAATATCTTTTGTATTGAAGTGGAATAAGCTTCCACCGTGTTGAAATAGTCGGCAGACACTAATATTCCTCCGTTGCATGTTTCTTCGCCCCCGTTATCCGGACATACCAGCATTCTCAGCACCTTCAAAAAAAAAAAAAAAACATGTGATAAACGCCTATTTGTTTTTGTTTAAGATTGAAAGGTTTACTATTATTATTATTATTATTATATTCTTACATGAGGGATATCGCCTATTTGGATTGCGGTAGACGGGCAATTCAACGGTTGGTATTCGTGCATAGGTGGCGGTGAAAAGGGATTGCATATTTGAACAATGTTTCCGTATGATCTAGATATGTTAAGATTTACCTGCAATATATATATAATATGAAATAATGTGAGCTTGAATAGAACATACGAGAAAAATGGAATAATTAACGATGAGTTAAGACGACATATAATCGTACCTCGTTGACTAAGTCGTATATTCCTACACTAATGTCGTTGAGGACTGATTTTGAGGAAAGCAATTCGTCGCATGGTAGAATGGAACTCAAGCTGTTGTTGTATGGATCTTTCTGGAAGCTTTTAAGTGCCGTGCAGGTATCTCCGGCAAAGCTGGACGACAAACATTAGATCGTTTTATTTCATTAATACATATGATATGAGATGAATGACTCCTTTTTTTTTCGATCGGAATGAACTGCGAAAAAACGTACTTTTGTAGGAAGAAATAAATCCCGAAGAACAACCAGCAGAGAGCAGTTAAAATCCAGCAAACTCCAATTAGTCTGCAAGAAAATAGATTATATAAGTAATTATTCCATGAGATACACTACACTACATTTTATTTTATTTTTTAAAAATGCTAAAAAAAATTCGATATGAATGTACTTACATTTGAACAATCCTCTGAAATTTTAGGACACCTAAGACTGCATGCATACGAAGAAAGAATGTTAAGCCGTGAAAAAAACTCGATTTTTCCTCAATGTAATTGGAAAAAAAATGTACTTATGTTGTCTTAATACCTAGTAGAGCAATCACAGACACGAGCGTTAACGAAATCGTCAACGTTGTTATTATATACCTGAAAGTATAAATTAAATAAAAAATTAACACAGAATCATTTTATCTGCAATGCCAAAAAAAAAACGAAAAATTACATACACTATCTTGAAGCCTTTATCGATGAGGCGCCGATTTTTGGAAGCTTGTTTGGCTATATCGGCAGCCTGAGAATCGAGCGTGAGGGAAGTTGAAGTTAAGAATCTAGTAGCCTCGGTACTTCCATCAGCATCTCGTAAACTGATGCTCATTTCTTTCATGGCTCCGGTTGTCTTGTATATCGTGTCTGAAGCCTCGTCCGCCGTGTCGATTATTATGTCTATTACCGTTTTCGCCCTCGTATGGAACTTCGCATTCCCTCCAAGAACCAGGCCGGTTGCTGTTCTAAAAAATGACAAAAAATACAGAGGAAAAAAAACATGTTTAAAATTTAAATCGAAAAATAGACTACCAAATTTTTTTATTACAAACGAGGTAACTAATTGATAGTGTAACAACTCACATTGCAAGAATTGTAAGAAAAACGGCGAAAAGAAGAGGCTTCAGATAACATTGATTATGACAGGGTGATTTTTTCTTGAGTTTTCTTCTGCTGATATTACAACAAAGTCTTTTTACGAGAAGAAATCCTCCGTATACGAGACCGCATAGTAGCCATAGTACTGCAATTGCGTATCCAGGTATGCCGGTGTAAGCGGTCGACTGTACGAGAAAAGTAAGTCATGTGATCATAAGATTAATAAAATTCTATACATACATTAAACCTTGTATATATATAATAGACTTACAGCCCAATAATGTTTGTTTGTAATATCATAACCTCCTCTGTATTTCTTGAAACTATCCAAAGGGTCTACTCTAACGGTATCGTCCGAAACGTTAGTACTTTTTTCCGCCAAAAAACGGCCTGCGAATAACAGAATCGGAGTCGTTTTATTCGGGAAAACTCCGAAGCAGAAGAGATGATGAATCAGTTAAAAAAAACAAATACCTGATTGTGAAGTGGTGGACAAGATTGGTAGGGATGTAATTTGTATCAAGTTTAAGGCCAAGATTATGGCAGTGAGAATTAGTTGCCTGATTCTGATTGAGCCCATTTCTTTTAACCTGTGAACAAAGTTACCACCATATATATGAAATTAACCAGGTTTACATTTTCTGGTACAATCAACAACTTATTCATTCTTGAAACAGTAGGATTGGGGGTGGGGGGGTAGGGTAGGGGTATATTATATAGTATATAGGAAACTATTTATGAATGCAGTTGAATATTTGAAAATAGAGGAGTAGGCAATTATGGACTAGAGATGGGAAAAAAGAATGTGCATTAACCAAAAAAGTAGCAGTTTTTTTCCCAATAAAATTAGGTGGAAAGTGAACAATTTTATTTATTTATTTATTTATTTATTTTTTGAGTCATGTATCCACTAGATTAAAGAAGCATAATACTAAGAGGAAGTTGTAAAGAACCCTGTTTTTTTTTTATATTAAATTATCTTGCACCATAAAGCGAAACCCCTAGTCCGACTTTTAATATTCTGGTTTTTACCTGATTGATTCATGTACCAAAACGAATTAAACATTTTTTTCCTAGTACGTTGTATTTGCTAATTTTCATGATTGCTGTTAATTGAATTACCCGATATACATGCATAAAAACACAAATCTAAAGCAGGTGTAAACAGAAATATGAGAACTAGTGCACAATCAAGAAAAACTCACCGGAAAACACAGAGAGAAAAATAAAAATTTAAAAGAGGTGTTTAGACAGAAAAGAGTTGTTTGCAGCTTAGGATTGTGTGTTGGTTCTTGTAATAATATATATTTGCAATATGTATGTATGTATATAGGAATTCGTGTGGGAAAATTAAACAAACGTCTAGAAAGGGTAGATTGTTCAAATAAAGTATTATCACCTTTTAAAGTCAAACACAAGACCATCCGGTCAAATATAGGCATTTTTTCCTTATTTCAAAAAAAATATGGGCTATGTTTTTTTTTTTTTGATAGAAATTATTAAAATAGTCAAATATTTGTTATGCAAAAATTGGGAATTAAAAGAAATTACACCATACCTCTGGCAGCTCAAGAATGTTGAATGAATTTATCATACTTAGCATGCTAGGATCTTGGACCATTTTTTTTTATATATAAGATTTATCGTTATTTTTTAGTAATTGCAATTAATCAATTATGTCGAAGATTCGCTCTATATAACCTTTTATGCGCATGTTAAATTATGAATTTAAAAATTCTTAAAAAATGATGTATAATGAAGGTACTTAATCCAAGGTACAAATTAAAAAATATAGCAACCAAGTCCATAGCCTATTTTAATCTATTAATATTTGTGCTTCATGAAAAATTACAATTAATAATTACCCGGTGTTAATAACTAGGTGTATCATCTAATTACCGTAAATTTTTAATGCAGTGGGATGTATGTGCAACCAGAGAAGTTTGTCTTCTTAAGTCAAGTCCTATACGAATTTGAGTTGTGGTCAAATAATAGACCCTGAATTGTGATCACTAATATAATAAATATATACTTTTCTCAAAAAAATAAAATATAATAAATATCTACAAGTCGTGAGTTATGATTGATAGTAATATTTCGTTGGTCCAAAAAAACGTGTGAAAAGTGATTTATGTAAAAGCTTACGTATCTGATTACATCACCAAAATTTAAACGTGTGCGGAAACGTAAAAGCGGGTTCATGCATTTTACCATTTTGTCTGTACTTACTACTTAAGTCGTGTTTGTCAACTAAATTGTTTTTTTCTTTTTGTTTAAAACAACAACAATTTCTTATAAAAAAAATTAAGGGGCCCAAGCCCCATAAATTAAACAATGTGTATATATAATTTGGGCCCCTTAATTTTACAGATCCAAGCCTTATGCTAAGCAATGTGTGTGTATATATATAATCAGGCCCATAAACGCAGAAAAGTGTTAATTGAACTTTTTGCAACAATTAAGAAATGACAAAAATATTCGAGAAAATTAATTTAATTAAAAAAAAAAAGTAAAAATTACGTGGTCGGCTATATCCAAGCTGTACATGCTTTAATCAACTCTTTAATTTCACGCTCAGTGTACATTAAGCTTGAAGATTAATTAAACAGCTTTCTAAGCAAAACCCTTAATTACATGTGTGAATCTATTACTGTAATAAAAATATAGCAACTTGCTCAACTTGGTAAGAAGCTTGGGCCATGGTTTTAGCCTTTAGGAAATTGAATATATATATATATATATATATATATATATATATATATATCAAGTCAAAATTGTAAAAAGTCAACTTACGTACACTTTGATCAAAATGTTGAACATCACTACTCTCCAATTTGGTAAAAATATAGTTCTGAATTGCTCAATATTACAGTTACAAACACTATAATATAAAAGATCTTTTAGTTTGAGCCAAAAAAATGTTGGTTTTCCATAGTCAACGATCTTTAAGTTGACTATAATTGAAGAGCTTTGTAATGCACATAATTTCATAGTTGGAAATGTTTCAATATGACCTGAAATCTACTCACTCCCTTGTTATAAACGCATAATCCCACTGGATATATATAAAAAATCAAATATATAATTTATAAAATCTCTATATATATTCCAAAAAAAGATGGAGAACATGTCAAGTATGCAAAAATATCTATCTAAACCAAAATAATTTTATATTAAAATGAATATAAATAAAGAATTTCAATAATAAAATAGGCGCTAAATTTTGGAATATGGGTAATAGTCCATGTATTTACATAATGTAATAATTATTAAAAAAAAATAGATTTTCCAAAATAAATTCATTTATAAACTCAGGTAGAGTGATTAAGACTTGTAAAATGACCATAAAAAAGCTTGAAAATAAATTCATCTATAAATTCCTAAACAAGTGCCATTAAGCATGGCTACGCCAAAATCAATGCACAAAAAATAAAGATAAAATACTCAATTAAACCAAAGCAAATCAAATAAAAATAATGTTGCCAGCTTGTCACAAAAAAAAATTCCAAATTCCGATGCACGCGTTTACCTCTATATAAACAACGACTCTCTCATTCTGCATTAGCCATGATTAGTACGTACTCATTCCATTATAATTTAACACTATACAAAGGCTTATATTGATAAGATCGAGATTAATTAGTCATTAATTACTTAGCAAAATATGAAGGGAGAAGGGGTAAATTTGGTAGCAATATGCCTGGTGGTGGCGCTAGGGCTGAGCTTGTACGTGGGGCGGATGCAGGCGGCGGTTACATTGCCGGCGGAGGGGAAGCAGTTGAAGAGGCAGTTCTACAAGAAGATGAACACGTGTGTCAACGCGGAGGCGTTCGTGAAGCATCAAGTGCAGTTGTGGTGGGCTAAAGACAAGTCCATCACCGCCAAGCTACTTAAGTTGCTCTACGCCGATTGTTTGGTCAATGTAAGTTCTTATATTTAGTTTCATTCTTAATAATATCAAATTAATGATGAGAAAGTAGTAGGATAAGTATAAATAATAATAATAATAAGGGTAAATCACGAAAAAATATTCTCAACTTAGGCTAAATAACGAAAAACTTTCAGGGATGTGACGCATCAATTCTACTAGAGGGGCCCGGCACGGAAAAAAAGGCACCACAGAATCGACGGTTAGATGGGTTCGCATTGATTGACAACATCAAGAGAACCGTTGAATCACGGTGCCCTTTAGTTGTCTCTTGTGCTGACATTCTTAATCTTGCTGTTCGTGATGCCCTTCACTTGGTACGTAGTACTTATTTATATACTTCAATTTCTTACTTATTAATTTATTACACGAGCACGATAAATTAATTAACCCTAAATCTAATCATCTGCAGGCAGGTGCACCATCATACCCAGTGTTGCTGGGTAGAAGAGACGGAAAAGACTCGAGAGCAACATGGGTGGATCTTCCTCCGCCGTCGATTTCTTGGGAAAAGGGCGTTGACTACTTCAAATCCAAGGGCTTAGATGAACAGGATTACGCTACACTCCTAGGTCATAATCACTAGTATATTAATTTTCCGTTCGAATTAAAAAATAAGTTGTTGGAAAACAAATAAAATATTTTAAAAATTTTTACCATTAATCTAACTTTTTATTTGAGATCTTATAATGAGTGGAAATAGGATATAATAAGTTCATTATCCAAATATTTTAAAAATTAATTCTAAAATTAAGATGTAACAGTTTATTAGCTCTTAAAATATCTAATTAGATGTACGAACTTATCAGATTTTAAAATAAGATTAGCCAAACGGGTCCTTTTTCATTAATTGAGTTAATTTTATTGTTGATTCAGGAGCGCACACGATGGGAAAAGCACACTGCTCATCGATTTACGACCGCCTCTACAACTGGGGAAACACGAAGAAACCAGATCCGAGCATGAGCAAGGCCTTATTGGAAAAACTGAGGAAACAATGTCCGAAAGTAGTGGTACCGAAGAAGGATCCGACAGTATTCTTAACCGAAAAAAACGGAGAACAGTACAGATTCACGAACAACTACTACTCCAACGTGCTGACTCAAGATTCGGTTCTTAGGGCCGACCAAGAGTTACTGTATGGATACAATACATCGCAGTTGGTGCTAGAATACGCCGGCAGTTTCGAGCAGTTGAGGCGGCAGTTCTCATTGTCGATTAGCCGATTGGGCGGTCTCAAAGTCTTGACCGGTACCGATGGGGAGATTCGCGAGAGCTGTCGTTTCAGAAACGCCACTGAAATACTACACTAAATAAATACGTACACTGGGCGCCGGGGGAATATCCGTTATTCTATTCGCACGTACTAATTAATCATATGAACATAATGCGTGTGTATTTTTTTTTTGTGCGAGTGAATAGTACTGGATTATATAAATTAAAGGAAATATTACATTGATTAATAAAACTTTTTTTTTGTTTTGTTTTAAATAATGACTTCACATTATAAGATTATATATGGACTTTATTTATAATTTGATTCTAAGTGTTGAGATGATCAAATTTGTTAATATATTTCTATTAACTAATTAATGATCTTCAACTATATATTTTCAATAATCAATATTATATAAACCAACACAGCAACGTACAAGAATATTTATTATTACAAAGGGAAGAAGAGCAAGCAAGCCAACACTGCAGAAAATTGATGCAACCAAAAATAACAGAACAAAAAAAAAAAAGCCAGCTGGAAATTACATTATTAATATTCTTGCATTATTATCCAATAATTATTTTGGATCCTTAATTAATTAATTAGAAATAATTAATTAGGGCGGATATCAATACCTCGGATAATCAAACCAGATTTCCACTTTAAATCGTCCTTCTCAAAAAGCCTCAACTCAACTTCACCATCGTCTCCGAGGTTGTTGAAGAACTCACCGAGCTGAATCTCCGACCAACCGTCGCGGCGCACGTGAGGGTACCGCCCCTTCGCTCCCTCGTCGCACGACTTTGTATCAATCAGCACTGTGTATCCTTGGTCTATACATCCTTCGCTAATCTCCTTCACGTATCTCACCGACGCAAAAACCCTCTCGAGATTTACGGCGTCGTCTTTCAGCTTGAACACCAGGTAAGCTGAATAGCTTGTCTTCAATGGCAGGCTCCTCAAATTCACGTTCTTCCATATGTCCATCCAACACACGCTTTCTAGTACCGCCACCTCCGCACTGCATGCATGCATGCAATTTTTTTAAGAGAGAGAGAGAGAGAGAGAGAGAGAGAGAGAGAGAGAGAGAGAGAGAGAGAGAGAGAGAGAGAGAATCCAGAGTTATTAGCACATAAGTCCCTGTGTAATCTATAATTTTCGAAAAAAACCCTATATTAAAAAAAATTAGCAATAACCCCTTATGTTGCGTTTTACTAAGTAAACAACTCCTTACATTAAAATTGGTTTTTGACTTTAATGAAATGACAAAATTACCCATGATTTTTTTTTAAATACTTCAATAATGATTTTTTGGATATTAAATATAAAAGAAAATTATGAAACTTTTATTTTTGGGTCTTACAAAAATTATGGGGTGAGGTTATAATTTTCTAAATTTTGAAGGGTATTTTTGTCTTTTCGTTGCTAATAGTTTTAATATGAAGATTTTTTTCAGCAGTTAGAAATTATAGGGGTAATTTTTGCAAAAACCCCTATTATCGATTGAGAGAGAGAGAGAGAGAGAGAGAGAGAGAGAGAGAGAGAGAGAGAGAGAGAGAGAGAGAGAGAGAGAGAGAGAGAGAGAGAGAGAGAGAGAGACCTGCAGGAATCATCTTGAGTCCAGTTCCAGTACCGGGTATCATGAGACCAAGTTATTGAAATCTCCCTTGCTGGAATCCAGATACTCTGCGTGCATTAAATTAAAACCCAAAAAAGGAAAAAGAAAAAAAATAGATTAATTAACTCGCATGACTATATATATGACACTAATTACTGCTTAGCTATAAGTATAAGTAATCAAAGCTGCAATTAGCTTAATTACGTACCATTTCTTTTTTAGTACTCTTTCTCTTAAGATCAAGATTTGTGATGAGTGTGATCTGTGTGTTTGGTTCTATGAAAACCCTTGAAATGAGGTCGTATATATATAGGTATTAATTCCTAATATTTTACGGTATATATATATATATATATTAATAAATTATTAATTAGTACTCCTGCGTCAAGTATACCAAATTTGACCTGCTAGAAACTAGGTGTAACCATCGCCCATCGGCATGCATAAATGTAATAAATATAATTAGCTAGTTGATCACAGTAGGTGCACCGGATTTTGAATAATAATTCAGCTGTTTAAATAATATTTTAAATATGATTTTTTCGTAAAATATTTGGCTGTACTTTATCAAAAATATATAGTTAGTTGGAGTTTTTAAATTATATTATTAAATCTGACATCAACCGGCTGCTTCATCCAAATCATTCGTTACTTGGTTATTCGAGTCAAGTGGGGCGGCTGAGTTCACGGTGTTATCTAGGGTGATTTTATGTTATATACATGGTGAATTAATCGAATATTTTTTAATCCTTAATTTGCATACAGTTAAATATGGGAAATTCTATGCTACACCCGGTGAATATAACCAGGTACTCTAATTAATAAGATTCCACTACGGGTTCAGTTATGGCCCAATGAGTTTTAGAAATATAATTATAAAATAAATAAAAAAGGACACATGTCAAGAAAAGAGCCACCGGGTGAAAATCACCGGGTGTAGCATCGTATTCCCCATTAAATAGAGAGATGTGTACGTGTGTTTAATGACCAATTATTTAACTTCATCACCCGATAAAAAGCTTTCCGTGTATATCATCCGGTATAGCGTCTCAACTAACTAATGAGCTGGCCATGTGCCTTGATTTATGTTTTGTAGGATGTTTTTAATGAAAAAATAGATGCTACACCGGGTTACTTATACAAAGTTCTTGTTAACCGTAAATCTACACATAATTACGCTCACAACCATGCATGCATGCGTGCTTAGTGAATGGTTATATAATCTAATCTACGTTTAATAAACAGCCAATGTACATAACCAACTGTAACATCCAACTCTCCATTTTTTATAAACATGTTTTCAAATTTATTTTTGCAAAAGAAATTTCTTATCCACCAAAAGTGCATTTGTTTAAGCAAATTCAATTTTTATTAGCAAACGCCGGCGGTCAACGGCATTTTGGATAAAAGCATGATGATTATCAATATAAACCAATAAATAATACAATTAATTAGGACAAAGACAATACAATTGAACAATTTAATTTATTAAAAAAAAAAATCAAGATGAAGTTGTCCAATTATTACAAATTAGTCCCCTTGATTATCAGTTAGGACGAATATCAATTCCTCGGACAGTCAAACCAGATTTATAATTAAAATTATCTTTTTTGTTGAACAGCTTCATCTCCACTTCACCATCATCGCCCAAGTTATTGAAGAATTCACCTAACTTGATCTCCATCCACCCGTCGCTGCGGAGGTGAGGGAATCGACCGTTTTCTTGAAGTGACGACTTTGTGTCGAGGAAAACGGTATATCCTTCGTCACTAATTTCGTCGTACACCTCCTTGGTGAATCTCACCGCTGCGGTCGACGTTTCCAGTTCTTCAGAGAGATCTTTCACTTTGTAGAGCAAATACGCGGAATAACTCGTCTTCAAACGCAAACTTTTTACGTCGACTTTTCCGGATATATCAAGCCAAACCACTCTTACTAACTCGGCCACCTCCTCCGGACTGCATGCAGTTAATTGACATTAAGGTGTGTGAGAGTGAGAGAGAGAGAGAGAGAGAGAGAGAGAGAGAGAGAGAGAGAGAGAGAGAGAGAGAGAGAGAGAGAGAGAGAGAGAGAGAGAGAGAGAGAGAGAGAGAGAGAGAGAGAGAGAGAGAGAGAGCCATATCGAAAGGTCCCTTGCTGGAATCCAGAAGCTCTGCAAAAAGAACAATTAATAAATATGAATTTAAATTTTAATAACTTGTGTAAGTAAACACTAATTATACGTACAACCACTAATTAATTAAGCTTACCATGTTTCTCCTAATTATATTGTTTTTCGTTCTTAATCCTCAAAATCAAATTAAGAGAGTGTATAGATGCATATATATGTGTGTGCGTATATATAGGAAAGATCGAGCAGCTTCACCAGTTCACCTGCTACAGAACTCATGAGATCATGTAACGAGGGAGATCAGATAGTTTTATATTATATTAATAACTAATTAATAATTCAATTAGAAATAATGATGTATTGGGTCATTAATGAAATATAGACAAGATAATTGGCTGAACGTGGTCCCACCACGTGAAGTAAACCCTACCCAATAGGAGTAGTATATAATTGGCTGAATGGGGCCCATACCATATGCTTCTGACCTGTTTAGGAATCTCATAAAGTTTGTAGGTTTAATTAGCATGCCCTTTAATTAGGACTAATTCATTATATTGTCAATCCATAAATATAAATAATGTAATTACAATTATATATTTATTTATATCTTCAATATGTATTTATTTTTTCGCATTACCACCTTAAATAAAAATTCAAATGGTTCGAGATATATATTTAATTCTGATACAATATATATGCTGTGCAAATCAGTACGCACAAGAGAAGATATATAATACAAAGTGAAAAATAACACTTTTAATTCTGATATTTGAAATAGGTTCAATGAAAAATATAAGCTAGGGGTAATTAAAAGATATGACTTTTAATTACCCTAATTATCCGAAAAAAAAAACAACACTTAACAAAATAAAAGATTGAGAAAACAAGATAAGGGGAGTCGAATCGTTGATCTTCGGTACTGCATCTTCATCAATACTCCGGACAGTCGTACCAAATGTTCGATGAGATTACTACATCGGGTTTATTATTATTATTATTATTATTATTATTATTATTATTAGGTCTTACATCGATACCACGTACGATCAAACCAGACTTCCACTTACCATCATCCCTCTCAAATAGCATCATGTCCACGTGTCCATCATCTCCAGAACCGTTGAAAAAATCTCCGAGCTTGACCTCCGACCAATCATCGCTTCGGAGATGAGGTTTCGACACTAATGGATCATCGATATTATCATCATCAATAATAAACACTGTCTGAGTTATCTCCTTATGAAGAGTTTTTACGGATGCATTTGCCTTTTCGAGATTTTTCGAGGAATCTTTGAGTTTGTAAACCAGATATGCAGAATAGCTCGTTTTAACCTGCAGATTCTTCGTGTCGACCCGACCCGATAGTTCTAGCCAACACACGTTTAACAGCTCCGCCACCTCCGAACTGCACGTACAATATATATTATTATTTAATCAATAACACACACACACACACACACACATATATATAATTAAATGAACCTGCATGAATCATGATGAGTCCACTTCCAGTAAATTGGTTCATGAGCCCAAGTTATTGAAAGCTCCCTCGCTGGAATCCACAAGCTCTGCGTCAAATCCCCAAAACAAAGTTAACTGCTAATTAATTGCATCATTAACAACTAGTTAAGTACGTACCACGATAATAAATAAAATTAATCTACATCAATATTCAAGAGCTGAAATAATTGTTTTAATTACCATTTTTTTTTCTTTTCCCAAGATCAAGATGTTGGGAAAATTGGTTAAAAATTGAGTCATGAACAATTTTTTATCAATGTTATTGTACGGTCTAATTAAGTATATAAATGAATTTTGGATTAGAACCAATTTTGTGGTGAATGAAAAATTACTAGTCCAAATATAAGGAAAGTGTGGGATTTTGAGTTATCCCACATTGGAAAAGTAGAGAAGTACTGAGCTGTATATATATCAAAAACATTAGGTCATGGGCTTTTAACCCATTGGGCCCTTATTAGTCGAAGCCCATCTCGATTGGTCTGACTGGTCTGAATTGGTGCGGCCGAACCAATGCAAACCATTCGGCTCAACTCGAAATGGTGCAACCACTCCCAATTGGCTCAACTCGAAATGGTGCAACCATTCAAACAAAGGTACATTTTTGCTCCAAAGGACACTACTTTTCGAACCTTATAAATAGACCCTAACTTTCCCACAATTCCTTACTTCAATCCAAAAATAAGCCTACTGCATATTAAGCCTACCCTTCACAGATTCTCTCGAAAAGTTCTACACAAAGTACAGTTCGTCGTACTTGGGATTTGGAGTGCTCCTATTCCAAGCCTTGCCGTTGTATCTTGGGAGACGATTTCCATTTAATCCGTTAGCACCGTTGCGGGGAAATTTCGTCTTAAGGATAGAGTCAACTCGCCTCGGCAAATTTACGTTCATTGCAGATAATCTTTTCATATTTTCACTAATTAATTTGTTCAACCAATTTACTAAACTCACTACCCGTTTTATGTATCGGGAACAACAATCTTAAGACTATATATGTGTGCGTGTCTACATATATATGTGTGTGTATGTGTGTGTTTTTGGGTGAGAAAACCCTAAAAACTATGTTTTTGAATGAGTATTAATTTAAAAGTTGAAACTCATTCTTCGTCGTTAAATATACATACAATAAAACCGAGTCAACAATACACCCAAATTCGGAGCCTGTCTAGGACTAATGATGGGTTCTTTTTAATTAATTATATTAATGTTTATATAAATTTAGTATATATATACACATCATTTTATTCGTATTTAATTTGTTTTTGTAATAGTCAACTAATTAAGTAGCGTGTAGTTATGTATTTTCTCTGTGCCCCCTCCACGTTTACGTCTTACTACTCGGTACAATGTATTAATTTAGAAACTCAATCTTGATATCGATCCTGATTAGATGAGTTGGTGCGTAACACCAATTATTAGAGCGGAGGTCTAGGGTTCATATATATATATATATATAATCCAATTAATTTGGAAAAACCACCTAATCATTCAA